GCAGTGGAGCTGGAAACCGTAGCCAATTTGTCATAAAGACAGTTGTCGGGAGTGGTCCTAAAATGGGTGAGCATTGGGCCTGGCTGTAATCTATCCTATTATCTGAGTTTGATCGCTTACGCAAAGCTAGGGTGAAAAATGTCATCGCGATTGCTATTAGATATTGCGTTGACTTTGGTTGAGGACAGTCTTTTTCACCCAGTGTACGACAAAGCGTTCCAAATTAACGTTAAAAACTTTACTAATATCGTTACACCTCGTCGAATCCAAGATTTCGCAGACCGACACGACATTGTTTACGCCGCCTCAAGGGCAAAACGCAAGTCAGCAGCGAAAAGCAGCGCGTCATCCACGCGTCTGTTCGTCTATTGCCGAGCACCTAGGGCGTCTAAAGCAGCAATTCGACGACGGTCTCATTGACCCCGATCTGCAATACAACATGGATGAAAGCCATTTCGTTATTAAATTAGATGATGGCTAGACTCTTGATTTCCATGGCGCCTCCCACATTAAGTACCGTAGCGTAGTTTCTTGTAAGTTCAAAATCACTTTTTTTAAAAGTCAGTTTTTAGCAAATTTATGGTTTTTTCAGGACTCGAAGGTATTACAACGTGTGTTTTCTTCGTGGCGGAACCAACGTACAAATAGGGTGCTCAATGCTCATCTTTAAAAATAAGAATGCAAATTATCCAATCCAAGGCTTGCCCGATTCAACGCCTGGGGTGGCGTATCGAACTTCGCCTACAGCCTTCATAAACAACAGTTTGATGTAGCAATGGCTGCGTGAAGTCCGTTGTTGGGGGCCAGGGGAGACCTTTCGTCAAGCAACGCACACTGTGGATGGACAACGCGAGCGGTCACAGTGGAGACGATGTTGTCGCTGTAGCGAAAGAATTGCGAACAAAAATGCAGTTTTTTTTCAGCTAATGCTACAGACCTAATACAACCGGCTGACCGGCTTCCTATTCAACGAATTAAAAAGCACTGGCGACGACTCTGTGAGCAGCGGAATATGGTGCAATCCGACGTGGACATTGGCGACAAGGCTCTGAGTCGTTGCGAATCAAGGAAAGAGACTCTTCTTGGAAACCGCAGCAGAATGCGTACGGCTGGTGAATTGCGGGCGAGATGAGAATGATCTCAACTGGGCTAAGAAGTCCATGATTTTGTGTGGACTAGATGTTGGCTTCTGTGGCTACTGGAATTTCGATCAGCTTGGCCGAGACCTGCAGGACATTGTCGCTAAATATCAAGATGAGTTCAAGAAGGACTACGCGGAAGCAGGGCAGTCGGCTCAGCTTCAACCTTCTAGGATTCTATTATACATAGTCATACACCACAATTAGTAGTATACCTCGATTAGTCGTACATTTTTTGGGACTCTGAAGTCGTACACCACTATTGGTCAGAGGCCGACTAATTAGCGTGAGTGATGTAGTGGCTATGTCAGCCTAATCAGCCACTTGAAGGACAGGTACCCCGACTACGAGACTGACTGCCTTGTCCACGCCAGCTCTCTGGCTGGCAACCTACAGACATTCAGATTTGTGAGCGACAAGGTCGCCAGCATCTGCCACTGGATGAAGTGAGTGGCTGCCATAAACATGCCTCTATCTGAGGTGGGCCACCCAGCGACTCGCACCATGTCCCGGCTCTAGCTATCTTTTCAAAGACTCTAAAAAAAGAACCTAGCCGCAACAACGAAAGCTGTTGAGAAGGAGATTGCCAATACAATTCCTCCGACATTTGGAGTCATGTACGACGGCTGAACATGCTTTCTAGAGCACTACGTGGCGATTTATATAGTCTATTGGCAGGACGGCCAGCTTTCCTACGTCCTATTAGCGGTGGCACCGCTAGATAATGCCGATCTCACTGCTGCGTCAAATTGCGCCTACATTAAAAATATTCTGGCGATTTTCGGCCAGTCAGACGAGTCACTAAAATTTTTGGTGGGTTACAATGCGCCACCAATCGGCTGGCGGCGACCATGCTCGGTGTCCCATTGGTGGGTTGCACGTCTCGCCGTTTTAAGCTGGCCGCTTAAAACGTTTGGCGGGACACAAAGACCTGGGTGGGACTGTGAGCGCGCTAATGGCGCTGCTCCGGACGATCAAGAATCGCGCCGAGGCTCGACGCAATACAAGCTTAGCGCCATTGCGTGCTAATGCTACTCGGTGAAGCTCCATCTTCGTGATGCTGGAGCGGTACGTTCGCATCCGCGACGACATCAATCTCGTCGACGCTGTTTACGACCTGGAACCTAAGCCGGCTACCCACCGGCGCATTGTAGCGCTCGTCGAGAAGCTCAAGACGTACAACAGCGTGTACAAGAAGCTACAAGAGGACGGGATATCGATGAAGTCGGTGCGTCTTTTATTCGACAAAATGGCTGAAATGTTTCCGGTAGTGGGTAACTACCTACTCCGCGACGTTGATATTGTCCATTCCCCGGTGTTTGACAGCGCCGTGGCTAAAAAAAACGTTGCTGTTGGGTTGCTCTTATGCTGCTAAATTTGTGCTTACCTGCCTATGTTGCTCAATGTCATCTCGAGGTTTAGAAGCCGATTTGACGCCAGAAGAGTCGCAGGGCCTCCTGCCGCTCCAGCTAGAAGCTGGTGTGTTTGACCCGGTGGTATCGTCGCGTGGATCGCGCACTCGGACGCGCGCCCGCAGCGCTGAGGACTTTGCAACCGCGCCGCTTCAGTCGCGTCTGGACCCCCATCATGTGGCACCGCAATACCAATCGATCGTCGACGCAATTCCTCCCGCTCTGCGAGAGGCTGTCCTCGCAGTGCAAGTTGATCATGACGCTACAGCGTGCGTCCCTGCTACCGATGAACTTCGAGATGCTCACCTTTCTATGGCTAACCGTAAGTTCTGGGATGCAAGTACCCTGATGAGACTTTGTGTTGATGACACTGATGAGAGCAAGTGCCAATGGTGCTACCGAGGGACAATACAAAATGTATTTCTCATTTATTTATTATTGTTCTTCTTCGTTTTTATTTATTTCTAATTGTTGTGAAGTACAGGTAATTTATTATAATGTCCGAGCACTGCGTACCGGTATGATGTGTGTCACTTACGACACATTGAAACCGCTGCTGATTGCTGGTTGGGAGGAGCTGCTAGAGATCGAGCGGTTGCAGCTACTCTACTCCGAGAAGGAATCCCTTCAGGAAATTAACTTTGAGCTGATAAGTACTATGAGTGCTCGAGAAGATGCCGCGGAAAAATACGTGTCTGCTGCATCTCGTCTTGCTAGCAACACGCCAAACGGCATCATATTGCCATAATGTCTTCCACTAAAGAAGTTGCGCAGACATTCCTCGAAGAATTGTACGCTAGATAAGGAGAATATGCGAGGCCGAGGGGGTGATTTCAAAATATTTACAATTAATACCGTAATTTCGGTGTCAAGTGTCACCCCCTCCGTGCAGGCAAATATTGTGATTAGAATAAATTCAACGTGCAGGAAAGAAAGCTGACACCATTGAATATGTATCCATGTATTCATCCTGCTAAATGTATCGACTTACGATGTCGTCGTCCCAAGATACCTCACCTTTCTCGGTATCAAGCCAGGATAAAGCAATACGTCTGCGTACAGTAGCCGAGAGATTCTTACCCACAGTATCCGAATCACCGAGCGTCGTTTGTCCTTGTCGTGTCTTGTCCTTGAGCGAGAGGCTGTAGCGAGTCAGGTACGATGCAATCCAAGTAGGGGTTGCTGCAATTAACGAGCGAGGAACGTCGTACAGTGCAGCGATTTCTAAAGCTACCAGCTCAATAATTTTAGCTGATACAGGGACCCCACGTGATCTTAATGCAATTAGCCACTCGAAGATGTCCAGTTCAGCGTCGTCCGACAAGGTGTTTGCACTGCCAATATGTCTAAACCGCTTCTATTGCGCAGTTTTCGCCTTTGCAGCCATGGCGTCGATAGTCCTCTACCCTGCTTCTAGCGCCGGATGAAGCGTGCCTTCGACTTGAAAGTAGTGCTTCGCCGATCAATTCCAGGCCAAAATGTGTAAATTACTACTTCCATTTTCTGTGTGTCATAAAATAGCGGTACCGCGGCCTCCAGCGCGAAAGTCTCCGACGTCAGCTTGTACTGCTTCGGCTTTCTCCCTCCCCCATTGCTTGGGTCTCGCATTGCTGTGATTGCTGTTTGCGCTTTGCTGTGCTCCACAAAAGACAGGGGGATTTTTGGGGGTGACACTTAACAATGCGGGGCAAATCCTTGATTGAAGAGTCAAATTGAGGTATATTACTGGTCAAAGTTGGGGGGGGTGACACTTTACTTTACAACGGCGGACACCTGACACCGATTTTACTGTACGTAGTACAGTGTACAGGGCTCCCGATTAATGCATAAGTACATGTACATTAGTTTAATGTATGGGAGCTTGAGCGCGATTGAAAAAGCATAATGTATGGGAAAAATATGCCTTCACATTTTACATACAAAACCTCAATCGGAGAACCCCGTCCATACATAATGGCCATTAATGGAAACCACACATTATGTCATATATTATGTCACATATTATGTGGTTTCCATTAATGGCCATTATGTATGGACGGGTTTCTCAGATTCAAATGCATAATGTATGGGAGCCTCGATACTTGAGCTGCGATTAATGCCACTGGATGCCTACTAAAAATAGAGAAATGACTCAACATAGATGCAGCAGACATGATAGGGCATAACGAAGCATAAATCTCGTGAGACGTAAAAATCGTCCCAATAAACAAGCCTTTATTTCGTGTAGCCATCATTACTTTTAATCTTGGAATTAGTAAGGAATAAGTCGACCATCACTCTGGAACTCACATTCACTTTGTCGGCATATATCAGCAATATATCTCATCGCTTGTGCTTCAGGTTCAGCCTTTCACCTTGGAAGCCCCAACCAAGTGAGAGGTGAGAGGTGTTCGTTACAGCAACACGAACGGCAGGTAAGCACCTGCAGGTAGTAACAGTCGAGTGAAGTCTAATCTAACGTTGTCAAGCGACCATGGTTAACCTTGTCCCCTTCGTCGTGTATTGGAGCGCGCGCTGCATCGCGGGCGGCGACTACGATAGCATGCTCCCAAACCTGCAGCGAGTAGGCCTCAAGCGACGGTGGTGCGTGTGAGGCCTTTCCTTCCTGACAGTGACCGCTCTGTGGTGACCGCGACGCCGCCGTGTACGCCGCTACTACACGGGCTCCGCGTGTCAATTTCTTCTCCGACAAAGGTGTCGACGACTGGCACCACGGCAGCAACGCCACCCGCGAAAGAAATTCCCGCGCCTGCAACTCCACCTCCCGCGAGGAGCCCGTGCAACCCGACAACGTCGTCGCTGGTCCTGTTGGAAGGCTCGCCAACTTCGCGCCCGCCAACTCCTCGCCCGTAATCTCCTTCGCCACCGACGGTCGCATCGCGAGCGACATAGTTCGCGCAGCAAGCGTCGGGCAGCCGCCGGACCGTATCGGCGCCGCCATGACCGTAGAATTTGACGATGCTGTTAGGGTGTCAGCGGGACTAATCGTGGTTGCGTCGCCTGTTCTCAATTCGGTCTGTAGTGGCAGTGGTAGACAGCAACTTCAATGAAGCGAAGACGTGCTATCCCTCATCGGATGCAGAGGGAACCAAGCTGTAATCGCTTCATTTTTTCTTTTTCCAAGCCTTACCAAAGTCCCCACCTTCGCGCGACACAGCACCCTCCTCGTGTTCCCGTCCCGGTACGCTGCGCAGCTTGCAAAATCTGCCGTCACATCTAGCTAACAAGCACGTATTATTCTATGTTATTAGATGGCGAAGTTCACTAACTACAAGCTGTCCGAAGTGCGCCGACTTCTGTCGCTCGTCGAGCACTACCTCCCGCTTGGTAAGGACGAATGGGAGCAACTTGCAAACTCATACAGCTCGAGCAGAAGTCGCGGTGACGCCAAGAGTGACCACGAAAGCCTCCGTCGAAAGTTTAAGGCTCTCTACACTGCACGCAAACCTACCGATATTGCTGATATGCTACCGCACGTGCAGCTGGTGAAACAGCTAAAACATGCGATCGACGACAAGGCCAGCGTGGTCGACATGGACGACGGTGCCGACGTCGTCCAGGAGGAGGAAAGGGAGTACCAACAGGATCTCTAGTTCGAGTTCAAGGGCGAAGAGGGACTCGGCTACAATTTGCCCGTGGATTCCGAAGCTGACACCGGCGGTAGCAACGCCACTGACGACCCCATTCAAACCGACGAGACGGACGCGACGGTCGGGGACGCCGATAGAGCGGCCCACACTGACTTCTCGGAGTTGATCACCTCCAGTGCCATTTGCAAAGGGTTGGAGACATTTGCCACGCCGCACCCTCCCCCGCCTGTAACGCAGTCTGTGTGGTACAAGCTGCGCTCGAGCACACCAAAGCAAAATGGGCAAAGGCACGCAGCTGTGGTGTCTCTCGTTTCTCCGGAAGCAACCAGCGCTGCTAGTGCTAATAATGTGCAGCCTCAAGATACTAGAACTAGCTGGCAGAGCAAGAAAGCGTCCAAGCAGAAGATCTACGCTACTTCTTTCAACTGACTCGGTGGCATCGACTTGGCTGGCTTTCGCGATACTGTGGGCCGCCAGCGCTCTCTCGATGAGGACAAAGAGCTGGTCGAAGCTAGCTATGCTAAAGTGAAGCGCGTGAAGGCTACCAGAGCGACTGCCGAGCTCAAGCAGCGCCTATCCCACCTAGAAAGTAGTGCCAGCAACATGGGCGGCACCATGCTTGAAATGATGTTTTGAATGCGCGACGAGAACGAGTGCAAAGCAAAACTACGCCGCGCTGATGAAGAACAGCGTCGGCGTGACGATCTGGCTGCCCGAGAAGCGCGTTACCTTGCCGACAAAGCGGAAGCCGAGGAGCGCCGTTACCAAGAAAAGCTGGAGATGGACGAACGCGCGCGTCGTGACAAGGAAGACGCTCGTGCGCGCACCCAAGAGCTGATGTTCGTTCTGAGCTCGCTGACGAAGAAGGACTGAGCAGCACCTGCCTGAAGGTGGTGGAAGCAGCAGTGATGAAGGTGGAGCAACGAAGCAAATGGGAGGAAGTGCATTTAGTAGCGTGTAATCTTCAATACAGCCATTGTTGCGAGCAACAGCACAGCAAATTTTCTTTTACGTAGCTTTCGTGGTGAAATCAATCATGTAATTTATTTGTAGCGTGCTGCGCAACGACGCTGCTACTCAAACGTAACAGCGTCAAAGCAATACACCTAACTCGACTGTCTTCACGCCATCCACGGTGCTACTTCCTGAGGCATCTCCATCGCACCCGAGAAAGTCGTCAGGATTTCGGAGATACCGACGGTGCGCACTCTGTAGTGTTAGCCATTCTGAATAGGTTGGTGAGCCGCATGCCTCGTAGATGGTCGTAGGGCAGTGGCAGGTCGAGTCTACTGTAGACTTTTTCGACGCTGCCCATCCCCCACTCGGCAGCCTGACGGATTGAGGTTATGGCATTGTGGAGAGTGCGTGTGGACGCACGCAGCGATGGCTCGATCTTCTCGATGCCTCCGTCCTTTAAAGGGGTGAGGATCCTCCCCGCCATTGTCTTAGAGAACGGAAATGCAGAGTCTGAAACTACATTCATGCGCTCGTCCGGACAGTACCGGGGGTTCGTAAGCTTCATGAGGAGCTCCAAATACGTGTCGGAGTCGTTCCATGAGCCTAGGCAGTTATGCCTCGACTAGATAATGCTGCCGTCGGCAGCGAAGCATATTGTGCCAGTCACGAACACAGAGTCCTGGCGTGAGGGAGAGGGCCAGGCGATGCGTGCAGGCGCGTAGCCATCCAACGCCCGTGACAGCGCTTCTTCGGCTTTGCGTAACGTCCTATATAACGTGCTGGGCGGTACCCCGAGCGTAATACAAAGGGAGATCTGCTCCATAGACCCCACATAGAAGGCCAGAACGAGCCCTAGCACTTGATGCAGGTAGCGCAGCTTGAGCGGGCGGCCTCTTACCGGAGGCGGCCGGATGTCGTACAAGCAGGAAAACCTGCACAACAACTGATCAAACGCCCGTCTACAGTTGTATAAGCAATGTTAGACTAGATACAAAATACAGTCATCCGAAACGACTTACCTCGTCAGACTCGTAGCATTCAAAAAATTTACATCGGAGACGTACTTGTAGAGCGTCATCTAGCCGGATGCGCACGGCGCGTCGAGGCATTGAGCGGTAAGATAGTGGCGCGTGCGCATGGCGATGCACCGATCCTCCTGCATAAGTAGCTGGTAGACGTCGCGCCGAGCGTCGCGCACGAGTTCGTTGTGCGTCTTGAACGCCTCGCAGAAGAGAAGGGGGGGGGGCTCCCTCGAACATATTGGCCGCGCGTGCGCAGGGGGGGGGTCAGGGAGGGAAATGCGAACTGCGTGAGCAGTTTTAAAAACATTGAATTTCTGTCTCAAAAGTGATACTTAAGTCAGCAGCCATCAGTCCCAGTTAAGTACGAAGTATTGCAGAATATATTACTCCCACCGGTGCATCTTTGATCACACATCCTGCTACTGTAGTACTTCTCTTTTGAACTATAATACATGTTTTGCTGCAGTGATATTTTCAGTAAAAATCGCTGCTTTATTATCACTGGTCAGAGCTATCCTCCCTGAATCACTGGACTATTCACGAACAAAAAACTAACCACCTGCCAGGAGAAGGAAAATGAGGATCACCACGAGCACGAGGATGATGAGGTAGAGCTTGGTGTTGTTGCTTTGCTTGGCCACCTGAAATTTTTAATGCATTAGTCACAATGAAAAAATCAAGTCTTCAGTTCATTTCATCGTACCCGTGCCGCTCGAGCACCCTCTGACTCGAGTCCATCCGTGACGCGGGTCACATCGTCGTCGATCTCGTTCAACAGCCGCACGTGCAGCTCGGTCTCGTCCTTGACCGTCAGACTGTAGTTGCGCAAGTTGGACACGCCCTGGCCGATCAAGTCCAGCTGCTGGTCCTGGTCCTTCATAATCTGGCTCTGCATGCCCAGTAGTCGTGCTGGCGCGTCCGCCGCGCCAGGGCTGCCCAATTCAGCAAGTATAAGTTTCCAGGTGCAGCCACCATACGCTTCAGAGTGTGGACGCACCTCACTGAAGCCTTCGAAGTCTTCCGGCTATTATACATGTCCAAGTCCTCTTGCTACATCAACCAAATCCGCAAATTATCAGACTTGTCCGTATTCCCCAAAGTTGTAAAATGCTGCGTCGCACCTGGTCCCGGGCTAACTGGTTAAGCAGCCGTTCACGCCGCTCTATCTCTTCCTTTGTCCTGCACACCACCAGTCAGGTTCTTTTCAGCGCCTACACGCGCCGAGAGCAGCGGCAGTAACACCGTACACTGAGCTCGAAGATCGCTTGAGCTGGTCGAAATCCCGCTTGAGCCGCGAGACGCTCTGCTGCAACGCGAAGACGCTAATGCCAATGGCGCCCGAGTTTCCCGTGCGGATTTTGCTGGACAGCGCCTGCTCCTGACCGCGCGCGCGCTCCAGGCGATCCAACCACGAGGACCACGCTGCCGCGCTCATGTTCGTCTGGTAAAATGGAGCTTTCTTTTGAGAAATCTTTTCCCAATTCTGATTCAGATCTGATTACAATCTGACTCGCATTGCGATTGGGTGAAATATTTATTGCGGGCGATTGGCCGAGCCACAACCAAGGTAACAAGAGCACCAGCGGACCACCATGGAGTTCGAGCGCAAGATGGAGGAGCACATCGAGGAGATGCGCGTGACGCAGACTATCGCGTACTTCAGTCGCACGGTGGAGCTGTGTTTCACGGACTGTGTGCACGCCTTTCGCAGCAAGAAACTAGACGACAAGGAGACGTCTTGCGTCAACAACTGCGCCGAAAAGTTCCTGCGCCACACCATGCGCTCTTCCGTGCGTCTGCAGGAAAGCTACGCCGAGATCATGCAGCAACAACAGGAACAACAGAAATAGAAATGCGGCAGTACTTGTAGCTTCGGGACAAAACAACACCCAATCAAGACGTTCGCTACGGCGCTTAAGGGCCGTGTTTGTATTGATCTTTGGTCTTGTGCCCAGCATCTTCCACTAAAACTTGTACTCAGCTACAATCTGAATGTTCATAACGCATCACGATACATTAGCCGTGGATCCAGGCAGATAATATTTTTGAAGAAAAAGTACCCCATTTTTAAGAAGTCTTAAGGAGAAACAGTCCTCGCTTTAATGACATCAGCTCCACCCATTTTCGCCTTCCCTTCCCATTTTCTCCATTTCCCTCCCAAAAAATGGCGTCATCACCAACAAGTGTGCAGCAAGGCGATATTGAGGCTCAAACCCGGGGCTATTCGAAACGCGGCGATGGTTTCTCGGTGCAGGAAACTGAGGGTCTGTTACAGGAGGTGCGTGAGCGCTGGCAAGAGGGCTGGGATGTGATCGCCGAGGTTCACAACGCTCAGTTCCCGGGCCACAAACGCTCCGCCGGCTCGCTGAAGCGTAAGTTCGCGAAGCTGTACCGCACCAAGATCGATTCTACTACGAAGGAGAAACACGCACGCGCTGCAGCAATGGCCAAGAAAGTGCGAGAGGAGATGCGTGGCCAGCGACGCGGACTCGCCGCCTCAGCGCGCGTGCTAGGCGATGACCTAGTAGGGGACTCCGACTCCGGTGTGGGCGTACAGGAAGTGCACGCCGATCTGAATGATGTCGAGATGATCGCAGCTCATACGGGTACGCAATCGCAGACGTTGCCAGAAGCTACAGTGACGGCCAGCGAGCACGAGCTGCGGCAGACGCTGGTGCAGAGCGTTCCGATGACCCAAGACACGTCGGATGCGTGGCAGGCGGCCATCGGCCGATGGCCGGTTGCCAGTGAGCCCCTGCGTCGAATGCGGTCACAAATTGAAAACGGCGAAGCTACGTCTAGTCAAGATCTGGCGCAGACCGTGCTGCTGGTGCTACTAGAGTCCCAGCACCAGCGTGATTTGGAACGGGATCAGGAGCGCGAGGAACGTCGATTGGAGAGACAGCGCTGGCAGGAAGAAATGCGCGAGCAGCGGCGTCGACATGAGCAGGAACGTATGGAGGATCGGCGCAGGAATGAACAGTTCATGCAGGTCATGACTACGCTAGTGGCGCAGATCGCTGCGGGGCAACAGCAACGAGTCGGCCTGAACTGAGCGTCATTGATGATCACGTAGGAAGGATTTGCATGCATGTGGAAGTTGCCATTGCAGAATGGTGCAAGGCGGTCAGTGATGCAGTGCAGCACTGTACCAGTTGTGATTGACTTAACATTGATAATAGTAGCGGTGGGCACTTGTCAAGCCTTTCGACCGACCAGAAAGACGTATTAGTGAGCAACGAGCAGTGCGGAAATTCCGCCGCACAGGGATTGATGGTGTACCCATTTTAAAATACAACTACATGTGGAACACGCAGGCACGAAGTGAGCGAGTAAGTGTGCTAGCCTCATTGTTTCAAGTTCGATGCAACGAGTGCGCGGTTCAAGCTCGGAACACACCTTACATACAGAAAACAACTCCTCGGTCCAGACACAGCGTTTCAGCTCATAAAAGAAGTACTACTAATAGCGAATTGGATCCGAACCATCAGTGCTCGCTCAACACTCAGCGTCTCGCTGGGAGGAGGCGCTGTTCTTGCTCACGAGCAGAGTCATCATCTGCATAAACTGCTCATGCCTGCGGCGGTTTTCGGCACGCTCTTCAGTGCGTTCTTCACTGCGGCGACGTCTCTCTTCCCGCTCTTCATCACGTCGACGGTCCTCCTCCTGTCTCCGCTGCTCGGCCTCTTCCCTGCGACGTTGCCGTTCTTCATCCCGACGTTGTCGTTCCTCTTCTCTGTCCAGGTCACGCTGGTATTGGGAGCGGAGAATCACCTTGAGTACCGACGTCAGCAAATCGTCGGTGGGCAATGGTGTTGCGTCCGCCGGGAAAACCGCCGGATGCTGCCACTCAGTCGTCGGCCGCGGCATCCGCGCGCGTGGACGAGGAGCTGAAGCGGCTGTAGGCGGCGTAGCCACAGTAGCTGGGACAGACACCGGTGCTGGAGACGACGTAGCAGCAGTCGGTACCTCGGCTGTGTCGACCCAGCTGTGCTCCGTCTCATCAGCTCCGTCCTGCGTGCGCTCGTCGCCCGCCGCCTGATACGAGGCCTCACTGGACTCTGCCGGCGTCTCGCCGTCAACGCTCGGCACGCCACCAGGAGCGGGTGGTACACCCTCAATCATCTCCTTGTGAACAACGTGAGCAAAGGTAATGGCCTGGTGATTCTTGGCACCGCGCGGTGGAATGGTGGAGCGATACAGGCGCGAGAATTTTTTCTTGAGCGAGTCGGCCGAGCGGCTGTGCTTGGCAAACTGCGCGTTGTGGAGCTGTGCAATAACATCCCATCCCTCACGCCAACGATTGCGAACCAATTGCAGCATTCCTATGGACTCCGCCTCCGTGAAGCCGTCACCGCGGCGCTGCACATGTGCACCAAGTCGCCGCTTCACCTCGGTCTCCATGACGTCCTGCGGAGAAAAGCGTGCAGCCATTATCTTGATTTGGGGGGAGCTTTTGGGAATGAATGGGTGGATCAAATTTTTGCGCTGAACTAGGTGGTATCATTTCGATACGTTTCACAGGAGTAAAGTAAGTGCGGACTAATATACAGCTTTGAATTATCCTTAGGATTCAAAATCATTAAAATGGTGCAAATAATCCTAAGCTGAAGACACGGACACGCAGTGGATGTCGGCCACCAAATGATACACTTTAGGGGCATACGACTTGACCCTTTCAACGTGCTCGCACGTGACGCTCCACTGCTTGCCGTGCTGTTTGGCCAGTGCCCGCATCGAGTCCACGACGTGTTGCTCCCAGGATTCGCGATCCTCCACGGCCACGTTGTCGTGCACGTGGAACCAGCCGCCGCTGGGCTTTAGCACCTGCACGGCCAAGGGCCAGGCCTTCTCGCTAGTTGGCAACAGACCCAAATTAACTCGGTCAGCCACAGCACCAATAGTAGGAGCAGACTTCCGGTTGTCTCCAAGGTAAACCTTGCATCTGTCAGCTACATGGTTGCGCTCCAGGTTAAAACGCAGTGCTGCAACTGAGTCTGGGTTCCATTCGCACGCGTGGACGAACGAAGCACCACCGTGCACGAGGAAGGGGAGAACGTAGTAACCGATACCGCAGAAGAGGTCGACAATCGTCTCACCGCGACATCCAATATTTGCCATCCTGGCTTTTTCAGTAACGTTGCCTGACGAGAACATGACTCGTGTGAGGTCCCAGCCGTAGATAATACCATTCTCACGAATTTCTACCCAACCAGGGGCTTCCTTGCTACGTCGAGAAGTTAGAGCCTTTTCATTCACGTATAAGAGCTCCACCTGACTCTGGCGCTTCTCGCTGGCATCAATAAACGCCTTTCGGGCAACTCGCGCAAATGCTGGTGTAGTGGATACACAGACGTGTGCCCACATTATATCAGCAAACGATGCCCACTCTGGTTCGAGGAATGAGTCGCGCGGGATTAACAAGACATCGCTCACAAACTCGTACTTGTCTGGGATAGCTTCCATGATAGCAGGCGAAAGTTGATGCTTGCTGGCAAACACTTCTATTGTACTGCGGATCGCTTCGTTGCGGTTCAGTCCACTCGTCTTGCCAAATTTGTTTGCGTATGCATCATCGTCCAATACAACCTCGAGCTGTTGTAGTTCAGCTTCGTTCGTCGACGCAATTAGTTCTCGAATAGTTGCCACAACAGGAAGCAAAAACATCGTCATTGACTGGGAATCCTCAATTGACTTGGAGACGTTAGCAACGTGGACGCGGCGAGACTTGTCGTAAACATGCGCCTTCTCCAGCAAAGTCTTCATCTTCTTCACTTGCAATTTTTCAACAAGAACACCGAGCGGTTTATCATCGGAAGTAGCTGATGCAATCGTAGTGAGTGTGTTGATGATCTTACTCTTGGTAGCAGCGACAGGAGCGGTCGACGCCCAAAATTGGCACTGGTACGTTGACGAATAAAACTGTCCAAACCCGAAACACTGAAATCCACCGCCCAATATGTAGAGGGACTTGTTGGTCGGCAGCCAGACCGTGCTGTGACCCACAAAAGCTGCATTCTCGTGCTTCACTTCGCCCAGCTCTGCCCATTGAGATGTCTCGATGTCCAGCAAGTACACCTTTTTAGTCGCCTTGTCTCCATTTGCAAGCAATGCAGACGTCACACCACCCATCACGACAATTTGGTGATCGCTGATCGAGGTGGCACTGGCAGCAAACAGCGGAGGAGGCTGGCTTTTGTTGTTGGTATTTTCGAGACTTTTATGCTCCCAGGTCTCCTTGATCGTATCGAACAGCAAGCACGCACTGCTATCCTTCTCATCACTGCAATCACCGTTTTCAAGTGACGACATACCTCCCCAAAATGCAAGCTTCGTCGAGTTGGCAACTGCACCAACGTGATCAAATCGACGTGGGGTGCTGATAGAGCTCTCTGGGAAAACAATACAAGCATTTTAGAGTAAGTTTTTTTCTTCTAGATGGCGCATACTTGAGGAGTGAAGAAACTTACCAATTTGACGCCACTTGGGCGGATTCTGGCTGAGATCCAGGGCAAAAAGATCATTAAAGACCTGCTCGGCATTGCGACCACCGTACACGTACACAACAGCACCAACTGCGGTTGCATTAAAGCAGAAAAGAAATTAGTCAGCGTTTCGCTCCAGCGCAGGATCAAAGTAAATGACCCTACCAGCACAGCTGCAGTGCTTCCAACGCGGAGAAGGCCCAACTCCTTGAGGAGTGATCTTTTCCCACTGCTTCGTCTCAAGGTCCATTGCATAAACGTCATTCAGGGGCTTGGCGGGACTACCTCGACCACCAATTACAATCATACGCGTCCCCACAACAACAGCAGAGTGATACATTCGAGTCGACGGACCATCAGACCCGGCTGTTGAGTGATACGTCTTTTGAAGAGAGCCATCCTCCGAAGGGGTCAAGAAAACCGTGTCCGCAACGCGAGTTGTCGTTCCAGATTCTGTCGGTCCCTGGCCACCGAACACAACAATGGTATCATCGTACTGCACGCTCGAATGTCCTACTAGTTTCACGCTGTCCGCGCTTGTCACTTCCGCCCAAGAGCTCAGCTCAACCATTGACCTGCTCCCAGCTTTCAAATTCGCAACTGGCTGGCAGAATTTAGCTCGGAAAGCCTCAAAAAGTCGACCTGTCTTCTGCTTATTAGCTTCAAACTTCTGGTTAGCGATATCCACGATCCATCGAAGATAATTCTCGTTCACGAGCAACTGCTCCGCATTTCGTCCAAGTGGAATCTCCAATCCATTAGCCGTCGTGCGAATCGCGCACGTAATCTTTCGGTTGCCGAGCACGACCCCCGATTCGCGGAACCCGCACGCAATACCCCATTGCAGCAACGCTTTGGCCGAGTCCAAATCCCGACACACAACGTGCATGATGAGCGGCTCGTGCTTAAAGATAATCTAGATCAATAAGCGGCATCTTTAGCCACCAAATATACAGGCTAAGTCATTGTAATACCAGCCACGCACCATGTTGCTGGTGCTGGAATTGACGTCAGGTGAGCGGAAAGCTGCCGCCAATTGGTCAAATGTGATGGTGGCATGTTCAGCGATCAACCACTTGCCACCTTTCGTGATCAGATCCGTTCCAGCTTCATGATCATTCCCACTTGCAGCTATACCGCAAAAAACAGCAATGCGACCCGAACACGAGCTGCTTGTCACCTGTGTCACAACCCGAAGTCAGTTGCCATACTGTCAATGCAAATGCACCAATAACGTACGTAATCCGGATGCGCATTGATAGTTTTGATCATGTCCACAATTGGCTCATCGATGCAGCCCTTGGGGCTCTTGTCCTCCATGGCCTGCAGCTTTCGCAGACTCTCTCGCTTGAGCTGCGCAAACATGGTCCAGTCGTCGAATGACCAATGGACTATGTTTTGAAAATATAGTCCATTGCAGATTAAAAAATCCTAGCGTTACTGGGTTTTTTAATTTTTCTAAAAGCATTTGTATTTCAATTGCAAAGCCGAACGTTTTTTAACGTGTGTTTAAAAACACTTTTCTAAACGGCTTTAAGAAAAACGCTTTTGTTTAGCAAAACCAGTTTTCAAATGGTACAATTAAATGATTGCTTAAATTGTTAAAGTGTTTTTATTACAATAGTTTTGTGACGACGACTTGAAAAAAATAGAATTGGATGCCTCCTCAATGTGGTGGTAAAGTCAGTATCCGCGTATCATGCGCCGGCGTGCGCGTCAACCAACGGCGTGCGTTGCCAACAGACGGCGGTCGGGTGTTCTTCAGTGAGTCGCAGTACTCTTCTTCCCCATTTCTCGTGCGTGTGACCTTCGACAGTGTTTCCTTCATACATCGCGGGACACACGTTGTGGAGCGGCGCTTCACGTTCCCGGATCGCATTTTGCATGCCGTGCTAGCGGAGTTCTCTTCACAAGTCTTAAATACCACAATACCTCAAACCAGTGTGTCTACACAGGGAAGGAGAGCGCGGAAAGCACCGTTAAAGCCTCGTTTGCAGCCTCATTTATGCGTTCTGGTGCGCTCCGACTGCTTAAACGTCTACACTGCAGCCGGAGAAGTGTTCGAGGTGGCACTACCCTTCCAAGCCAACAGGCTGCTCCCAATGGAGGGACGAGGATTGCTATTGCAGCGTAGTCCAGCGATCCCAATTCCTTCGTCGTCTTCGAAACGACCCAGAGACGCTGCAGCAGTAGCTCTTGCCCGCAAGAACCGACGCGCGAGCACTAGCAACAGAGGAGATGGGGGACGATACAAGTACAGCACTGGAGACAAGAACGCACCGGCAAGACCGAGGTATTTTACGCTTAGACATCCGCTGGACGAGGTCAAACCTGTGGCCTTAAGCGGCGAAAAGTTTCTTTCGGACTCGGCGTTGGAAGCTGTGGATGTGCTGGAGGATAGAGTATCGCCTATCCTGGTGGCTTTTCATCGCTGGGAGCAGAGATTTTGTGTCTTTCGGATGAATGTGGTGCAGAAATCGATGAGCAGCCTGATGCCAGAGGTTAAAGTAGTGGACGGACCGACATGGACGAGATATAGAACTAGGAGCGACTTGGAGAAGTTGCGCGTGGGGATTGAACCGGATTGGACTGCAGCAATGCTTTGGAAAACGCCGCGTGTTGGGCCAGCGACTTCCAAGCCGATGTTTTTGTCGCCTATTGTTTCGTCTACTTCTCGCTTGACTGCTTCACCTGTTACACCAACGCCGTTAGCGACCATCACGCCGTCAACATCATCGGGAATCATTTCCAAGCTAACGTTTATCGCATCAGGTGCCGACAGACTTCCGTTGCTGTGTATAATGGACAAAGATGCTGGTACTCTTCTGATGAAACCCATTTCACAGCAACAAAGCGTTACTCCAGTGCCTGACCAAGGTGGCAATGAAAGTGATAACGTTCATATCATGTACTGTCGTGACGCGGCTCCAGTCCGGCACGTAAAATCGTGTGAAGTTGGTGAAAAGCAACATGTTGACAGCCCCACAGACATTGTGGTGCTGGAAAAAGATGGCTCGCTTGTGCTGTATAGAGCGCAAACTCTAATTTGCCGCTTGGCTCTTCCTGATGTGGAACAGAACGGCTTGGTTGCCAACGTGCAGTTAAACTCTGTTGACAAGGGCGACGCCTATGAAATCGTGTACCCAGATCTGTGTGGTAGCTGCAGTGGGAAGATCTGGCGATGCGAACATCCGTTAAAGATCGTGAGCTCTCCGCTGTTACAGCAAGTGTTTGATGTGCTGGACTACGTTGTTCCCTCGACGGAGCTAGATGTGTTTAAGGCACACGTGATTTGCAGGGCACAGCAAAAAGCTCGAGACTTTGCACGAGATGACGACTTAGTGGATGGTGGGCTGGAATGGCAGGCCTTCTGTGAGAGTATCGCTGGTATGTTGCCGGAGCAAACAGATGATAAAGATGAAGTGCTGTCATCAGTAGCACTGGGGACGACTGAGGATGATGTGGAGATGGCTGCTGCTTCAAAGTCGTCATCGTTTGATTTGCTTTGCCAGAGTGAATATCACGACATGTATCAGTATGAACATGCGATGCTCTTTGCCACAATGGAGCTCCCCGCCACGAATGTTAGTCCCCGTGACAACCGTGCCACTAGTCTGGAAGGCATACAAAGGGAAGAGAAGATACTACTTATGGAAGACTATGCGAAGAGCATATTTGCAGGGCTTCACTTGCTGTGCGAAGATTTAAAACTGTCGATAACGCTCTATAAAGAGCGGTTGCTTCTAGCAGAGTTGCTGTTGAAGATGTCTCTGCGACTGAAGCTCAAGCCTTTTGTCACTTATTACACGGAAGACAATTGCGTTCTGCAACACCGAACAATACTACGCTCGGAGTTGGAACAACCTCCAAAGAGCAACGAAGGAGGATTGCTTGGCTTTACGCAGTATGGATCTGTGCCAGATTTGCTCTCGTGGCTTCAACATCAGATGACATCACCGCTACCCACATCAGTGGACTTCCCTACACTTCTTGACGTTGCAGAATCACCCTCTGATAGCTTGTGTCGGCGTCGTGAGAGTCCACTTCACCGCACTAGAGCGATTTGTCGCGTGTACGAGTTGATCTCTTCAAGCTCAAAAGAAGTGTCTTCGATGCAGGCAAATGCTTTCAAGTTGATCGCGTACCTCACACAAGACCCCCTTGGTAGCACGTTGTCATTAGACGATCTCCCTGTTGGAATGAGCTTTCCTATCATCCAAGCGATCCGTCATGTGAAGCACCACCCGCCTCCTTCCATTACCGAAGACATTTGCGCCTTCGTGGGACGTGAAGACCTCAGTATTGCAAGCGCAGAAAGCCTGACCGACCATTTCGATTATCCTAAAAACCAGCAACAGCATGATCTTGCAAGTAAAGGCAGCGACTCGAACACTCAAGCTGAGGAGGAGTACCGCGATGACTGTGACGGCCTTGAAGACATTATAAGTCGCAGCCAGCCGCTTTTCCCAGCTGATCAGAGGATGAAGGAGGTCGCACGATTACTGCGATCAAGTCGCCCTCTGTGTTTGAAGCTAGAGAAGACGCCAGATCTGTCCGATCTCGACTACGCGCAGCAGCAGCAAGCTCGCTTGTTGCTGCTGTGCAAACGGTCGATGGCGCTATCCGTTGCTCGCGGCATGGTCACGCTTGGCAGTTTTGACGTCTCCACAGCACAATCGCAGATCTGGCGCCTGCAGATTCCTGCGCTGCCTCTTCAAGGTCGGAAGCCACCAGCAAACGCAATTGTGGAGCTTGATCTGTCGGGATATGCCAAGGAACTGACGTATTGGCCTCAATTCCACAACGGCTGTGCTACTGGACTACAACTTCCGGCACACGATCTCTCGGGCGTTATTAATCGTCACTGGATCAAGTATCATCGCCCGTCAGTGAATGATACGCAGCGAACGTCAATTGGGACTCGGCAGGCTGCAGCGACCCCGTCAGCGGATACTACTGGTCGCAATGTGGAAGAGGCGTATGCAGCGCATGCAGGACTATTGCTGGGCATCGGCCTACGCGGTCACCTCAAGTGTTTGTCCATGGCTGATGTCTACAACTATTTGTCGCTGTCAAATGAGTTCGTGACTGTAGCTATCATGCTCGGCATGGCCAGCACGGCTGCACACTGTCGACACAAGCGAAAGCAGCAAGCTACACCAACGAAGTCAGACGCTGGCGACGATGAGAGCCACGCCCCACTAGGAGCTGATCAAGCCGAAGAAATGGCACCACTTGAAGCGGACCAGTTCTTCTCTGATTTCTCTGAGCTTTCCTCATCCGATCAAACTCCTCTTCTTGGAACAGGCTTAGAGTTGGCGCTCGAGCGATCAGTATCCAAGATGTTGTGTCTTCATGTGCCGTCGTTGCTTCCTCCCCCCTTCGGAGGATTTTCGGTACCTGCATCTACTCAGACGGCAGCTCTACTGGGACTTGGGATCTTGTACCAAGGCACCGGTTATCGTCTGATGACTGAGCTTCTGCTCACCGAGATAGCGCGCTCTCCGTCGAGTGCTCAATTTGTGGGTAGCAACAGCAATTCAGGACTATCGACAGCTTCGTTTGATCAACTAGAGGGTTACGCTTTAGCAGCAGGAATGGCACTGGGTCTTGTTGTCCTTGGACGAGGTCAGACCACTTCAGGAGACCCTGGACTTGCCGATCTCAAGCTAGAGGAAAAGCTTCACAAGTATATTGTCGGTGGTGCACAACAGTATCGGGACGCAAACGCAGCTGGAAGCTGTCTGTATCGTGGTCGTCGTTGGCATTCGTTTGGTAATGTCAATGGCTTCAACTCCGCGGTTAACGGCAGTAACACGGCGAACGGTGCGCCCAATAACACGGGAGCTTCTCCAGGCGCTGGTCGTAATACTAAACCGTCAAGTGATCGCAGTGGAGCGCGTAGTGGCGGCGAGCATGTCAACATCGGGGTAACTGCCTGTGCAAGCGCTCTGGCGTTGGCCTTCATGTACATGCAGACGGACAACAAGGCGGTGGCAGCTCAACTGGCGGTTCCTGACACTCTTATCCTTCTGGACTACGTTCGCCCCGACATCCTTTTAGTACGCACGTTGGCAAAAAATCTAGTAATGTGGAATGATATCTCGCCGACAACCGAATGGATCGAGCAGCATGAGGTCCCAACGCAGCTTCTCCAAGTGTACGAGTCTATCCAGACACGTCGTGGTGATGGAAGAGGAAATTTGAGTGGATCTCCAGCACACTCTGACCTCCACTCCATTTGCGAGGCCTATGCGAACATCATTACTGGAGCGTGCATGAGTATTGGACTACGATTCGCTGGTACAGGGAACTCGACAGCTCGATCTACACTACGCAAGTATGTTCTTCACTTCCGTGAGCTGAGATCAAAGGCTTCATCGTCGTCTTCGATGATTCTACGAGGAAGTAGCAGCGTCGTTGCTGCTGCGACAGAGCGTGCAACTGTTGAACGGTGCTTAGCGGTGTGTGCACAAGCACTCGCATTGATTGACGCTGGAACGGGTAATGTTGAGTCGCTGACTCTGCTACGGTCGATAACACTGCGGCAACGTGTGGACGCAGCAATGACTTATGGCAACCACATGGCGTTGAGTATGGCGATTGGATTGCTCTTCCTCGGTGGTGGACGTGCCACTGTATCACGATCGAAAGAGGCGATTGCAGCGCTTGTGATCTCACTGTATCCGATGCCGCCCATGAATACGGCTGACAACAAGTATCATCTGCAGGCTTTCCGTCATCTTTACGTGCTGGCAATTGATACGTCGAGATTATTGGAGACCGTAGATGTGAATACTAGAAGAACTTGTGCAGTTCAGGTCCGAGTCGACCTCCGACCTACTGGAGATGGATCTGACACGCAGCCATTGTACCACGTGCTTCAAAGCCCTTGCCTTCTTCCGGATATCGCAACGATTGAGCGTCTTGTCATCTCTGATCCTGGATTTTACCCGATTGATATTCTTACGTCGCAGTCTGATGGACGGATGTCGTTGGAGACTGGCAGAATGAGAACAGCTAATTCGCTACGACTGGAACTCTTGCGAGGGAAGAACGTGGTTTTTCTAAAGCGTAGATGTCGAAAAGACTTGGGAGTCTTTGCAGATTTTGCGGAGGAATTGGAGCAACAACATGGCTTGCGCGCAGATGACGACAGTGGCGACACTCGACTAAGGAAGCTTTTTCGTGCCTTCTTCACGTCGAGGATTAACGGTGACGATGACGACTGCGACGATGTTGAGGACGACGAAGATGTGGCAGATTGGGGCAGTAGCTGGTGGGCAGCGCAGCTGAGCTCACGGGCGCTGGAGCAAGTTCAAGACGAGGAACAATTGCTCATGCCAACGTATCTCAATGCGTTGCATGCGCTCTTCCGGCTGCAGCAAGTTCCGCAACTGGCAAGTGTTATGGAAGTCGTGGACTTAAAGTTGCTCAGTGAATACTGCCGTCTGCCAGTGTCTCATGTAGCGAAAGATGAAAAGAAAGATCAACTCGTCAATGGATCAGAAGGAATCACGGAGAGAGGATCTTCGCTGTCTGGATTTGGTGTATGGCTCTCGAACCAAACTGAAGAAGCTCTTAGTGCACTCTGGCATCGAACGTCGTTGGATATTTCTTCTCTCGCTTCAGCTCGAGTTCAACTACTGGTGGAATCCTCGCCGTCGATAAAGCCAACGAAACAAGGCAGAGCTGTGCTGGATGCGCTCTTCGTTAGTGTGCTGGTGCGGTACTTCGGTGGTCCTTCAGCGTCCTCCGTATTGGTTCAGAGAATTGCTGATAAAGACTGGAGAACTAAATTCCAACGCGTTCTGGCCGCTTGTTCACGAGCTCAGCATCAGTCGACGTCACCGGCACGATTTAAACTATCTGCCTTTCTGGACCAAGACGAGCTCACAGAAGCGGAGAAGACCTTCTGGCTTAAGTTGGTATCGTTCTTCCTCTTCTCAAACTAAGTGGATAATGATGCAGACAAGAAGCTGGTGCTGTTTTGCTAATGTTATATAGTTTTTATTGTCTTGCAGGCCTTTGAGCCGAAATGGGTGCGTGAAGCTGACAGCCATCGCCTGCTCTCCCTGCAAGTGTTTTTCCTATCTATTCACCCTCCACTTGCAGAAGATTAAGCGATCAATCTACTGCAAGAATGGGGTGGCCGTCGATCTGAGAAGCGTCTTCGTCGCTGTCGCTCACAAGCCTGGAGATATGCAGACACGACACACAAGGTCCGCTCGCTGCTCACCTGCTGACGATCACCAGTATCGCCTCCCTGCAAGCTTGCCCGGGCTGTCGAGAAGCATCCGTGCAAGTCCTCACCGCTGTTGCTATCTCTACTTTTTTTCTTTTGTGGGAACAATGTTCTCTTCTTTTTTTTTTCACTTCATGGCATGCCATTTTTTTTTGCCATACGCCACCACTGCAACCTGCTCAATTCAGTTTGGCAAAAGTGATTTTCATTTTACGTCTCTTGCGCGGCGACGACACGGCTGCAAGAGCCGCTGCCATCTCCAAGGGCTTCTTCACCACCTTAACAGGCGGCGAAGTGATCCCTCGAGCTGCCGCGCCATTTGCCGACGTATTGACAGAGTTGTCACTCAACGGGTTCCCGTCCGAGCCACCAACTCCTTCCACAGCCTTGTCATCACGGTCACGCTTACCTGTCTTTTCCGGAGATGTCGTGGACACCACCTGCTTCGCCTTGACCGGTGTGTTGTTGACGGAATCAGTGCCGTTCACTTCGCCTCCATCAGCTGCAGGATCAGGACTCCCTGGCTGCGAAATGCTGCCCTTGCCGTTGGCCATCTCAGTTGCAAGTGACGCAGCCTTCTGACTGCACGTCAAATCATCTCCATCTTCTTGGGAGTGCGTTCCCTCGTCACCTGAAGGCGAAGGACTGGGAGCTGCAGCCTCCTCCGCTTTCTTCTCTTCTTCCTTTTTCTTCTTCATGAACTCACGACGAGCAGCACGCGCAACCGTCCGTCCGCCCATTTCCTCAAACACACTCTCGGGCAGCGCTTTCCACAAGACTGGAGTAACTCGCACATCCATCGTAGGCGTTCGTTTGTTCCAGCGATAAAGATCGTTGTTTTTGAAGTATTCCACGGAACTGTCGATACTCACTTCACGACTGCGTAGCTGGCGGCGGTCAATGTCAAAGCCCACGTAGAAGCAGGCACCGAACTTGCTAGGTTGGGCTGGTGGTTGGCCGTTTGATTGTCCACCGACAGGAGCCTCGCCAGCGGTGACGTAGCTCAGAGAAAATTTCTTCGTGTACACACGCAAGCGACACAACGCCGGGTTGTACGCCAAAGACTCGACCAGTTTACGCATACGAGACTCGCAGAAACTGCACCAAGCCTGCTCCTCATCCTGCTTCTCCGTGTACACCTCGACCGCGAGGTAGTGTTGGTGGACGGCGAAAAATTCAGACGGTTCAAACAGCGGTCCCCATTCCGACCCTCCTTTGCTGAGTACGTCCTGCACAATGGTCAAACCACGCTTAAACTCCTCCTTCATCACTGTCAGACTGTGTGTCGACACGTTAAACGAAGAGTTCATCGACGGGTATGCTGGAGTCAAGATCGGCATCACTTGGTAGCTATAAAAGCAAGATTAACATATATCAGTATTGTAACATCGAATAGCACACTAAGTCAGTATCACATCAACGTACCGGTTGTGACCTGCGTTGGCGTTCCAGACCTCGAGACCGAGCTTGGCGTCATGGGTTTTGCACAATTGAATGGCGAGCGGCCACTTCCAGTTGTTCAGCACCATGAAAAATCGCAGCAGTAAAGTGGACGGGGCTGCCGTCGGGTACAGCTGGTTGATGAAGCACACCAAGATGCACCAGTTGACACCACCAAGGTACCCCATCTTGTTCGAGTACAGTCCGCGTCGTTTAGCCCATCGTCTGACGATTCGAAGCACGCTGATGAAGCTCTCCCGGTTGGGTGTCAGCTTGATCATGAGTTCCGTGACTCGAGGACCGTTGAGACTCTTCTCCGTAGCTGGATCCACGCCAACAAGCACGTGATCGTCCAGTATATTAAGGTTTTCCGGGATAGAGTTCCTCGGCAAGATGGCAATCTGTAAATCGATGTTGATCTCCTCGTAGTCAAAAGTGATGAGAGGTACAATGGCGCCTTCGATAGCTACAAGCTGCGAGACTTTGGGGTGTTTCAGGAATATCTCCTTGAGTGACGAGAAAAAATCCTCGCGCGTCACGTGGCGCGGTGCCACGCAGATAGTATCGATATCAGCTCCAGGCTCGTTGACTCCGAGTCTGTAGGAGCCCGAGACGAGGATCTGGCCGCCAGCGTCCGCTGCCATTTCCTCGGGAACGCCTTTCTCCATACATACCTGCTTGACCCAGGCACGGAAGATGGAGCGAAGCTCGGCCAGGATCAACGAGCGACGCGTGATGTTGGCATCCGATTCGGTCGGGAAGTGCTCGTCCATATAGGTTTGAAGCTTAGCCGACTGCTCCAAGTCCTTGGGCTCCGGCGGCGTCGTCCGGATGGCCTTGTACGCCTGCTCCAGCACGTGAGGAGCCACGGTGAACGTCGAGCTCTGCATCTCGAAGCGGATAATGAACTGAAGTCTGTCGTTTCTTGCCAAAATCTGCTTCTGTCAATCGAGGTCGGTGCTGTCTCTGTGCTGTTCATTGGACGATAAAGCTTCCATATTTCATTGGGCGAAACTTTGTGTCAAAGAAAATATAGAAGTACTTTTCTACCAATCGTTGTAGAAGTCATGTTTTTGAATTTTGAACCGGAGAATCTTCGCGCTCAACATGGACGACATCGAGGCACTCATGCCCCGCACCAAGTGCGTCCTTCCCCGCGCCATAATGGAGATGCTACACGCTGATATGCGCTCATACTTGTCTTTGCAGAGCGGCAAACGATCGTGCACCGGTCGACAAGGCCAAGCTGAAGCAGTACATGGCCACCAAGAATGCTGTGCACACCGTCGGAGCGTAAGGAGAAGAAATGGTCGCGAATTATTTCATTTTACTTAGTAATTTACTGTACATCACTGTTTCAGCCGGTCGGGCGTCGTGGTGCGCGGTGACGTGCGCAAAGACGCGGAAGGATTCGAAGACGTCGACGATTTCTGGGTCGATGACGACTCGATGCAAGACGACTCGGTGGACGACGACGACTGTGCGTGCAAATACCTACAGCTTAGGAGACTACTGTTATGTATGGTGCTGAAACTGGTTATGTGCTGTGGGGACAGCGCTGACGGCGTCGGACAAGGAGTCAGCGGACACGTCGGGCGACATCTCAGAGCCCAGCGAGCACGAGGTGGAGCTGGCAGACATCGGCAGTCCCGTTATAAGTGACCGTGAGGGTATGGAGATTGAACCAGGGACTATACCGTCACGAAAACGCTCACAGAGAAGTAGTGGTCGAGCGGAGAGAGAGGAGAAGAAAGAGGATGCAGATCCGGCGCCCTCTTCTCCTCTACGCAGCGATGTGTCGTTCGATTTTGGAGGCTCACCACATGAATCTGTGGATATGAGCGTTGATACGAACGTTACGATCCGTGATCGACGCAAGAAATCGACTGCCAAGGATGACAAGGCAAAGGCAAAGGCTCGTCGACGAGAATCGTTTGGTGGACGTGGCTTTGACGAGGATGCGGCCAGTCCGTTCTCTATGAATGAAGAACACGTCACACCACTCTCAAATGGTACGTTTACTTACTGTGGTCCAGATATATTCAGCATGCTTGAACGTCGGACTGATAGTGTTATTCTCTTGTGTACCTACAGCTAGTGACCGCACTTTGAAGTCGATTCCTTCGTTTTCCGACAAGAATTCGCTCTCGCCGAACATCAGCAAGGATCTATTCAAAAAAGGAGACTACGATAGCGATGCCAGCGACGAGAAGCCGAAGAAGAAGCAGACAAACGGCAAAAAAGCGAAAAAGACAGCTTCTGCAAAGCTGTCGGATGGTGACACGAAGAAGCGTCGAATGCGACCAACAGGAAAGTACGGCTATCGAACGGCTCCACCTGCAACAGACACGTCGACCCAGTCTGTCCAGACAGACGACGACAACGACGAATCTTTCGAGGCGCAGAATGACTCAGGTGGCGAGACTGGAGATGACAGCTTTTACAATGAACCGGACGCTCCCACTGGCCCAGTGCGTGACAGATTACCGGACGCGACTAGGATTCTAGACGATGAGAATGATGAAGCCTGGGATGGCAGTGGCTTGCGTCGATCGAAGCGAAGACGTTTCAAACCGCTGGCCTGGTTCAAGAGCGAACACATGGTGTACGAACGTACTTTCGTTGGTGTGGGCACAGTAATGCCTACGGTTGTGGGCGTGGAGCGTCTTGGTCATGACTCTCCGACGTCAAAACGAACGAAGGCCAAGCCGCCGTCGAAACGGACCAACAGCAGCAGGGCGTTGACGCTCAAGGAGTTACCTAAGGACATACAAAAGCGGATTGTGGACAGCGAATGGGCGACGCTTTTCGACAGCCAGGCAGGCTGTATGAACGATCTCAACGTTATCTGCCGTTCTAGCGAAATCCGACTACGTAAGCTTCCGACGGAGGAGAGGGGTGGAGCGGTAGTACACGCCTATGCAGGACAGAGTTTCAACCTATTCAGTCCGTCTCCTTTTGCTCGATGGATCTCTGGTCGTGTGGTGTTGCCTCCTGGGGCGTGGAAAGAACCAGAGGGCGTTGGCCAAGCAGTTCAGCTGTTCTACGTGACGGGGTGTCAGCCGAAATCTCTCGAGTTGGCGTTGGGTCCTGAGACCGACGACGATTTCATCGGCAGCAAGCACACGACGCACTTTTTGCTCAGTCCAGGTGACGAGTTTTACGTGCCCGCTGGCAACGTGTACTGTGTGAAAAACCATTCAAGCTCTGCGGACTGCGATCTGCGGTTCACCATTTTGAAACCCGAAGCACCTCCTATGCCGGACGATAACGATTCGGACCCAGAGCAGGAGAAAGAAAAGGAGGATCCGGTGGCCGCAGAGGCCAAGCCGGAGGCAACTGAGACAGCGAATAGCCCACTGAAGCGCAAACGCGAGGAAGACGCGGGTGATGATGCAGACGCAGAATCCGATTCTGTCTAAAGAGATTATGCACTTTCATTCTATTATCAGCAGTCTCCGTTTTTCAGAACAGTAGTACAGTAGTACATGTTTACTGTTAGAGTATAGTACATGTACTAGTTTCGTGTGCAAAGTTCTCGGGTAGGAATGCGACTCGGATATCGGTGTGCATGTATCGTCTCCATCGTGGCATTGCTTGTGCGGTCACTTAGAGCCGGAAAACTGTCTGACTCGCCGATAGCCGGTCCCTTTATCCGGAGCGCATGATTACACCGGTATTCTTTGACGACCACTGCCGCAGTGACTGCGGCGTCAGTAGTGGACACTGTCCACATCGTGCAACGGTGGACTTTACCTGGCATGGATTCATGCGTCATTTACGAATTAGAGAAAGTCTTCGGCAATTTGAGTAAGTGCTTTCAGTGCCCTTGCCACTATAATACTGTACCTTTTGGCTTCTCTTTTGAGACGCCCACACACGTCGACGTTAAGCGTTGAAAAATACAAGCAACTGAAAAAAAAACGTTCCTCGTTGCAGGGAGCGTCGTCAACTCGAATGGAGATTTATGCGCGCATACGCATGGGCGCAGCTCTGCAATAAAAGCAGATGGCTGAAGCCCCAATATGGAGAAAATAGGTGAGACCACAGCAGCTGTGTGGCCTAAGAATACGCGTGGGTCGTGGTTCGGTGTCTTGGTGTGGCAGTCGGCAAAGCGCAGTGACGCTCGTATGCACCAGAGTGGAAGAAGTTGTCAGTGCTGAACGGACTGCACATCGGACAGCCAAGATCAGCACTGGCTGCCCTATACAATTAGGTGGCGCCGTCGACTCGCTATTGCTTATTTCGCGTGCTCGACAGCAATGGATTCGACGACTTCGTCGTCTAAGTACGTCCGCAGCGAATACTTTATGGCTATGGAGGTAGCACAATACTGACGCCTGGGCTGCTACAGGATGGATGAGATCGAGATAATCAAAGAAGGCAGCGTCGCCGTCCGAGGACACTTCATGGTACGCTCTCAGCTCTTATCAGCTTTATTGCCACGTCGCGTCTTGTGATCTCATTTCTCGTTTTGATTTGTAGTGGCGAGATCGTTATGTTCTTGTCAAACCAGGAGAAATTGTCATCCGTCGCCGACGTGAAGGATCGATCAAAGCGAAGGTTGGTTCATATCATTGCTCAATCCCACCACCCACCATCTTCGCGCGCTCACAGCCTTGTCCACCCTAGATCGATCTGCTCGATGCGAATATTAAGCTCACATTTCTCGGCGGACAGTCACTACTCACGATATCTATGCATGGCCGAGATACTGTATTTGATTTTCGCTCGACCGTCACGCGTGACGAGTGGATCAGTGCCATTGTTAGCGCTCAGGAACGCCCAGAAAGCGATGAGGAATGCGATGAAAACGGAACAGAACTTTTATCTGGGGATGAACTAGACGACCACAAACGCAGCTCGATGTCGAGTATGGGAACTGAAAAGAGCGATCTCTTGGAAGAGGACGGCGAAGGCTACAGTGACGCTCTGCTGGCCTTACAAAGCGTACGCGATTCCGTAATGCAGTGTCATTTATCGATGGGGGCAGCAGAAGTCGATACTTTTCTTACTCCTCGCGACAATCCTGCGACTCCAGCGTTCACAAAGATCGCTCCATCACTTCGACGAGTGCAAAGTGCTAAGCGAAGTGAGGAGGAGCTACGACAGAAGCGTCTTCGATCGCTCTTGACAATGATCGAAAGCACGCGGCATGGTGGACGTGTGGTATTGCTACATCTCGGAGTAGTAGCGTCTGCAGGTATTACAGTCGGTGATATGCTACTGGCGTTGGGAGAGAAGCAAAGGGACAATCCACGGCTCGGTTCCTTCACACCGCGCACCCTGAGCACGCAGAAACACAACGTCGCATCGTTTGTTCGGGACATTCTGTTCCACCCTATTTTTTCAAAGCGCGAGGAGGTCAATACCGAGGTTGTACAAGGTCTCATCGACTTGTTCTTCCCTCATTGTCGATTAAGAAGATTCAGCGACGACACGGAATGGCAGCAGGCGAACAACGTATCCAGAGTCCCGACAAAGAGCGAAAATGATGCTGATATCGCCTCAGCCATACCTGTTAATACCCCCACCACTCCAAATCCAACATCAAGAGCACCACAGAGGAAAAAGCGACGCAACCACTCGTTCCCGAACTTGACTGGCATCTCTCAACTCGCTAAGAACAAAGGTTTATTACTAGCATCTACTGACGACAACGACCGATCTATTAGCTCGAGGAAATGTGAAGAAGGAGGAGCACAACGTTTACGGGATAACCTGTCGGTGCTGTTTGCTCCTTTGCATCCGTCTCCAGGTCCTGGAGGAGGAAGAGAACCTCCGATCCCCCTCTTGAGTTCCAGTACACTGTTCGACTCGACACACGAGGAACTTGACTTAATTTGTGAAGATGTCCCGCTTCCTGCACCTCTACGAAGTTTACTATGGGAGATGTCGTGCTCCGAGATGGCAGAACAACTCACAGTTTTCCATCATTCTCAACTCACGAACGTGTATCCGTGGGAGTTTCTCCATCATCCCAGACAAGCAGCCAAGGAGCTGACAGACCATTTCAATCGATTAGTGGCGTATTTTGTGTGGTCGGTGCTCGTTGAGGACTCGCCAAAAGAACGTGCTGAAGTCATTGAGGACATCATCTCTATCGCTATGGCTGCAAGTGCACCACCGTTGAATAATTTCCACTTGGTGATGGCATGTGTAGGCTGTCTGGGTGACACGCCACTCATGTCTTCACGGATGCCAACTACGTGGAAAAAAGTCCGTGCCAAGTACAAAACTCGGCTAGGAGAGTTGCGACGCCTGTGTGATCATACCGGAGGCTTTGAGAACTTGCGACGCAAACAGAGCACCGAAAGCGCCCGCCCAGTACTGTCTAGTGACGTATCGACTGCCTCGATCATCCCCTTCGTCGGCGTTATTGGAGTCATGCTGGAACGACTACGATCAACTAGCTACTTCACTGCAAAGAAGATGCTAGATCTGGACAAACTGGAACGCCAGTATATGGTGCTAAATGTACTTGAGAACGCCCTTCTTAAGCCAGCCCCACGACCGAGTCGAGCACCACAGCGTGGAAAGACAGCTCCGACTGAGACTGCTGATCAGATGACAACGCGCATGCAGCACTTCTTTGCGACTCTGAAAATGGATTTTGCCACGTCTCGACTGCATCAGCTACGCTCACAGCAAATCCTGGCAAATGAAACCAGTGCTACGAGTTCCGCTTCAACCTCGTTTGTACTGACAGCAACAGTAAACGGGAGCAACAGAGGAGGTGCACCATTGACAGCGAGTCTGGCCACGAATAGCTCGCATGGCTCCATTGGACTGAGTGAAGACTCGGGACTGCCGTTCGTGTCGTTCCGTGATATCTGCGTTCTATTGGTGTCAGTGCTGGACACACGCGAACGGATACAAATGGCGCTTGAAGCGTTGTTTGTGGATGGCCGGCAATCGGCTACACAGTTCCTGCGCAAGTTTTGGCTTGATTTTAAGCTAAACGTGTGGATATCCGGTGTTGGTCCCACACTTCATAGTGTGCGGCTTTGTGTGTCGGCTCTGTATCAAGAGGTTATGACGCACAAGATCACGGAGCTCATGCAAATCAGCGGCTTGGACGAGAACTCGAGTGATCTGCACGACATGGTGTACGTGAAGATCGTGGTGATTACTGTGCAACCTATTTATCTGAAAATCGTATCGAAAGTCAAGCGCAATTTCGTCAAGGAGGACGCTCATGCATCCGCTCGGCTACTGAAAAGCACTCCTCAAGTTGTCGTGGACACTAGCAAGCCGACGATGCCATGGAGCAGTTGCAGCTCCAGTTCTCCTGTTGAGTTGCTGGACCTTGTATGTCAACTAGTAGCGCTGCCTCGAGCCAGCACTACTACAGCAACCGTCGCTGCGACCGACCACCAGCTCGCAGCCGTGGAGTTGCTGGGAGCATTACAGCACCAAGGACGCCACACATTTCTTGCCACGAACCCGGTGAGCAGTCTGTACCTGATGAAGCAGATTCTGGAACCAAAGTACCTTCCTCTTGCTCGTCGACAGGCGCTCGATGTCTTTGTTGCTGCAGTCACATGGCTACGAAAAGAGCAATCGGCGTCCTCCGATGCGCCTCAAGTCGCCTTGGTGTAGCGTCAAGCTACTAGCTTGAACTAATTCTCCGCCACACCAGACCAGAGTGGACGACAGCCTACACTGACTGAGCGCTACACCCTATCACATGTACGACGACCAGCGTAACGCTGAGCGTTCGGTGGCGAGTACCGCGCCGTTGGTTGCATGTGCTGCCATTCTTCCCACTGAAATTTCGGAGATGGTCAGAATGTATTATCACGCGAGACTTGTATTTTCGCCCCCACTTGATCGATATGAGTTAGCTCTGCGAAAACCGCTTACATGTACTTGCTAGAAGCTCTAGTAGAACGGCCCTCTAAGCAATGCTCAGTGAACATTGCAACAAGCTAGCCAAAGCAAAAAAGTTCTATGCAATGTATCAATACACTGTACAAGGTACATGTACCGTATAGACGCGCCGAATTTGAGGCGCTCTATTTTTACCCACTCAGCTCGCTCGATTATCGGATACTGTACAAACATTCCTCTTTGGAGTGGTACCCCAAATAGTGATACCCTCTAGCTAAGGAGGTTATTTCCCGTTAATCGTAAACTTTCTATCAAAACTACAGATTTTTCTTAGTTTTACAAAATCAGAGTGTATTAGTATATAAAGTTCCTTAACTAACGAATAAGTTCGCTTGGTGATCTATGTTCGAAGAAGTCCAGTCCGACATTTACTTCTTCCGACACCCATTTCAGCGGGCTCGTCTATGACTACGTTCTCTTCTAGCAGGTTTAATAATAGCAGCTCTTCGATGGACATCAGGTATTTGTGTGCAAGCGCGACATCATCACGGCAAGCTCATGGTGACTTCAGAGCTCTCATATTCATAAACTAGGGCACAGTAGTCGTGTGCTTCCAGTAGTTCACAAAGACGGGTACGGGCATAGAATTTCAGAAATGCACGCTCAGTATAAGGGCTTGGCGCACGCTTACGCTGTAGCCGTGGCATAACCCATTGAAAGGCAGTTCATGTACAGCAACACGTAAAGGCGATGGTACCTTTGTAATGGTACAGCTCTGAATAGTGATTCCTCTGGATAGTGATAAAAAGTGGTTTTCCGAGCAGTCAGAGGATTGACTGTACATGTATTCCTATTGGCGGAAAACACACAAAGTGACCACATTGTCACGTTGTCGATGGGCTTTCTCGCCGGAATACGCGCGCACTCGTCCGTGGGAGGACCTGGCGCATTGCCCCAAGGATACAGTACTCTCTCAATTCGACTGTAGCGACTACTGTAGTCCTCCCATTTGAGAGACGTCCCAATTGGAGAGAGAAGGCCCCCTGTACCAATCTGATACGCCCGCGGCCATTTCAGCTTGAGTATCCTCGCTCTTCTGCAATACCAACCGGTAACTAGATAGCAGTCACCCTCTCTTTGGATCCCCGTAATGCTAATACGTTCTCCCCCCCCACTAGAGTCTGGTGTATCCATCTATGCGTGTGTGGTGGACTCTGGCACTCGGACTGCTGAGTGATCCAGCAATCGCCGCCAGCTCCTCGGGTTCCGGCACCTCAGCGGCCAGTGGGACACTCAACACATTGACAACAAGCTGCAACGGCGGCTGTAGTAATAACGGAGCCTGTGTGGTCGTGGGTCAGTCCTCAACCAATGCCATCAACTGTGTAAACGACACCAGTTGCGTCACGTTATCGTCGGGTCAATCAGCGCTGTGCCTCGATGCCTTCAGTTCAACAGCTACCGAGTGGATCTTCCAGCCATCCGAGAGTAACGACACTGCAGGTGTCGGTCCCTTTGAGCGTGTGGGGCTACTACAGTTGGACGATCATGTTACAGACCTGGCGTTCAGGAAGGCAGAGCAGGTAGAGGATCCGCTCTCCGGGTCACTGCAACTGGCGTCCATGAACGTCCAGCCGGCTGCTACATTAGAGAAAGTGACCTTCCAGAACATAAGTCTGTCCGGACTGGACAGCGCCTTGCCGCTCAACGGCGTCAAGAGAATGTGAGTTGTTGCACAGGCAGAGATGGAGTGAGGAAGTCAGGACTGACATGGCTATGTGGTGAACAGATACGTCAACTACTGCTCACTCAGTAAGATTCCTACCACGGCAATTGCTGGCGACTCTGTCACAGTCATGTACGATGGTCTACATCTTCCAGATGGCTTTTTCTTTGTCTAATTGTATTTTTGTCTGGCTCCTTCAGTGATTTAGCTGGAAATGCCATCACCAAGGTGGACGCTGCCTTCCAAGAGAGGACTTTTACCAACCTTACCTTGCTGTACGTGGAGTTGCCAACCCATCTATTATCTGTTGCGATGTGACTGACAAGTGTGTTTTTCTCTATGCAGTGATTTATCATCGAATGCTCTAACGGAGTTCGATCTTGTACCTGAGAACTTCCCAGCCATCACGACCTTGTGAGTTTTATTGTCTGTCGCGCATTCACCAGTTCCCCTGATTACACTTTCTGACTTCTCGCTATTTGCATTCTTAGATATCTGCATGGCAACTCATTGAAGACGGTCCCCGACGTGGTTTTCAGCCTGTCGACATTGCAGTATCTGACGCTAATCGACAACCCTATCAACGCGTCGGATCTCACAGCACAGCAATTCACGTTCCTCGCTAATTTGCCGATGTTCAGCATTGACGGCATTACCGATACAATCGCTTGCCCGACTGCTGCTGTGCAAAGTGCACTGAACGATTCCTTCACATTTTGCGTGGGAAACAACGAGACTTCTTTCAACTCAACCATCACCCAGCAGCCAGCAACGACTGTACCTGCCATTACTGGGGATGATTCATCGTCGTCGTCATCTAACAAGACTTGGATCATTCTAGGCGCGTGTTTGGGTGCTGTTGCGCTTCTACTGCTTATCGGTCTCATCTGGTGGTGTTGTAGTCGACGGAGAAATGAGCAACCGAAGCTTATGAACAGTGCCATCCCATCGATTGCTATTGGCATGGGCGACATGTCAGACCACCCGTACATGGAGCTGGGAATTCCATGTTCTAACGCTTCCAGTCAGACGACGTCGGACTTCGAGCTGCTCGCGTCTGTGGCAGATGGCTACATTGGACTGACGAGATTATCGTACGACGACGTCTTCCTCCACAAGATGCTGCGTGTTAGTAGTCGTTCTGAACTGTGGCTTGGCGAGTACAAGCATGACGCTGTACTCGTCAAGAAGATCAAGAGTAACACGGCATCGAAAGCGCTAATGCGGGACTTTGTGACGGAGATAGAGCTCATGTTTGAGCTCAAACACCCTCGAATTGCTGCCTTCAGAGGTGCTATGTGGGACGCTGATGGCACGGAACTCTGCGCTGTGGTCGAGTACGTTGAAAAGGGCGCGCTGCGGGACTGCACGGTGAACAATGCTATCGAGTTGTCCGTGCCAAAGCAACACGCCATTGCTCGACAGATCTCGGAAGCCATGGCGTTCCTGCACAAGCAAAACATCGTCCACGGTCGGTTGAATGCGTTCAACGTTTTACTGGACAAGGACTACTCTGCCAAGCTGAGTCTTTTCAGCATCTTCCACTACGTCAAGCTGTCACCTCTAGACAACGAGTGTAAAATATTCGTGGCTCCGGAAATTCTGCGTGGTGAGCAGCCATCGGAGCGGTCTGACGTCTACGCATTTGGCGTAGTTCTCGTGGAAATCGACACAGGTGAGACGCCTGTGATGAACGCTCGGAGGCTGTCAATGGAGCGCGCAGGTCGCGAAGACGGGCTGTCCCCAACAGCGAAAAAGACGGGATTCCGCTTGAGTCGCCAGTGCTCTGGAGTGCTGAAGGAAGTCATTACGGCTTGTGTGGAGAAGGATCCAGCACGACGACCATCGATGGCTGAGGTGGTGTTGGCGTTCAAGAATGGGGCGATGAAGTTGTAAGCTCTTCTCGTATTTTATTTCTTTGCGCATCGACCGCGCCAGCTGGATGCCTCTGCATGACGCACAACTCGAGGGAACGTACTAGCTCGAGCTTTTGCAAACGGGAGTAGCCTCTCTGTAAAAAACAAAAATACTTCACTGTTGTAAAAATTTGCAAAAGGTCAGCTTTCATTCCATTTCGCTACAACAAATTGCAAGCACTTTCAGTACAATTGCTTACAGTGACGTTATTTAGTTAGGGTGGTTCTTAACCGCGTCGTGCCATGTGGATGCTATCCAACGTTTCCGTTTTTAATAATCACTTCAAGTAATATCTGGCTGCATGCACTGACTTACGGTATCATGTTCGAACTTCTTCCAAATAAACCATCACGTAGTACGTGACGTACGCAGTGTTGAGCTCGACTTTAGTCGATGGTGTCTCCCATTTCGCTGCTCGGGCAGACTCTTCATCAGAGTGCCGCATCTGTAATGCAAAGTCTCGTCTTTTCGGTGATCGTCAGACGATGAGTTGTTAAACAACGAAACAGGTAAGCAATACAGCAAGTTGAGTACAGTGTCGTGGACACACCAGCAAATTGCAAGAAAAATTTGGATTGCCTTTTTCTACAAGGTTTGAAGTGCGTCAAAACTATCATGACAATAAATATTCAACGCTCCTCCCTACTCCTCCGATTCTGTCCCCACCAGTGTGCGTGGATCTCCTATGCTTTTCTATACGCCCGCCTGCAAAACGAGCGGGGACTGCCATCATCGCTTGGCAGGTGCTTTACCAGCGTTGGTTGCTTGATGCAAAGAGCACACGTTGCCGTTGCGCTCGTATGCAGGCTTACGGCATCCTTCCACGACGCATCGCTTGCCTGGTTCACAATAAACAATTTAGCAACAGACAAGGGCAAACGCGAAAAGGACAAGAGAAAAAAAAGACCAGGCACGTAAGTACCCAAGCAGCCCACAATGCTAATGGTTGGCAAAATTAAAGAAATGCAATGCAGCTCACCTCCTCCGTGAGCCCAGCAGAGACCGTGGGAAACTGCCGTCTTAGTGCAGTTTTCCTCGCTACATTTGCGACCTGAAGAAACCAGAAATCGTTAGCAAAAAATGAAATTGCACACCGAAAGAGTAAATGGCTGCGTGCCTCCTCCGTGAGACCAGCAAACACCACGAGACTTGGCACGGTTTTCACACCCCGCCACGGTGCATTTGGTGGAGCCACCTTTGAAATGTTACGCAGCAATTTGTCAGTGCAAATCATGAAGCCACCTTTTTCGGCAATCGCATTATTCTTACCGTGTTTCCAGCACACTCCCAAATTTTTAGCACTGCTCGTGCACCCCACAACTGCGCATCGCTTTCCGCCCTGTTATCAGATTGCACAGCGCATGTTCAGCGGTTAGATACCAATTTGCACGGAGATACTTTGAAGGACAACAAGAAGAACAATAATGAAAAAAGCTCCAACGTACGCCGTGACCAATGCAAAGTCCACGGTTTACCACGTAGCGAGTACAATTCTCAAACTTGCAGATACGAGACTTCTTCACTGAAGCTTTCGGTGCAGCCGTTGGCGTCGGCACATTGGCTGCTCGGTTCTCCGTTGTGGAGACACCTGAAGCAACCGCGAAATCAGCTGCAACAAGTCAGCAAACACGCGATCAGTCCTTGCCAGTCGCGGAGGTGCAAATCTAGCCACTCGTCTGCAACGTTGCACCAGCGTAACGTACCAAAGCTTGGGCCAGTCGAAGAGGTTCGGTCCTCGTCCGTGTTGCCCCCAAGAATGAACGCGAGTGAGCTCTTCCTAGCACCCACAGCTGTCGCACGACCAACAATAGCTGCTGCAGCAGCAGCCGTGGCGACGTCTTCTGCATTCATGATGGCTGCTAGTCGGTGCCGGTTGGCGGCGAGTTGCAGTGCCGGTAGAGCTACGGGCTGTGCATCTGGACGCGGCTGGTCTGCCGCATGCTCAAGCCACGCTGTGCTCATGTCGACGACGTCGGGATTGTCCGATTTCTTCATGCAGGAGGACGAGGGATTGGGTGGGGCAAAGAGTAGCATCCACAGCGGAGCTGAGATAGGGACCAGGGCGGTTGGGAGGGACACGAACAGTGGAGGATACTCGGATGCGAGTGAGCGAGTGGAAGGATTTATACTAAGCCAACTGTTCCGACAGCCAGCAGGCGCCAGCGCTGTTATCTGAAGAATGGCCGCACTGCGAGAACCAGCACTCAAGTGCGTCTGTATGTTACTACAGAGAAAAGCCTCAGTGTAGATGCGCTTGATAGCCTGTGGAACGAATCAGTGGTGCCTGCGCAGCTACGGGTCCCGTTATTTACGGATGTGCGTCCACATTTGGATTTTGTATGTGGACGAACGTATGGTGGCCAAAAATGACGCCATTTCGGCCAACCGCCTCCAAGGTCTCGTCTCTGGTGGTCGCGCAGTATCCGTAACTCACCAGCATAGCGCTCCGTATGCTTCCAGGCTCTTCATCTTCGGGCTGAGGTCAGTGACCCGGTCACCACCTGCTCGGAGCAGTGCTCCTTCGATATTGTCGGCCTTCCAGCCGCCGGCTGCTGGCCGGCTGGCAGCCGGCCAGCAGTGAGATGCATTTCGATGCCTGAACACCAAGCTGAGGTCTCAACGCGCACCTTTGGACGAATTTGCTGATTAGCGACCACGATTATTAATAGATGGGAATCCATAATCGATGCATAAAAAGTGTCGTTCAATTGAAAAGAAAGCGTCCGTGACTCAATCGCTACTGTAGCGACGCTACATGCCTAAAATAACGTTATTATACATGTACAATACTTCGAAGTTATGGATACAGTAATAGTTTTTTTTAGCACTAGGCACACCGGTTTCTATTTCTGGATTTCCTCTCTTGCAAGCGCTCGTGCAAACGTACAGTATTGATAGCTACGCAACTCAACTCTGTTCATCACTTGCTTAGCAACAGGATCTGCACAGACAGTGTGAATGAACATCCCTTGCATAGATAGATCTTCAAAAGACGCAATCCCGCTGATCCGCAGCCGATTGCGGCTGGTGCAAGTACGACCTCGGAGGTGCTCTACGCGTGGTTCTTGTTGATCTTTGACGAGTGTGACGCCGGCAGCAAGCCCCCGATCCAACCGGTGCAAGCTCTCGCGCGATGCGATTCATTTCGGCCCACTCGCTCACGCAGCTCGCACACCGAGAATATTGCCGTTCTCGTATCGTCTCCAGCATCAATTCAGCGGTGTTACGAACCTTGCAGTCGAGTTCGATCAAAGCTCGCCTCGACTGGTTATATTGTGTGTAAATCGTTGTTGCTGCTCACATTCAGGGTTATCACAGCGAAGTGTTAGAGCAACATCCAGTAATTGTACTTAGCTAATATAAGGCTTCGTATTCGAAGCGCAGATTCCAGTGCAACAGGTTATCCTACCAATCTGCAGCTGAGCTTTTGCACCTTCCAATTCGCGCTGGATGTGTTGCATCCGACGCGTGGTCTGCTCGAGCTTTTGCTTCAAACGCACCACAGCGTTCTCCAGCCGGAATGAATGTTTTGAAGTCATGCGTTGGATTCGGTGTGCACGGTCCAGCTCGCCTTTCATCTCTCGCAAACGCTCAGGAAGACGCGATGCATTCGTTGGCTCGATGCGGTGGGTAACGTTGCATTCCGAGTTGTCATGACGAGCAACTTGCTCAGCAAGGGACAAGTATAGTCGCACAACGTTTTGGGGGCTTACTTGGAGTCGGCAAACAGGACAAGCATGACGGTGTGCAATCGCTTCCATGGCACAACTATGGTGGAAAACATGGCCACATCGCAACGCTGCCAGGCTGTTCTCCAGACTTTCAAGGCATATCACGCATGTCGTAACCTGATCGCTCTCAGTACTTGACGAAGAAGCAGCAGCACCGTATTGAGCCATAGAGATCTTTTAATGTGTATCAACATCACTGCGTCGCGTCCCGCTTCAATCTAAGAAACATCGTCAAATCAAATTCTTCTAGTGATGGATTTTCAAAACATCTTTCTTCTCAAAACTATAGTACTTTTTGGGTGTTTTAGTCTGCTTCAGGTGCCTAAATGTGCAGCATGGCTGCTATGTAGGACGCGCTGGGTCGTAGCGATGGATCGTACTGAAGACACGCACCCGCCAGCTCCTTGACCATCGTGGGGCATTCGGGTGTGAACGTGAACATGTTCATGAAGCTGGTCTCATCGTTGTTGTGGGTACCAAGCACAGGTGTCGTTCGACGACGGTTTTCCTCTAACGCAAGACTGCGCGAGCTTTGCAACATACGTCCGTTGTTTACACTCGGTAGGCTGTCGAGATGGGTGGTACGTCGTCGCGAGCTATCGGAATCGGAAACATTCGTCGACACAACCGTGCCATCGGTGGAAAGAAGAGTACCGTTGTCCGCGTCGAAATCGCCGATATGTGTACGCATTCTCCACGAGCTCCTAATCATTTCATCCGCAGTCTGGCAAGTGTCCAGATGTGCCAGCAACACACCAAACGCATACATGTCGGACGACGACCGTGATGGCTCGCCAATCAAAATTTCAGGAGCAAAAAACGCTTTGGACGTGGAGTCGCAGCAACGATAGTATGACTGGCAACTGTAAGGCGATGATCCATCCGTAGGCAATGCAGCCTGAATCGGGTTCAGCTTGCAGCCCTTGCTAGGGTCCACGAACACGCTTCTGCCATTAAGTCCGTCATATGTGACCATGTGCTGGCTGTGCAAGTACATGAGACCACGTGCGATTTCAGCGGCTGCTTTCATCTTGAAATTCACCCAGTTAAGCTTAGATCCAGCACTGCGGAGGTACGCTTCAAGAGTCCCCAGTGTCATGTATTCACACACTGCAGTCATTGCGTGGCGGTCGTCCCAAACCAGTCCAGTAATCGAGAGAAGCTGTGGGTGACGCATCTGCGAAAGCGTTGGCACCATGTCCAAAGCAGCCTCCACATCATCGTCACTGGGTTGAAGCTTAGTCACGAGTACCAACTTCGTACGATGCTCGGCAAGCGCGACCACTACAGGCCCCGAAGCTGACAACTGGTTGAGCATTACCATATCGGTGGCCGGGATCTCCTTGAATGGAGCCTTGCGCAGTCCTCCTCCAGTGTTATAATCGTTCAGCGAAGTCTCAAGCTCCGTAGTCTGCATCGTACCGTTCACACCCATTCGTGCCCTGAAACTTTTCAGGTTGGCCTTGAGTTTATTACCATCGGCAGATACAAGCGAGTCATGCTGCTCCTTGACAGTCTTCTGCTTCAATCGTCGAAGAAGTACAACACCGCCAGCCACAGCCAGAACGATAACGAAGACAAGCCCGAGAACAACATAGAGCACCACAGACGTGCTGCTGCTCTCACTAGCTGTAGACTTCGTGCTTTTTTCCTTGGACCCTGAGCTATTGATGCTGCCCAGACCATCCCCATGGGTGTAACATATTTTCTTGTCTTTCCACGACACAGCTTCGTAACCGAAGGAGCAGCTTCCATCGACTGTGAGATTGGCTTCGAAAACGGGTAATTCCTGCAAATATTGTAGCTGCGGGAGGGTGACGTGGGCATTGGCGATGGTGTTGCCTTGAAGATACAGTGCGGACAGGTTGCGCATTTCATAAATAATAGTAGGAATGTCGGACAGTTGATTGTCCCGGAGATCTCTGTTAAAGTACGAAATATTATGTTGGATAAGTACGCTAGATTCAAGAGCAAGAGACTACTGTAGAACGTACAAAGTGGACACCGAAGTGAAAGCGAGTGAGCCACGAGGATCAAACTGGGTGAGCTTTGCCCGTTGAATGATACTGCAAGAACAAGGGGACACAAGTCAGTCATTATTTTTTGTTTCTTAACAGTGAACGAAGATGGAGCTTACAGGGTCTGAAGAGAGTCTGGAAATATGTTAGTGAGAATATCCCCGACACTAACGTCGGAAATTACTCTGCGCCCAAGAATGAAAACAATAACTATAAAATTCCAGAAAAAACGGTTTCAGGGACAGCACCCGTACATTTGCTGCAATGCTGTGCCTCCGCGGAAGGCATCCGACGAGAAAGAGAGCGGGACAGCGATATGTGAGCTTGCTGTCGCACCAACAATCGTACTACAAGACACACAAAAGCCATTAGCGTCAGCAGATTTCCAGTACCTCCAGTAGCTTCGAGCGTACAGATTCTGTAAGGTAGCTGGCAACGTGAGATCGTCAATCTGCTGGAAAACTGCAGTGTCGGTCTTGTCGCTTTGAGGTTGAGCAATTGTCAGCGTCCACTGTGGCGTACTCCAGCTAGCTGGCGAATTCACTAAGCACTGCACTTGGCAGCCTCCCGAAGTCACATTTGCCTTGCACGTCGGCATATCAGCGGTTGGACAACCGCGGTAGAAAAATCCGGCATCACTGCCCTCCTTGCTCCTGTCCTCTGTTGCCGATGACGCGTAGTTTACGCAGAGTGACGAGCTGCAAGCGTCGTAGCAGTTGCTTGTGAGCACGCTGTGCTCCGGTGGGGTGCACACATCGCTCGCAGCCAGGACTCCATCAGCAGTCAGAGACGCCGCAACTAATGCCGCAACACTGCGAGCATTTCGCATGTTGCCTGCTCTCGCTACTTCCTCTCGGACTTGCAACAAAAACTCAAGCGTTGCACTGAGCTCTCAATCTGGTTTCAACAAGTACAAAGTTCAGTTCATTTTCATTGTTCAGACTGTGCTACCACTTCCACTGCTCTCGTACCGTGTGACGCTGCCAGTTTTGCCACAAGGGAGAGTAGGTAGCACCAAGCGATTGAATTTGCCCCCACGCAGCAAAAGACTTCCGCACACGGAACCTCGAATGGGCAAATGGAAGCACTTGGTTGTGTAGTCACAAGGTCAAAATGTCCCACAAAACAGCGGTGGGGCGACTTGTGTGCATAAACAGGTCGTAAAGCCAGTGTTTTTGAGCCGAATCGGCATCGGCATTGGTCGAAAAAGGAAGCGAACAAGCAATAGCATTAGTTAAAATGAGAGCTCGTTTCACGGCAAAATTATCACTCGCCTTCACTATGTAAGGAAACGCATGGGTCGTTTTATCAACGAAAGCTCGTCGATTCGGCACTGCTTGAAAGACATACGAAAAAGATGCTTGGAGGAACCTTCTCGTTGCTAAATTGAAACTATCGTCGTGTGTAGATCTTTTCAACTCAAGTCTATGCGTTTCGTGCCGTTGAACCTCGAGCCATCGCTACTTGGTCCACGACTAGTGGTTAAGTGCGGCAGCGAGTCTTCGGGTGCTACAGTAATAACCAAACTTTTCAGCTCTAATTCTGTCGCTACGATTATTAATAGCTTGCGACTGTCAAACACTGTGCTCAATAAAAGCAGAATCACGATCACTGCGACGTCGCCCAGCTGGTCCAGCTGCTGGACGACCAACGTGCGGCTCATAAAAAAGGGTTCGTGTGAGCGACGCGGCACACCACTTTCACTTGGAGGCAAATTGAAACGACTGTTGTATTGAAAGGAATGCTGCTCTTCGACACTCATCAAAGATATTCTGTATGTACAGTAGTACAGTAGCTGATTTAGCCGGATAGGCGCGTGTCTGGACAATCGCAATTCAACGTGTACATGTAATTTACGTAAGCTTATTATTAAAAATATCATCATGAATGGATCGCTGGGGCAGGCAATTGTGTCATCAAACGCAGAACTCATAAATAAGGTTAGGTGTCCTAATTTAGGATCAGCTCTAAATTCGGACGGATTCTATGTTTTTAAAACGGTTGCTGAGCTACACGTCACCAGCTCAGATTTAGACATGGCTCAACTATTTTCGCTGCGCAACAGGTGGCTTTACACTCCGCCCGCTAGCTACAAGACTAGCACGTTTTGAGCCGTGCTTACATCCCTTGCAGACGTTTTGACAGCGTTATGAGCGCCCGAAGACTTCGCGAGGCGATCAAGACTTCGCCCCGGGATATCACATGTGCGTCGTTGTTGTGCTGACTACTTTTGCCACTCTGCCTAATCAAATCTGATGCGCAGATATTCCACACAAGGCTGTTGAGAATGAGCACGAATACCTACGGCAATGTGTGGATCCGGTCCTGATGCCACTCATCGAGTCACTGCTGCTCTACCAGCCAGAGAGCGTTTACCACTTTATACACGACTTCGTGGACGAACAAAAGAGCAGCCGCTTCGTACATCACACGAGGAGTGCAGGCTATGCCAAGAAGCTCACCAACCGCCGCAAGATGGCGGACTTTATGTCTACCAGCGTAATTCCCGTCATGGATGACCTTGCCAAGCAAATTCTACGGGAGAAACCAAACTCCGTCAAAAGTGAGCTTTTGAGGCGAAATATTTGTCTCGTCATGGCTCTCACCTTTTCCGCTAACCCTTCTTAATTGCAAAGCTTTTATCAGAGACGTGGTAGCTGCACGCATTATTATTGAGTCTACCGTAAACGCTGAAGCGTCAAACCAGGTCGAAGCTGTCGTCCCTTTCAGCGTGAACGACCGCGTCTTGTGTCGGTATAAAGGTCGACCTCGGTACTTTCCCGGTGTCATCACCGCTGTCGACGACCACGGCAACTTCACGGTCCTATACGACGACGGGAAGACTGAGAGCAATGTTCACTGCATGTGTCTGAAGCAACACACCAGCGACAAAACATCATCACAAAATGTGGTTGATGAAGAACTCAAAGACAACCAGGAAATGCCGAAGGTCGCCCGCACGATGGATATCGTTCTTCTTATCATTGGTATTGACGGATCTGGCAAGACTACGCTTCTGTCAACCTTGCAAGGTGATCTGGATAAGGAGCACGTACCAAGTGCAGGCTTCACATCAGCCACCTTCCAGACGGAAACAGGGTCGGCTACTTTCTACGACCTCGGAGGCGGTCCAGCATTTCGCAACGTGTGGAAGGAATACTACGCCGATGTACGTGCTGTGATCTACTCGTTTCTGGTTAATACTGACACTCAATGATGTTCAGGCTCACGGTGTTATCTTCGTGGTCGATTCCTCGAATGAAAACTCGTTGCTTCATGCAGCAAACGTTCTCGAAGAATCGATGGCAAACGAGCTCATGATCAACAAGCCGTTGCTCATGTACGTGCAAATGTTGGCTTCATCCTATGTCCATTAAATGATCTAATCCAGTGTTGTAAACTTCTCAGCTTTGCCAACAAACGAGACCACTCCGATGCAGTAGCAGAGAAGGAGATGCAGAGTTTGCTACGTTTAATCAAGTTTCCCAGCTCCAAGATTGTCCCTTGTGTAGCCAAGCCGGCCATTTATGGTGGCGTAGACGAACGTCTGGAATCAGGACTACAGTGGCTCTTTGATCAGGTTCACAACGACTTTGACTCACTCCACGAACGTGTTCAACGTGATCTTACACTGAAGAAGGAGCTTGATCTGCAGAGACGAGATGCGCAACGTGCTCGGGTGGCACGTTGGAAAGAAGAGCGTGAACTCAATCAAATGCGTACACATGACAAACTGTCAATCAACGAGCAAACCTCGTCCTCCAAAGCTGCCACAGACAACCAGGAAGAAACCGTGATATACTGCTCAAGCTGCAACACAGCACCAGCAGTAACAAAATGTGCAGCATCCAAATGGATGCCAGTCTGCGATAATTGCGCAACAACGCTTAGAAGTCAGTCTTCACATAAAGTGTAAATCGCTTTAGCAAAACCCTCTAAGATTCATTGCGTTGCTTTTGATACAGTTGTCTATCGTCGCTTCTTGCCTTTTTTCCCACGACCACGTTGTTCTTCCTCCTCGTCCTTCTCCTTTTTCGAGCGCGCGTTGTTAACAATTTTGTCTACACTCTCTTTCTTCTTGTTCTTGCGCATCTCCTTACGTTCGCGGCGTTTCTCGGCAGCCTTGTTCTCCTTTTCAAGTCGCACACGCTCCGCCTCTGCCTTCTTTTGGGAAGCTTCTTCGTCAGCCTCCTGCTGCTTCGTATCGACCTCCTGGACAGTATCCTCGTCTTCAACTGTGGTCGGATGATCTTTGCTATCACTTGCTTCACGCTTCACCTTGCCAAGAGCAACAAGCTCTTCTTGTAGAGCTCTATCCATTTCATCATCCAGACCACTGAGATCGCTAAAAACACCCAGCTCCATCTCTTTCTCGCGGTGTTTTTTCGACGTGAGGTGGTTCTGCAACTGTTTCGTCGACTTGAAGGTCTTGTTGCACAAGTCACACACCAGCACGTCTGCGTCCAATTTCTTTCGGAGCTTTTCGAGCTCCTGCTCAATGTCACGGTCAGCAACACGGCTAGTTTCCATTCTATTGTCAGCCCAGAGTTTTTCCTGCTGCTCCTGAAAGGCACGTCGCTCGGCATCAAACGCAGCTTGTTTATCACGCTTTTTAGCTTCCTCTTCCACACGGCGCTGCTCCTTTTCTCGTTCTTTTTGCTTCTGGAAGGCACGTACTCGCGGGTCTCGGCGACATACGAAGTCCACGAGCTCACGCACTTTAGTAGTAAATGCTTTCTTCGCAGCATCTCGCAGCTTCTTGTTCTCCTTCTCCATCGCTCGTCTCACCAGTCTCGTCGGTGCATCTGTCGTCTTGTACTCGTCCACCCACGCAAAACTACGTTGCGTCGTGTAGCTCTTCCAGTGCTGGTAGAAGTAATTGACATCTTCCATCGACGTGTTGGCATCTCCAAGTTCCGGCGCAACGTCCGACACTGACCCATCGTCGCCTTCCAAATCCAATCCATCAATCTGTCCACATATTAGCTATGAGTACTGCTGTTACAGAATCCAAAGTACTGAGGCAAACGCACCTTGGCGAAGAGTTCACCGTACACGAAGTAGAAGCTTTTGGCGTCCGACCCAAAGCCCGAATAGACCGACGCACTGAAGTACCGGAACAAATTGAGCTCATCTTCGTCGTCTCCGTCTTCGTTGCCGTCTCCACCGCGTAAAATCTGTTCACGGTGCTCGTCGTACCATTTTTTCTCGTGCGGATCACTCAGCACCTCGTAGGCATTTTGAATGGTTTGGAATTGCTCTGTAGCCTCTTCGCTCGAGATGCCGTTCTGTTGATGCTTGTCTGGATGCCACCTCAATGCCTTTAGACGGAAAGCCTTCTTGATCTCCGCCGCCGACGCATCACGAGCTACAGCGAGGACCTCGTAGTGGCAGCGCATTTTGAGGTACGACTGACCAGCAAAAATGTGAAAAAAATGCACACGTAATATTTGATTGGACTAAAAATAGTCCTTCACAACATCGCCCCATTTTTCGGCTTGCGCATACTCACGTGCAGGTACAGCACATTCATCATGGTCTCCCACGGGTCTTCAATCTCTTCATACTTCCAGTTGTCCATGGTCACGAGCGATGGGATTTTCCGTCGAAGCCCGCCAATGGCGGCAGATGAGCAGCCCACAGTCCCGAGCCAAACTCGCGCCAAAGGAGACAAGAACGGATAGCGCGTGGAGTTATCGCGCCACCATTTGAAAGGGTCTGTTATGCGCGTCTTCGACTGTTGGATGTCAGCCAGATACGTGGATATCTCATCCGCAATGTAAATTCGCGTCTCTTCTGTTTCAGCATCGTTAGGAATATCCTCCTCTTGCAGCAGTCTGCGCATCAGTCCAGGCGCAGGAGCATTCTTCCGGTGCAGCTCAAAAGCACGCTCCGCTAGTGCAAACCCGCACTGTTCACGCTGATTCTCACTGATATGCTCCATCCTGGCGTATCGAGGGTCCAGAAGTGAGCACCACTGGAACTCCGACAGCGCCGCGTCAAAAGTAGAGCGGATACCGTCGAGAATACTCTCTTGAAGCATAAGCAAATCCTGACTAATCTCGGTCGCATCGAACTCCATCGTCAATCGGTAATGCTTGATCAATCCGGCCAGAATTTGTTCTTGGCTCAGTTGTTGCTTGGTAATCACGAGGCAGTGGATCATGAAGGGGAGTGTGTGGGCTTTTTCTTTCGTGGTAAGCTGCTGAACCTCACGTAGCGTACGCAGTATCAACAGCAGAGCCTCCGCTACGAACCACATCTTAGCAGTCGGCTCTACAATGACATTGTCGGATGAGGAGGCAAAGAAGCGACTGATCGAAGGTCTCCAGACCATCAACTCGGTCAAGAAATCGTGCACTTCATCCCACGAATGGCAGTCAGTCTTCCGAATCTTCAGACTCTCTTCATCCCCACCAGTGATCTGAGCGCGCATTAAAGTTCTTTTCACGTCCCAGTCATAATCCAAATCATCAGCCAGCTTCTTCAGGTCCGCGATCACCAGAGCAACACTCGACTGAGCTACGCGTTTGGGTCTCGCCGTGTTACCGTTAACTCGAGTTGTTCAGTGTTGCTACTGATAGCCCCGCGCCCTTGAGGTTGTCGGATCCAGCGTACAAGGGAAGCCTGGTACACTGCCCAAATATCGGGGAACCGCTGGAGTTTAACGTCCACGGCGAGTTGGCAAACTAGCTTGTCGTTGGTGCTCAGAAGTAGAGACGCATTGTTTAGCGAGAGCTCCCATTCCCGCAAAATATTCTTTGCCATCTCGTCCACGGCTCCATCTTCTGCGTTGATTACACCCAAGGGAAACGTAGCCGGCTCAAAATTCGCGTTTAAGTGATGACACAACAGCACGAGGTACCTTTCTCTTCCGTAGTAGCTGTCGTATTCCGACTGCCAGATCTCCACAGAGAGTGAAAATTGACCCACTTCCTCGTGCACTCGCCCCATGGTCTCAAACCGCTGCTTTGCCGCCTTGTGCTCCACTATACGGCAAATAGTCTCTCGGTCAGGCAATTGGAGTTTCCCCGTCGATAGAAATCTAATAAGATTAATGAAGCCTGACTCTTCTACGGTCGACAGCGGCTCCAAACTGCCACAGATCCATCGAACCAGCAGATCCATAGCTGTCGGGTCTCCGGAGTAAATGGTCGCCAGCACTTCATCTCGCTTGGTGCGTTTCTTTTTGGTCACTGGTCGAGGAATGCTGTTGCTGGTTTCTACTCGTTCATCGTCGCGCATTGAAAGCTCAGAGGACAAGCGCTTCGCCCCATTCGTGCTACTGGCTTGAGTCTCTTCTTCCGTCTCCTCTATATATTCGTCTTCATTTAAATCTGCCAGTTCTTCTGGGTGTTTACTTATCACATGTTTGCGCACTGTAGTCATGTGGAAAGGGAAAACTATGCTGCAGCGCAGACAATAGGCCTCCACAGCGTCGTTACTGGTCCAGTTCTCTTGGCCAGGAAGAAGTGAGGCGCCGGGAGGGACGATGAGCTTGATGCATTCCGGTTGACGGATGCGCGGACATGTGAAGAGCGTCACGTCGCCGTGCTGGAAGGCGTTGCTCATAGGAAATGTAAATGTTCACTCTAGGCCTCTCCTGTTTTGAAAATCTGATTCGAGCTAAAGTTTAGTACGATTCAAAAGCATCGCTGATCAGCATGCTGAGCAAGGGGAAGGACGATGGTGCTGGCGCTGGTGCCACAGCAGCTGCCACCATTTGCGAGCTGTGCGACCTGTACACACGCAACGACTTAGACGGCAAATGGGTAGAGCTCGCAGAAGTCTACGACGTAAGTTCATCCGCTGCCAACGCCTGAGATCCGATACTTACACTTTGGATACCCGTGTAGCAACGACGTAACGTCGACAATTTACGGGAGATTCTCGATCTTAGTGCCCCCAGTGCCCGCATGGGCGGCCTCAACGGGTGGCACTTGGAGCGGATGGCCGTTGGGGAGTTCGAGCCTGGCGCCGATACTAATGCTAACGATTTGGCCGAGATCAAGCGTGAAAGTCAGGTGATCAAACAGACGCTGATGAAGGTGTTGGCCAATGGCCGCGACTTCAAGACCAAGCGAGACGAGCTGGAGGCAGCGATGGCCAAGCAGCGTGAGGCGCTGACAGTCGAGCTGACGGAAGCTAAGGAGTTTCTGGGCCAGGCCCACTTGCTGAATGCCTGTGACTCAGCGGTGATCGAGGTCAGTGAGCCTGCGCCTGTGGAGGAAAGACTCAGAGCTACGGTCAAGCCCCCGGAGCTTTCTCCGGTGGTTGATCTCAGTGAAGCTCCATCGATCTAAGTATAAATGACGAAGAAATAATGCACAATAGGGCGAAACACGAGTACATTTCCTCCAGTGCCTCCCAAAGTCGGCCATGCTCTATCTGTAACTTGGTTTGGAGCACCTCCCTCGTTGTTTGCCCTCCTGACTGTCTGTACGTGTCACCCGTCGAGCCGCTGTCACTTATCTAGTCAACGTGAAGACGCTCCTCAAGGTATTTGACGGCGTCCTTCGTGATGATCAGCAAGTCCTTCTGCAAGATCGAGTAGACATTGATCTTGTTCTGCGCGAGCGTGTCCACGTGCGGGATGTTACGTGTGGCCAGCACAAAGCTCGACTCCACTTCCTCACCTCCCACGAACAGCGCGTGGTCCCAGCCACGGCCGCCCAGCAGCTTCTTCATATCCTTAGTCTTGGTAATCTGTTACACCAAAACGTCAGTAAAAAGTTTACAATCTTCACTTACTCAGCTACGTACGTCAACGTCTAGGGAGTCTACGATGGCCAGTTTGCCCTCACGGAGCTTGGTGGATAGCGCAACGCGCAGGCCCATGGCGCGCACCTTCTTGGGCAGGCTGTACGAGAAGTCGCGGAGCACGGGGCCGTGCACACGGTAGCCTCCGCGCCACTGCGGCGCACGGATGTCACCCACACGGGCACGCCCAGAGCCTTTCTGCTTCCATGGCTTGCGGGTGGAGCCACTCACTTCGGAGCGCGTCTTAGTCTTGTTGGTACCAGCACGACGGCATGCCAACTGCCAGCGCACAACACGCTGTAGGATGTCCACGCGGTCGGGCGCGCCAAAAACCTCGCCGTCCATGGAAATAGAGCCAAGATCCTGCGTGTCCTCGGCCAACGACAGCATCTTCAACTCCAGGTCGCCCGACGACGTCACCTTGACCTCCTGCGCAGCCGGGATCACGCGAGGCGGCGGCATTGGCTTCTCTTCGGCCAGCGACAAATTGGCCGGCATTGCAGCCACCTGCGTGCTGGCTGCGCGCACCAGACTCGCACGCGGAGCAGACACATTCAGTGCCGCTATACCGCGCATCAATCGGTTCATGGACACAGTCGCCATCACCTCTGATTCCCCTTTGTGGCTCCGATGGATGGCGTTTGTGGTCTGAATCGGTTGTTGTATTATTATTAGTAATATATCCAAGTAGTACTGAACAAAAACAAAATACTATTATTATTTCCGGCTAAAAGTTTTGAGCTCTCAAAAATATTGGTCTTGCAGGTTCAAGCCACATTGCGGCATCTTCCCCCCTCGCCAACATGGCGTCGCAACGTAGAGACTCGGCCCCGCGCGGAGACGGCAGCTTGGCAGCCATCTGCACGCTTATTGAGCGCAGCAATCTGGACCGCAAGTCCAAGCTCGACAGCACTGGCCGCGTCTGCTACGTACGTCGTCTCTTGATGCCCCACGTGGAATAAAACTAACTCAAAACTATAATACCTTTCTACGAGCAGGAGCTCAAAAATGACCCGCTGCTACTGGACTCGTTTCCAATGGACCGACTCATGAAGGCCATGCGTCGTCTGGTTTGCGACTCGGACACATCAACGCGCGCGGGAGCGCTCAGGGCGCTGCGTTACGCCATCAGCAGTAGTGCTAGCATCAAGTATTTCGTGGATCTCAACTTGCCCGTCTTCGTGGTTCGCTCTTTAGAACGTGAGCAAAAGCATTTAGCAGAACGTGTCCAGGCTCTCAAGGTAGTGCGACGGATCATGGAGATCGACGCGGCTCAGATGCCGACAGGTCTCGTGACCTCGTTGACGGCCATTGCAGGGCACAAGGACGATAATATGCGTCGTGTGTGCTTGGAGACGCTACGAGAGTTATCACTGCTGAATGTAGAGGTCGTGGCTGAGGCTAATGGCACTAAAACCTTGGTGGATGCCATTCTGGAGCCGTCGTTCCAGGACCTTGCAGACTCGCTGCTTATGACATTGCTTGTCATCCTAAATGAGCCGTCGACTCGCAAGTTTATTGAGCCTTTCGTGGATTCACAAGTGCTATTGGCTCCATTCACAGATACTGACTTACCAGCGGGTAACGAGAGGAGACAGCGATGGATGGCCAGTCGCAACGCCATTGTGACGATGATGCGATCCTGGACAGGAATGGTGGTGCTGACGAGCAATCCGCAGGGTTTACAGTCACTGATTCAGCTATTAGTGAAACCTGTGGGCGAGGACGTGCAGAAGGCAGTTCTGTCCACTATCTGCGAGATTTTTTACAAGAAAACCAGCTTCGACAAGTCAGCCACCGACGCTGCAGACACACCTGCTCTTCCCGTGAGTCTGTCGAGTGCAGAGCAATTGCCACTTGCAGTGAACCACAATCTACTGGACAACTACACAGTAATCATTCTTCTCGCTATGATCCATTGTGGGATCCTTGAAGCGCTGGTGACTTTAGGAACGGGACCGTCTCGAGCTTTGGCAGAGCCAGCAATCGACCTACTGGCTGACATATTGCGGATGGCTTCTCGTTTGCTGCCTGACCAGCACTGTGCGTCATTGCTCGCACTCCCGCGACTAGTATCGTCGACGTCGCTGACCACAACAACCACAATGTCCCTCGGTGACCATGCAAAGAGTCTGTTAGAGCGTCTACAACGCGAAAAATCGATCCGAGCTAGTGAGATGCTGGGCGAGCTGGCTAACGCTGTAGGTGCCAACTCCGGCAGTATTGCTACGCGTGGTGTATCGTTGGTCTCGTACGGCGGCAGCGGTGTTAACGGCGTGCAGCTAGCGTCCGAGCTTCTTCGTGATACGAATCGCCCATCAAATCTCCTGGCTCTGCAGCAAATTGCAGGTGTAGTGCGTCTCCCGTCATCTAGTGGTGGTGTTGGTATTGCTGGAACTGGCGGTGGCTCTGCGTCTTATGCTGTTGCGCCTCCTTCAACACAACGCGGAACGAAGAACGCAACGGCGCTCCTAAAAGACAGCTTGACATCACGAGAGCTGATGGTTCTCGAGCTTAAGCAATCTCTCGATGCACAGATGGATGACAGTACATTTAAAGACATGCTGCACAACCGCTCGCGCGTACTGACGGACAAGAACTACAAGAACTGGAACTGGGATATCATTGCCGAAATGCTCGAAGGTCCACTGACAAACCCGCAGCGACTTTCGGAGGCAATGAAGACCAAGTTCTTCAAGCGTCTCTCAGGCTTTTTCCGTTGTGATCAAGGCAACAAGGGCTATTTCTCGAACCTGTACTGGATTCCGGATCACGTGCCGTACTTGCGTCCAGCTTGTCAGATGTATACGCTTTTGTTGAATCATCCCGAAGGTTTACTCTTCCTGAAGACCGACAGACGTGGTCAACTGCTTACCGAGATTTCGTCAGCTCTTGAGCTGGAGGCACGCCCAGAGGCTGCTATCGTGGAGTCCCATATTGGCGTCTTGAAGGCTCGCATGTTTTCACCTGACTATGTATCGCGTCGAATGTTGCGCGAGTATTTCACGCTTCTGGGACTGATGAGCTCGAGCAAGGAAGGTCTTAAGATGATGGAGCAGTCCAATCTATTTCAGCGACTGTACGTCATGGGCACAACTAAGGGCCACGATTTCCTGTGTCGTCTTATTCTAGCCAACTTGGACTACTCGGTTGATGGCAGTTCCCGTAAGCTGCTCCAGTCGTGGATGATGGAAGGTTCCAAGGCGCTGCGTCTGTATGCAACATGCTTGCTGCGTGCTCTGCTGCGTTCTGAGGTGGCAGACTTTGATAAGTGGGGTGTCGACGCACTGGTGACGCAACTCACACAAGAGGAGGAGGTTGCTAAGGCTGCGTTGAGTGTTCTGGAAGAGGCCGCTGAGACCCCTGCATGTCTTCTTGCTATGATTTTGAAGCGTCCAACCAAGTTGATCCAGCTCAAGGACAAACGTGCCGAGTCTCTGCTTCTCAAGTCGCTTTCGCTAGCTGAGGGACTCAACTTTTTGCGTGAGACAGGCGACTGGATCTCACGTACACTTGCCGCTTGGCGTCGTGAGAAGCACATTTCATACGTGCATGCCGTGGAGCACGCGCTATTCCGTGGCTTACATCGCGATGCAGCAGGCCGAGAACGTGGTGCAAGCGGTGGCTCAACTAGCACACGCCAAACGTGCTCTCCTACTCCCATCCCGGTGAATGTGCCCATGAAGCGAGGTGGTGGCGTCGGACTTAAGCCTCCTAGTGGTGGGAGCAGCCAACGCTCCTTGTGGGGACTGGATTGGCTCTATCGTATGCCGTGGAACATGGAGGTGAAGATTGTGGGACCTCCAGGAAGCGGCCCTCCGTCGAATCTCATCTTGGAGACGTATATCGATGGCGCGATGCGTGACGAGGATGATGGTACCAGTATCGACGATGAGCTTCGTATGAACTCCATCCGCGTCAAGGGAATCGTTGTCGATGCACGTAATATGCCTCAACCTGTGGTCGTGAACTCACAGCAGACATTGCAAGCGTGCCTGTTCTTGGGCACGCAACCAGTAGACCGACGTGGCTTTACGAAGCCGCCACCGCAGAGCAATGGAGGCTTCGTGTCCACAAGCGCATCTGCATCGGGCGGTGGCTCTGCTCTTTCAAGCGACACCCAGCAGAAGATGCTGCGTGCACGTTCAGCGTCCAACTCGACTACTGGGAATATGGACCGCAGCTCGGAGACGATGATGTCTGCGTCGCTGGACTTTGCCGATACTGGTGCGTCTTCGGTCGACGCAGCGAAGGAAGAAAATAAGGATTGGAGTTCGTGTCAGCCCGAGCAGCGGTCGCCGCAGTATCTTACAGCGCCGGAGTGTTCACTATGTGCCCCTGGAGAGCGTGCTGTGTGGAACTTCCGAGTGGAAATGGACTCAGCAGCTGGCACCAACACCTCAAACGGAAGCGTGAAGCGTCTTATGCTCAAGTCTGTGGAGTTCACACTGCAGCTACTTCCTCTTCGTCCGCGTACCGTACCATTGCCAGTGCATCTGTACGGTGAGTTAGCGAAGACCAGTGCTGGTTGCCAGATTCTGCACTCCTCGGGCCATTTACCAGAGTTCCTCGCCTGTCTTCGTGACGCTGCAAGCGTTCCTCTTGAAAAGCGCGCCGCTTTGTGGGCACTTGGTCACGTATCAGCCACTCCACGCGGATACGACCTGCTGAACCACTACGCTCAAGACTTTGTGGAGATGATCGTGAAGCTGGCTACTGATTCCCCGCTCGTGTCCATACGCGGAACGTGTTTCTTCGTGCTGGGTTTGCTAGCACGGTCACCTGCTGGTCAACGACACCTGGCTCGTCTTGGCTGGGATGCTCCGCGTGATGCATCACGCACGTCCATTGCTGTCCCGCAGAACTGCACGTCGCTCTTTATGTGGCCACCGTCTGGCTCCTCAACGCCTTGTCCATTGACGCAGACGCCTCGTGCTTCACCGCTTCAGCGACTATTAATCCGCAGACGTGACAAAATGCCCAATGAGTGGCGCGAAGTACTGCGTTTTGTTGCAGATCTGAGCAACCACATCACTCAGAAGGAGGCACATGCTTCGCTTAACAAGCTGCGCTCATCGAAACCCGAGTTATTCGAAGAACCTGTGCTGCTAATGTATGTGCATGCACTACTGGAGAAGTACAGCTACCGCTTGGCTCTACGTCAGTTCGTACTCAACGCTTTCGACCGAGCAACATTGACAGATGAGGTGCTGGATACGTTGCGTATTGAAGACGAAGAGGAGCAGGGACAAACGCGCCAACGTGTGCCAACCGGTCGAGAGCTACGGCGCCGTCGCTCTTCGCCTTCGATCCCGTCATTTACTTCCTCAGTTCAATCACTGAACGCTGCCATGCAGGCGACATCAAGTGTCTCTCGTCTGTCTTCTATGCAGAATGTATTGAGCACTGGAGGCAACATGGGCGACCAGCGCTCGACGATGCGGCTGAACGCTTACAACGACCCCATCGACCGTACGGTATTGCTTAAGCGCAACCGCAAACGTTTAGCTTTCTCCGAGAAGACGATCGTTGTTGGAGCTCCTGAAGCTGTTGTGTAGAGGGATAGACATTTCAAGACGTAGCGTTTGTCGTCACTATCTCTATATTGTTCCCAACCGTCTATAAGAATCTCCCGGAGGCCATGTCCATGAGTGAGTCACCCATGTGCAGAACCTCAAGCTTGCACAGTTTTCCGTTGAGCGTCGTGCACATGGTGATGGCGCCCCGTAAAGTCTCCAATCCGCCACGTTGGACTCGTATTAGGGCTGTGCTGGGTTCGCTATTGTTGGCGAGCGTTTTCTCGAAGGATAGGATGTCGAACTCGCTGGCTGAAGCCCCTACCACGCCGAACGCAGTCTTGAGCGTGTTATCCAGGGCAAACTTGAGCTGCTTCACGTCGGCGACAGGCGCAGCTCCGTCCTCAGAGAAACTGTCAGGAGATAACGATATGAGTTATGGGTGCGTTATGAAGCTAGTTAGTACGACGCACATGGCAATCTTGAGGTAGCTGTGCTCAACATGCAGCGAGAACTTGTGGTGGGCACTCATCTCATTACCGACAGGGATGAACTGTTCTTGTATACATTCACGTATACCTGGCGTTTTTATGTATGCCTGGAGTTTTTGAGCAAAACAAAATGCACCTAAATCTAGAAATGTTTCAATTAGCAGTCGTCTAGATTCTAAGGACGCAACTTTATCCAATTTTGCTAACTCCTGCCTGCAAAATAGCAACGTCCCCAAGCGAAGGAAATGTCTCAACTTTAGCGTGTAAATCACTTTGCCGCTTGTCAGCATTGTGAGCTATAAAACTTACCTGCGTGTCGAGCGCCAGTGCATTGCAGTCTGCCAGTGTCCGGTGCCCCCATCTACGAGCCACCGTCCACTGCCAGTGTCTGCAAAGACACATCCCAAGGACACTCATGCGCCTGGCAGTGCAGCTTGCGGCTGCACTACAACCGGCTACACTGAGTACACATGCGTGCAATGGCGAAGGACTATACCAAGGACTGTATGCACAAGGACATCGTTGGCTGTGCGCTGCCAAGATGGTGTACTCAAACGAGAGTGCATTTATCTAGAGTTTAGTATTGACTTATTTGCTATTTGTATACTAATCTACTTTTGCGGTACAGCGGTGTTCTGGCGGAGGCTGCTCCACACTTTGCGTTTTGACGCCTGCCGCTCATCAGAGAGCAGCAGAGAAGAGCAGCCTCGCCAGACACCGCAGTCCTGTCGCGGCCTTTTGCCCGGCACTTACGTGTTTACGTTACTTCCTGATTAGTTTCCTAAAGTTGACATTTAAGTGTATTTACATTTAAATGGCTCCTACTCTTAGAAGCGATCGACACATGGAGAACAATCCCTCCGTGACGAACCCTACGTCACCACTGGTTATGAGCCCAATCAGGGCGCAGTCTGCGACTGACGTGGCTGCTGGCGTTCCAGACACAAGTTCTGGAATTTCGACCAATCAAGATCAAGCTTCAACCCCATTGGCAGGAAATTCAAGCTTGAACAATGACGCAACACTGTCGCACAGTGATGCAGAACGACTAATTCGTTCATTGGCTGGAATCCCGGGTGGCCGCCCGTTATTCCAAATGTTACTCGAAAGTATGCATAAACTTTCGTCGACGAACACGGAAGAATCCGTGCCAGTTGACAATCCTCCCCAGTCGCCGCTAAACGAACAAAACGGCGACCGAGACCCCGACGATCCGTGGCGCCCTCTAGACAACATGAACCCTACTGGCCGCTACAACGACGGCGAGCTGGCTGAGTACACCAAGGTCCTCATCAACTCGCCTCCGATCAAGCTGCCCAAGCTCCATCTGAAAGGCGACTACAAGGCCTGGAAGAGCGAGGTGCCGTTGCACTTCGAGCCGAAGATGCTGGGAGACATCACCTATGGCCCTGAGCGTTACGATGCAGTAGAAGGCATGCGTCGTGACAAATATCGCGTGTGGTACAAGTCGCGCAAGAACAAGGCATTCTCAGCACTCGCGTTGTCGCTGTCTGTTGACCTACGTACGACGTTCAAAATCGACGACATCCACGACAACATGGACGCCGCCGCTATGCTCTACGATGCGATTACGCAGCACTTTGAGGCTGGAGATGGTATTAATCCTGATTACCTACTGCAAGAACTAGTGACGCGCCGGCTCAAGCCAAACGAGTCAGTATCGCAGTATGCTGACGACATTGCAAAGAAGGTGACACTTCTACATCAAGCTAATGGTGAGTTTGCTGAGTGGCAACATGCAAGCCTACTACTATCGAACAGCGTGGAAGCGTTTAAAGATCTCGCCCGTGAACACGGCGATTGGCTTAACAACCATGAACGTAAGACACTTACACTTGCTGAAGCTTTACAACGACTACGCGCTGCTGAACACCAGCGTGACCAGCTGCGTGCACAGACCAGACAACCGGTCGCGCATTCAATGCAAATTGCTCATGTCGGAACGGACCAAGGACAAGGTCAAGCCCGAGGACGCAAGCGCAACAAGCAACAGCGCAAGCGATCCAAGGGCGTTGCAGATAAGAAGCAGCGCACAAACTGCGCGAACTGTCAAGGAGAAGGACATTGGTATGCCGAGTGTACGGCTCTCACTGGCCAGCAACTGAAGCCAGAGCTCGCGAGAAAGCTGCAAGAGAGACAACTAAGGGCTCCCGTGTCGCTGGTGAACTCCGTACGTCGTGTGGATGCGGTAGCGTTGGAAGAAGATGGCCAAGGACTGTTTGCGGGCCTATCACTATGCGATGCGAATGCGATTGACCTTACGGATGGTGCTGCCCTATCGCCTACGGCTACGCAATCACCTGCATGGTCACTAACGTCTCCTGCGGAAAGTGAAGAAGGAGGAGAGCGTCGTGTTGTTGAAGGGGTGCGGGCAAGTACGCAACGCACTCAATCGTCGGTTGCGCAAGCAACGCAGCGACTGCAGCTGCAAGTTGGAGTTCCTGTTCAACACATACAAGTTGGAGGACAAGGACTACAACAACGACAATCAACCTCACTGCCTACACTGCAAGCACCAGCTGTAGCTGTGCAACCTACTGGACAACCTGCTGTCCAACAGGGTGTACAAGCTACTGTACTGCAAAACATGCAACCTACTGTATCGAGAACTGCGCAGACTCAGTGGGAGGGCAATCAGTCTACAGCTGGATTGGTGCCTACGTGGGAATCAGTCATCTACTACTTGGGGCAAGGACTGTCGAGTAACTCGAAAGGGCCTACACTTGAGCCATGGCGCAATCAAGCTGAACCACAAGGGGGTTCGGCTGTGCCGGGGGATAGCTGTCGAGGTCCTGATGTCGGGTTTAACAGACGCCAAGAATCAGAGATGCGCAATGATTGCAGACCTAACTTGGAGAGTGCGTACGAGAGAGGACTCTGGAGTCAAGATGTTGGACACTTTGACCCTCCTATTCAAGGACGAGGACGAAGTCGTTCACCACCCCGATTCTTCAATCGAGAACGAACTCCACCAAGAGGAAGAGGCCGTTCTCCGTCAATGCGAGGGTGTGAACCAAGAGGAAATCCAGGGCGTTATCGATCTCCACCGCGTCAGCAGCAGTGGCGTAACGAGAGACCGAGTCGCTATGAGCCGCCACCTCAACGTGATGATCGACTGAGTCGCTATGGACCGTCGTCTCCGCAGCAGCAGTGGCGTGACAATCCTTCGAGAGGACGAGGACCTTCACCTCGACGTGACAATTTCCAAGGGCGGAACATGTCTCCGCGTCGATTTGAAGACCATCGTGAGAACAGACCACCCAACTCTCGTCAAGTCAACGCTGTGAACCAGAACCAAGGCAACTGGCCAGCTCGAGGACCGTCTCCTGGACGACGTGGTGTACACACCGAACGCGAAGGTGAACATCATTAGTTTGGGCTACCTACAAACGAAGGGCAACTTCAAGTTGACATGCTCAGAGGACCAACAGACTGCTTGGATCTCCAAGCCAAGCACATCACTCAAGTTCATGATGCGTGACAGTATCTACCGACTACGTGCAGAAAAAGGGACTGGAGTAATGGTGATGGCGGCTCTAAAAGAGGACATGGACAGCAAGAAAGCCATGGAGCTGCTTCACCAACGATTTGGTCATATGAGCATGGAGACGGTGAAAGTGTTGGCAAACAAACTCGATGTTGGAGTTAAGATGAATGCAAAAGGTCTGACTTCCTACGAGTGCGTTGCTTGTGCTGCCAGTAAGGCAAAACGAATGTCTTATAAACGGATTCCATCGCGGAAGTCCGAACCTCTGGAGACTCTCATGATGGACATTTGCTCTGTGAACGAACAGTCTGTGGATGGAGCTACAATGTTTCTCTTTATCATAGATGAGTCTACAAGGTACAAGTGGCCGTTCCTACTCAAGAAGAAGAGTGAAGCAACGTTTCACATCAAGGTCCTACTGAACAGGCTGCGAACTCGTTTTCCTGAGAAGAAGGTGCGACGACTACACTCTGACCAAGGAGGTGAATTTGCAAGCAAGGAGCTAAGTGACTACTGCGTCGACCAAGGGATTGAGCAGCAGTTTACGAACGCCTATTCTCCTCAAGAGAACGGCATTGTGGAGCGTGCTAATGGTGTGGTTCTACCAAGAATCAGAGCGATGCTGATGGCTACACACATGCCCAACTCCTTGTGGGGAGAAGCCTTCCTGCATGTGGTGACGACGTTAAACTGGCTACCCACCAAGCCTTTAGGATTGGTGTCCCCGCACCAGAAACTGTACGAATCGGAGCCCATGCTGGATGATTTGCGTACTTGGGGCTGTCTGGCACACGTGCGTATTCCCCCTGAGTCAAGACAAGCGAAAGAAAAGCTGGAAGCGAGGGCAAGACTGTGTCTATTACTGGGTTATAGCGAATCGACCCTAGGCTACAAGTTCATTGACCTGGTGACAGCTCAAGTGGTGACAGCTCGTAGTGGGAATGTGAAGTTCCATGAAGAGTTCACAACCGATGGCATCTACATGAAGCATCTATTAGAGAACGCATTCTTTGATGGTGATCATACTCTACGCGAGACTGTACCTGTGGCGCGCATCAAGACCAACATGGAGACGTACCTTCCAGGTTGGAGTGACGGCATCTCTAGTGCGGAGAAGCCACTTGAGGCGGTACCACTTGCTGACGAACCTGCAGAAACTGAGTTAAGTTCAAGTGGAAGTTTGTCAATCGTTGACGCACCTGTGAGCAAGGACAGTGCGGAGACTGCTGGTGTTGCAGCACCAGCCGTGTTGCAGGATCCTACGGAAGAAACCGAGGAAGGTTTGGAAGTGAGGAAGCGCAAGAGACGCAGAACAAAGAAGAAACCTGCAATGGTGGAGAAGGAGACAAGTGACTTCGAAATTCAATCTCCATCAAGAGAGCCCTGCCTAAAGCGACCAAGAAGGAAGCAGAAGGCGAATGTTCGATTGTCGGATTACGTGGTAGGCCTAGTGCAGGCTATGACTACGGATGTGCAGATTCCGACGACGTACAAACAAGCACGTGCAAGCAAGTACTGGCAGCAGTGGAGAGCTGCAATGTTGGTGGAACTTCAATCGTTGAAGGGTCACAAGACCTGGAAACTTGTACCCCGCAAAGATGCCAAGAAAGTGAAGGTGATAACGTGTAGGTGGGTCTTTGCTGTGAAGCGAGATGAGCGTGGACGAATCAAACGTTTCAAGGCGCGACTAGTGATCCATGGATTCAAACAACAACTTGGGATTAACTACTCTGAGACCTATGCACCTGTGATCCGGTTCGAAACCATACGTGCGGCTATCTACTACGCTGTACAAAGAGGTTGGGAGGTGTTGCAATTTGACGTGAAGACGGCTTTTCTGTATGGAGACTTGGACGAGACTATCTTCATGGAGCAGCCTCCTGGCTTCCAGGTGGATGGACCTGGGTCCATTTGCAGATTGTTGAAGAGCCTGTACGGACTGAAGCAAGCACCGAACGTTTGGAATCGCACGCTTCATACGAAGCTTGTTGCGATGGGGTTTACTAGGACGGACTCTGACTACGGCCTATATGCATTGAGGAAGGATGGTGAAGTCAAGTTGCTATTGACTGTATACGTGGACGATCTACTGCTGATGGGTTCACGTGACCTGTGTGCCACAATCGCTGCCTCACTGCAAGAGACATTCGAGCTCACGACGATGGGCACAGTCAAATATCTCTTAGGCGTCGAGATCCTGATTGACCGGCCGCGCCGGCAAATAGTGTACTGCCAGAAGCAGTACGTACTGGAGGTGTTGAAGCGTTTTCATATGGAGAACTGTAATGGCTGCGCTACACCAGAAGCTACGACGCCCTCGAAGACAGACGTGCCTGCTTCGAAGGAGTATCTTCCCTACAGAGAACTGGTGGGTGCTCTCCAGTACCTCGTTAGTGCATCGAGACCTGACATAGCTCATGCTACCCGACACCTGGGCAAGTATCTTGCGAGCTATGATCATATGCATTTCGCACAAGCCAAGAGGGTACTGCGTTACCTGAAGGCTACATGTGACTACGGACTAGTGATGAATGTGAAGCTACAGACTGATGTGCAAGTTAGTGGCTACTCTGATGCTGATTATGCGAACGACCCTGTGGATCGACGGAGTATCAGTGGCTACATCACTATGCTGGACGACAACGTCATCTCCTACGCATCTCGCAAGCAAGAGATCAACGCGCTTAGTACCTGTGAAGCTGAGTACGTAGCAATGGCAGAGGCGACCAAGGACTTGTTGTGGCTTGCTGGCCTATGCAAAGAGTTGAGCTGGAAGCATCCAGTACCTCAACTACTGGGAGACAATCAAGGAGCCATTGCCTTAACTGCGAAACCTGGCAAACATTCGAAATCGAAACATATCGATAACAAGTACCACATGATCAGACGCCATGTGGAGTTGAAGCAACTTACAACCCAACACATCGGAACTGATGATATGGTGGCCGATATAATGACAAAGGCACTTGCAGTGGTGAAGTTCACACACTTTCGCAAGGCTATGAAAGTCTTACCTATTGTGTCGAGCGATGACAACGTATCCGAGGACATGGCTACAACTACGACTACTGCTACTGCGTTGACTACTGCTGTTGATGCGGAGGCTGTACCTGAGCGACATTGATGAAGACGAGGGCGATCGAGTGGGAGTACTGTTACTGAGTGGACTGCTATTGTCTTTGAGCTGCGACTACGCTACTACTAGGACTATGGCGGCAACTAGGATGCGCGTGTGTGATCGCGTCGACTTCCAAGTGCGTCGCCGAGATCAAGTGGGAGTGTGAGCTATAAAACTTACCTGCGTGTCGAGCGCCAGTGCATTGCAGTCTGCCAGTGTCCGGTGCCCCCATCTACGAGCCACCGTCCACTGCCAGTGTCTGCAAAGACACATCCCAAGGACACTCATGCGCCTGGCAGTGCAGCTTGCGGCTGCACTACAACCGGCTACACTGAGTACACATGCGTGCAATGGCGAAGGACTATACCAAGGACTGTATGCACAAGGACATCGTTGGCTGTGCGCTGCCAAGATGGTGTACTCAAACGAGAGTGCATTTATCTAGAGTTTAGTATTGACTTATTTGCTATTTGTATACTAATCTACTTTTGCGGTACAGCGGTGTTCTGGCGGAGGCTGCTCCACACTTTGCGTTTTGACGCCTGCCGCTCATCAGAGAGCAGCAGAGAAGAGCAGCCTCGCCAGACACCGCAGTCCTGTCGCGGCCTTTTGCCCGGCACTTACGTGTTTACGTTACTTCCTGATTAGTTTCCTAAAGTTGACATTTAAGTGTATTTACATTTAAATGGCTCCTACTCTTAGAAGCGATCGACACATGGAGAACAATCCCCCCGTGACGAACCCTACGTCACCACTAGCATAGTTAACCAGCATTGTTATCACTTCGCACCATGCTCACTTTTCACCTTTCCGCTACATAACAAGAACAAGGCTCAGTCCAGGCCGTCATTCATAAGGAATGAGTATTGTGACTCCTGGTGACGTCGCGATTGCTGTTGGCAAAAGCACACCATCGACAACTTACTCGTTCATAAATGTCAAGGGATGCAATGGCGAACCTATCGCTGAAGTTCCTGTCACCTTCAAAGCCGAGTGGGCTGCGTACTGGACCGAAGACCACCGCGTGTGCTGCCCAAGAGTCTTTGCTCCAAGCTCTTGAGCTGTCTTCGCTTTCCATCGCTGCTCATCGACTATATTGCCATTGGAGTGGCCATGATCATTATTGGGGTAATTTCGTTGCATTTTTTCGCACTCGAAGCTCTAATAACTCCATGCCGTTTTAAGAGAGCAGCCCCAGTGTTGACCCATGATTGCTTTTACTACTGGTTGAAGCGAAATGGAATATGAGCGAGGAGCTAAAGAAAGTGAAGAAAGCGACCCAAGGAATGACAATGTTCGTACTTGCGCATAAGCTGAACGACGTGCGCGCTGTCGAGGAAATGATCAAATTGCAGTCCATTGAGAAGCAGAAGCTGGTGGTGCTGCAGAGTTAGCAATTCAACCTCAGAGCCTGCAGGATAAAGGAATGCTACAAGTCATCAGCGAATCATATTCATGTATTTACACAATGCATTCATACCCAAATCTTTCGGTTCTCTTCAATTGCTTCTTGTTTCTGTTGAGAGCTCTAAACCAATACAGAACAAGTCTATCTATCTACTTGGACTGAGTACGCGGGCGGCGAGAGTTCTTAGGACGACGCTTCGACGCACTAGAAGGTGTTGATGATCGGCGTGTGTGGTGGTGACCCGAACGTGGCGTCGTCGGCTCGGAGTTCTCCGATGAAGAGGAAGCGTCCTCGCTAGCGTCGGCATTCAGCAGCACACGACGCGACATTTTGCCCGATGCTCCGTCCTGCAGACACTCGAACTCCATTTCTTGTCCCTCCGACACGACGTCGTGAATGTTACTGACCTTGTCACGCGAGAGCTCCGAGATGTGTACGAAGCCACGCTGACCAGAAGAAGCCTCAAGGATGGCACCGAAGTCCATAACCTGCTTCACGTGCATGGTGTAGCGCTCTCCCTTACGGAAGAAGAACGTTCGGTCCTTGTTGGAGCCTTGGCTGTCATTGTCACGACTACTGTTACTGTCGTTGCCGTTGCTCCCACGCGGACCGGAGCTGGCAAATCCAGCGAGTTCAGTCTGGATCCAGTCGCGAGCCTTCTCCGCGTCTCCAGCTGCACCCACCACACGTACAATACCTTCACGACGATCCACAATGCTCACCGAGACGTTGAAACGCGACTCCAGATCGCGAATGTTGCTGCCTCCGACTCCAATCAGCGCTCCAATCAAGTTCGTGGCGATCACGCACTCAATACTCACGTTCGGAAGTGCACTGCCACTGGACTTCAGAGTTGTGCGCGGCTCAGACAATTCGTTGCTCATACGACGCAAAATATGCAGACGAGCGTGCTTGGCTTCACGCAGTCCCTCCTTCAGCACGAAAAGCGGCACACCGCCGGGAAGTTTCACATCCAGCTGCAGAGCCGTCACACCAGATGTCGTGCCTGCCACCTTGAAGTCCATATCGCCGTAGTGATCTTCAGAGCCAAGGATGTCGGTCACCAACTGGTAATTACCTTCCTCAATGCGCTTTTCCTGGCAAGCAAACGGGTCCCCAGCAGTAACGAGACCGATGGCGATACCTGCAACGGCACGGCGAACAGGTACACCGGCGTCCATGAGGGCTAAGGAAACACCACACACCGTAGCCATGGAGGACGAGCCGTCCGAGCCCACCACTTCTGATGTCATGCGGACAGTGTACGGGAACTCAGTGATCGACGGTAGAATAGGCAGCACAGCCTTCTCGGCCAGAGCACCATGGCCGATCATACGGCGGTTAGTTCCGCCCACACGACCGGTCTCGTTAACACAGAAGGGCGGGAACTCGTAGTGCAGCATGGCGTGTTTGAAAGGTGCGGGAGCATCACGTTCTGCTTGTTCACGTGCTTCGTGCAGTGCACCGCGAAGACGAATGCCACGCTCCAGAGGCCCCAGCGTCACAGAACACAGCGTCTGCGTCTCACCACGAGCGAATAGAGATGAACCGTGCGCCATAGGAAGCACTGCAGCCTTCATCTCAAGCGGACGCACGATGCGAACCGGACGACCATCGAGTCGCACGGGTTTGTTCTTCTTCGTCTCCTTCGCAATGGTCAGAATACGCTCACGCAGCACACGCTGGAACGTGTCGTGAGCTGCACGTTGGATGGCAGCGTCGTCCACTGGAGGATTCGCGGTAGCGAAGTGTTGACGCATCCCTGTAAGCATTTTGTTGTAGACTTCACGCTCTCCTTCCTGGCGAGCGAGTTTATTGACGCGACCACTGGCGATCAACGCCTCAGCATCTGCGCGTCCCAGTTCCTCCGCCTTGGCCCACACTTCCGGCGCAATGAACAGCGGCGAGTACTCGCGCTTCGTCTTGCCATGTTCTGCTGCTAGTTTCTTCTGCTCTTCGATTGCCGACACGGCATTGGTGTGTGCCAGATCCAATGCCTCGTCAAGACGCGCCTCCGTCACCTCGTCACCTGAAGCTTCCACCATTATGGCATGCTCAGCTGTACCAGCATACAGGACGTCCATCGTAGCTGCTTCACGTTGTGGGGCGGTCGGGTTGACCACCAGCTGTCCATCCACCTCAACTACACGCACACAGCCAACCGGTCCGTCCCACGGGATGTCAGACATGCTCAGAACCGCAGACGCCGAGTTAACTGCCACTACCAGCGGATCATTGTTGGGATCGTACGACTGCACGGTCGCTAGCACCTGTGTGTTCTCGCAGTAGTCGCGTGGGAAAAGCGGACGGATGGCGCGGTCCACCACGCGGGATTGCAGCACTTCCTCGTCACTGCCGGTGAACTCGCGGCGCTTCTGGTTGTCTGGGATAAGACCCACAGCATGTGACTTGACACGGAAGTCCACGGTGAGTGGCAGGAAGTCGCGCTGGGTGGAACCGCCATTGACTGACGGGTTGCCATGGTGATCGCCGCTTACGACAGTCGTAAGCAGTACTGTGCGACCACACGAGGCAAGCACGGCGCCGTCCGCGAGCTTTGCAAGCTTGCCCACTTTGTAGGAAGTCGCATCTAAGCTGCCGACCACCAGCTCCTTCTCTTTCTTGGGCTGCTGAGTTTGAGTCTGAGTCTCTTTGGTTTCCGTCGGCTTCGGTTGTTGATGTGCTGTGACTGTCTTAGCGACTTCCTCTTCCTCCTCTGACAGCTTTTTGGCGCCGAAAAACAAGTCACGGAGTCCAAAAAATGAGCGACTTTGATTTTCAGCGCTAGCTCGAGGAGCACGGTGGTGAGCTACCGAGATGGCAGCACGACGAGCCGCAGCGGTGGTCGGCAGGCGACGAGCGGCGGACAGCATCTTGAGACGAAGATGACCAATTGTGCGGCAGCGGTGGCTCTACCAGCCACACGTAACGATGTACCAAACACCAAACAGCTGTTAAATAAAACGGTCCATGATTGGATAAATCATTGCTTGGTCGTGTGGCGCACACCAGCTTCTAATTCCTGGTCACAACAGAAAAAGCCCAGTCCGTCCGCACCAAACAAGGCGCAGACTGACCCCCTCGCTCCAAGACTCCCCAGACCAGATCAGCAGCATGGGCACTCGTGTTTACGTGGGCGGACTTCCGCGCGACGCTACTTCGCGCGAGATCCAGGACGGATTCAGCCGTTACGGTCACGTGTCCAACATTTGGGTGGCCCGCAACCCGCCAGGCTTCGCTTTCGTGGTGAGTTGAGCTGCTTCTTCCCTCTCGGCGCGGTGCATCGCTTGCATGATGGCGCGCGATATCTCGCTCTTTCTTCCTCTTCTCCTCCTCCTTTATTCTCCACCCTACCTGTGCCGGTAGAGCGTCATCGACGTGTGTCCAAGCAGTCGGAGGGTGGCGGTCTGTTGGTGGCAACGTGTGTGTTATTTGTATATTTGTGTACTATACCAGTGTGTATACATGTTGAACGTTGCCACTTTGACCGCCGCTGTCGAGTCTCCTGTGTGATGATTGTGGTTTCGCTCGTTGAGCTCTTCCCATCTCCGGGTCGGTGAGGTCGACATCTTCGTCGCCTGCTGCTACTGCTGTGGGCTCCCCGTCGTCTTCGGAGATTCCTTCTACTGCTAGAGGAAGAGATAGAGAGAGCTTCATTCGCCACATGGTGGATAACCGACGTGCCATCATGCTGCGCTTCGCCTCGCCTTCATCCCGCGCCATCATCTTCATCCTCATCCTCGCCCCCGATTTTAAATCATACCAACCAACGCCTCTTCATCGTCGTCCTCCCAATTCCTGCTCCTCTCACCTCTTCTAGGACTTCGAAGACCCGCGTGACGCTGATGATGCTATTCGCTCCATGGACGGCCGTGACTTCCTGGGTGGACGGTAAGAAGCTTCAGATTGCCTGTGAAACTACTACAGATAGCCTGATGTCTTGAGTGCTTTGTGCAGAATTCGTGTTGAGCTGGCTCGTGGTGGCAGCCGTCGCGATGGTGGAGGCGGCGGCGGTGGCGGTGGCCGTCGTGGAGACGATGACCGCCATGGCCGTGGTGGTGACCGTTTCGAGCGTGGTAAGCCCCAACTACTTCTCTCCTTGGCAGTGGTGTGAGCCCGTACCTTACAAATTTGTGTGCTTTGAACTAACAGGTCGCAACCCGCCCCAACGTACTGACTTCCGTGTGCGTGTGACGGACCTGCCGCGTGATGTGGACTGGCGTAACGTGAAGGACTTTCTCCGCACGGGTGGCGAGGTCACCTACTGCAACATCGAGGCTGATGGCTCGGCGTAAGTGCTTCCCTTATCTCGTCTGCTAGAGTGTACCCTGCTGCTGAAATTGACATGTGCCCGGTGTGGCTATCTGTGATTCAGGATCGCTGAGTTCCAGACCAAGGAGGACATGGAGGACGCCGTCAAGAAGCTGGACGACACCGAGTTCCGTGGAAGCTACGTGCGCGTTGCCCCCGAGGGAGACTCGAGCCGTCGCTCCCGCTCTCGCTCTCCTGCTCGTGGCCGTTCACCGAGCCGTCGCTCGCGCTCGCGCTCGCCTGCTGCGCGTAAGGACTCACCGCGCCGTTCGCGCTCCAGATCAGCCTCACCGGCCGCTGGTCGCTCGCCCGCTCGCAAGAACTCAGCTTAAGGTGGTGTCGAAAAAGAGCTGGAGGCCTGCTAAAGTCAGCGTCGAGAGCCAAGAGGGCCCTTGCTCACTCGCGTGTGCAGTGGTTGACAGGCCAAACAACTTTTGTTGTCCCGTGTCAAAGGTACAAGCACATTAAAACGGTGGCAATACTTCCTGTCTTATCACATTTTACTCATGTTCTGGCGTCAATAGTTTGTCATCTGCCTCCTGACGTAGACTGAATAATCCGCCGCATAACACTTTTACATGCACATGTATTACGCTACAGTACTTCTACCAGTAGCAGTTACTCAGAAGCTTCAACTCATATCAAATTTACCTTGGAAGCTTGAGCTTTGGCGCATAAGATCTCAGCAATCTACATGTAATGTCGACGAGTTCGGACCAAACATGCAGTAAGATGCTGAACGAAGACCTAATGCGAGCCATACGAAGGAGCCAAAACGGTATCTCCAAACAACACAGAGCGATCGATCTCCGGATGAAGTAGATGGTATTTGTGACTTCCCAAGCTTCCCTCAGCGTCCGTCCGTCCAACAAGTCAGCAAGCGGATCGAGAGAGAAGCTGTTACGAAAGATGCCCCTGTTGTAACCTGTAAGGCCCTGCCAAGGCCAATCCCCTGTTGATATTCATCTACAGCAGATCTACCACCATCGTCCAACGTTGAAAAAGCTTAAGAAGACCGAGCTTTATTATGCGCCGCACTTGCATGTTGTCACACCCTAAATATCCTTGCGCTGGAGTCCTGTGAGATGTCAAACAATTGAAACATGGTCAGTTTCTGCTGTTGTGATTATACCCAGAGCTTTAGCGTCGTACCAGGAGGCAGGGACTGCGTGAGCTTGTCAGCCTTCTCCGTGTCCGTCACGCAAAGCGTGTACAGGTACTTGGAGCAACGGATTTTGAACTTGACGACCTTGTCGCTCTTTTTGATCTTCACCGAGCGGGCATCTTTGCGGCGCGCCTTCTGCAGGAAGTCACGGATGTCGGTGATCTGCTTCGGCTGTGAATAAAGACACACATGTCTTGTGTTAGCTTTCTGTCTGTCTGCCTGTATGTACCATGAGCTCTAACGACAGCAGCATTTCTCCTTCACACATACCATTTTGCTGCGTTGGTCTTCTAAACTTAACTAAAGAGGACTAGCCGAGTCTAACAACTGGGGGGAGCCTGCGCACCATCGATTGGCAGGGAACGTCTCGAAACTGATTCGTCAAAAACATTTCTTCTTTTGTAAATTGATTTGAAGTTTTTACGGCTCCGGTGCACGTAAAAAGTGATTTAAATCAATTATATTGCAAAATATTAATGATCTTGTTTTGTTTTAATTTTCCAGACAATAATTGACATTACAGATTTGGATAGCCGCGCAGTCTAGGTTTTAGTAAGTGAGTTCTAAAACAATCTGAGAAGTTAGCCAGCTGTTATTTTTTTTCAGGCAGAAAACCGAACTCCATTCGAAGAGAGCTTGTTGAGAGCTACGCGAAGAATTTGCCGCGATGGCATCCTCTTCGAACCAAGAGTGTCATATCTGCCTCGAAGATTTGCGCAGTAACCTGGTGGCTGCTCCGTGCGGACACGTTTTTCACCACGCCTGCGTCATCCAGGCGCTACAGTTCAACAAGCAATGCCCCATTTGCCGCCGCAGCACATACGACGCCGACCTCATCGCACTTTACTTCGACGTACCGAATGTTGGCGAGGTAGAGGATGGCAATATACAGACGACTAAGCGTGTCGAAGCCTCAGGAGACAGCGTGGCGCTCAGCTCGCGTGTCAATACGCTCATGGAGCGCATCCAGTGGCAAAATAAGCAGCAAGAGCGACTCGTGGGCGAACTGCAGCGTCTACGCAGCCAGAGCGAGCAGCTACTGGTTGATAAGCGCTCACTAGCCCAGCGTGTCGGAGGATTGGAACATACGAAGAACGAGTTACTGACCAAAGTGGCGAGGTACCAGATGGAACTCTCGCGTCAAACGGAGGCAGCGCGCAGATCAACTGTAAACCAGAGTATTATCAAATATCTGGAGACATGCGACGCATCGACACTCGAGGAGGAGATCCAGAACCCGAGAGAACTGATCATGGCGCTCAAGAAGGCGTGTAAGTTCCGCCATGACCAATACGAGAAGGTGGTGAAAGAAAAAATGCGTCTCAAAGAGATGCTGAGGAATACGCAGCCCCAATTAGCACAGCAACAAACAGGAGGCAACGCTAGAGTGGCAAAGAGCAAGGCTCGAAGTGCAGCTTCAGTGTCATTTGAGAGCAAACGCGCGTATCCGACTTTTGGAACGGGACTCCAGCCGCCGGTGGAAAGCAAGAAGCGCAAAGTTGATTCCTCGTCCGTAGCATCAAATCCGATGCCATTCTTCGAGAACCAGTTCAACGATGACATTCTAGGGTTCACCCCTCGTTCAGAATCGGCAGGGTTCCGCGCGAACGCTTATTCAGACGTATCGGTCCGTCCACCGCCGAGTTCACGGCAGACATTTGGACGCAGCAACTTTAACCCGAACCAGTACGGAGCGTATAACATGACGCCATCAAGTCAGCCTCCTATACAGATGGCTGAATTCCAGGCGGAGGTGTGTCGCCGGGGCTACGACGAAACTGGTAAGTTGACCAACTTTTTTCTCCCAAAAGAGGCTGAGTCGCGGTCTGCGCCTAGGAAGAAACAAATTCCGAGCATGCAGAACCTGCTGAACTCACAGTCAAGATCTTCGGGTCAGCAGCAGCGCGTTGCAAACAACGACCGGCAGGAGTACGCACTTACCAACTGGCTGCGCAACAATTAAGTGCTCTCTTGGGCCTTTCCTGATATTTGCAGTCACGAACACTGTAAAATAACTAATTTGCGATGGTAGGCAGGTCATATCTGCTTTAAGACTTAACAGAGGGATGTTTGCTTAGCAGACACAATACTACATTTACTGCAGTATGTTTTTTTTCTTCTTCTGTTGCTGACTATTCACGCGAGCCGTGGAGCTGAGAGCGGAGACGGCTCAATACCTCCTGCAGCATAATATGATGTTCCTTTATAACCTGGACGACTTGAGGATCGTTACTGGGGAATTTTTTGTCGGACGTGAGGCGGTATCCAATGTCGTCGATGGACGTAAATGAAGTCTCAGCACTACGGTTGTCGTCTTGTAGTTCAGCTGAATTAGGTACCGGGTCGATTTCACTTTGTGCAGGACTTGACTGCGAGGCTGTCGCTGTTTTTGATCGCCGTCTTCCCAGAAACGATGCTTCTGAATGCCCCACCAGCGGTGGCAATGGTGACAGCTGCCTGCAGACACAGTAGAGCAGCGTAGCCAAGCTGGTCAGATTCACTGCTGTATGCTTTCCGATGTTCCTTGATCCAATGGCCACATTCCAAGGTTGCAAAACCACATGTGGTATCAGGATCCGTACGAGGAGAAAGTTAACCAGCACAACGTTGAATCGGGGAAATTCGTGACCATCGTTCATTCTCCGAGTAGCACCGAGAGAATCAAACTCGAGGCTTTGTCGTTCCTCATTGAATAGTTGGTACTGTTGTTCAACGACAACGCAGGCAAATCAGTCATAAGTAAAGTATTGTCATAAGTAAAGTATAATAGCAATAGGAGATTAACGTACACTGGGTGGGAAATAAACACCATCACTAGAAATCCTTTTTCAGAAGTCCAAGATACCGGTGGGCACCTCTTTCTTATCTGCTCAGTGCTTGAAGGATTCCTCTCGCCCGCACTTTGAGCTTTAGCATCTTCACCGGATCTACAAAACTTTCGCCACTGACAAGCGCTTGTGCTGATGTGGGCGGACGACGAGCGAGGATACCACCAAACTTCTTTGCGAAGCCTCGCAGACGAAAGCCCGTACGACTACCTCTCGTGCTGATATCCACGTCTAAGCTCGCGTCCTGGAGTAGGGACAGCAAATGCACTCTTACCACCTTTCCTAACCACATACGAGTGGCATCGAAGTAAACACGCAACATGGATTCAAAGTCCTATAACAAAAGGGTTGTAAGTAGCTGAGCAGAGGTCTACAGTACAAAGCAGACACAGAAAGCGTACTCTCATCGCGCTTTCCTTTTCTTCCACCTTCTTTGTCATCAACGTTTTCTTCAGATTTACCACGAACAAGACACAGCGTACAGCTGAGCGGAAGATCTGAAGAGATTCCATCGCCTCAGCTTCAGATTTAAATGGAGAGATATCGTCGCGTCCAGCCTACGCCACCGTGGCTTTCTCAAGGCGCCTCCGCCTGCACTTTTGAGTGAGTCTCTAAGGAATGTCTCCAGCTTCTTTCGATTCTCGAGGCGGTCGTGTGCTTTCTGATCCGAAGCTTTTGTTGCACTGTTCGTCGATTTACCAATGTCATGATCATTGCCAGCGGCGTTCACATCATCCATTCCAGGAATGTCAGGAAGGACATCTGCGTCGTTCTCCAGTTTGTCAAGGGCCTAAAAAACAGTTTTAGATGGCGCTCGATCACGTTCGTCAACGACAAAGTTACGTACAATTTCGTCTTCATCTGTCCACTCGAGCTCGGGCATCCACAACAGAGAGGTTGTGGGCTGGAACGGTGGTGGAGGGCTCTTAGCCGACACTTCTTTTTGCGTTGCCTTCTCATCTTCAGCGTTTTGCGCTGATAAAGAATGTGGACTAGTGTTGCTGGGAGGGCTTGCATACGATGACTTTTGGTTAGTTGCCTTTAAAGAATTCGGTACGCCATCAGCATGTACCTGTAAAATACTACATGTGGACTACATGTGCATGATGTTTACAGTAGTAGTAGACAGATACGTACTTTTGTCGTGGAACCAGTAATGCCATGATCTGCTCATTTTGTTGCACCAGCTTCGCAATCAAAGCTTCACGTGATCTTGGCAATTGTTCATTAGTTTGTGCCAGAGGAAGATCCGTAGTCCCGAAGTTATTGCTGTAAGTGGGACCAGTGTCCGCAGCATTGAGTGTCTTAAGCAACGAAACAGGTAGCTTTTGTTACTTTGTCGTAGTTGTTTAAGCACAATACCTCAGCGCACCTCGTACTGGCGAACTTGCTGCTCTAGCAGCCGTACTTGAGCTCTGTAATACACGGCTGAATTAATGCGTGCCATTGGGTCAATGCAGGACCGTGCACTTTACTGCACTTGCAGCAGATACCTCAATTCCTCGTATTGCTCTTTACGAGCCCCAACAAGTTGCTGGTGACGCAGTCGCAGCAGCTCATTTTTCAACACCTCTCGACGAACTGACAGTGCTGCATGTTGGGCTTCGACTCCCTTAAATTGATGAAAAGAGAGCCACGGGTCATTCCATCGGTGTTGCATACTCTCGCTAGCTGTCGGACATTAACAATCTTTTTTTGGCCAACGAACAAAAACAAAGGAAAACGCATGTATTCCTCATCGTAAGTACCTGCTGATCAGCTCTCCGCTGTCACTTGGCCCCGTTCTTCCACAACCTCGTCGTCGACAGTATTACTAGCAGCGGAATTATCGTGCTGAATTCGTTTCTCCTCTTCCCTCTTTTGATGCTCCGCTTCCTGTTCAGCGATTTCCTTCTTTGCCGCGTCTTCTCGTCCTAGAAAATCGTTCGCTGCAGATCTTCGATGTCATTGAAGAGTTCGAGTGATTTCTCGAGTATCTGTGTTGCAGATTCCAGTGTGTTCTTCGACGCCTCCAGCGTCATGTTGGTGAAAAGAGTGCTCACTGAATATGATCCCTGTACCAAAGTGGACTGGACGCCGCGTATCTGACAACGCAAAGAGTGGTCACACTCGTTAGCTATATCAGCATGTATTGGGTTAACCGACATTTTTCGTACCTGCTCCGATAAATCACGCACTCGCTTCGAGATATCTCCGTATCGACACTTCATTTTCCCGCAAATTACTGGCAAAGACGCCTCTGCATCGCTGATGTCTACCACACCAGGCGTGTGAATCCCTTCACCTGCATGGCGGTCCTCATCTGGGACGTAGGTAAGCAGTGACGCCTTGAACGTGCACATACCGGTTTTCTTGAGTCCGTATAGTTTCGTGTCTGACTCCGGGTTACTGGAAGGGATCAATTCTACAATCATGGAGTAATGGTCGTCATCCTTGCAATCGTCACCATCGTCGTAAACCATGTACTTGTAGTTCAGAGTGATAGGATCGATCTGCCAACCACGGAAAATGCTGCAAGTGGATTACAAACCGCGTCAGGGATTGTCAGGCCAGTCTATGAGTGCAAGTCATCACTAATTTACCCGAGAATAGTGGGGATTTCCGGCTCCTTCTTCTCTTCGGACACTGGGTCTACCAACTTTTCAGCATCATCGTCGCCATCCTCCGTCGTGTCAGGAACTTCACTCACGTCGTCGGTCCCTATTGAATCATCCGGCACTCCGTCTGTCACTTCCATTTCCACTTCGATGTTCTTCTCGATCTTCGCTTCAATTGTCACGTTCGCAAGAAGACAGAGATCCAGAACATAGCTGTCATAACGTTGATTAGCTGAATCTAATGGAGATAGATGGTGAAATGCGAACCAAGCACTCACGCCTTGCCCTCCTGCATCTCTCTCTCCTCACGAAGGCACGGCACCGACTCAAGGCTATCGACAAATGGACCTGCAAGGCATAATAAAACAGAAGCTTAGTCCTTTGGGGATGAATATTGATTGCAAGTAGCGCTTCGCATGCCTTGGAATGCTGGGAAAGGATCGCGCGACGGAATGGGGAGCAGCACCGGCGGGGCCTCCTCTTCCGGTCGTGGGCGAGCGATGACCTTAATGTCGATTTTGGGCGCCGCCTCGCAGAGCTCGGTACCCAGCGCCACTGCGGCCACTGCTCCAGCGAACATGCTCCTGCCTCGCATACTTGTTGCACAATTACAATACAATAATGTGCTTTAATTGGACAATAAATCATTATTTTTTCCAGCAAATGGCAAGTTGAAGAAGGAGTGATGGTCAAGTTGCACCACGCGATATCCAATCTCAGTGCGGAATTCGTGGTGTGGAGAGCAAGCGGTCGAGGAGATGGAGAAAGAAGCCGCGTCAGCAATATTGAAGCGCGTGGAGAGCGCAGCGGAGCTTCTCGCTCGTGCATCTGACGCTTCAACAGAGGACATCGTCGCCTTGAGCCGGGAGCTGGAGGAATTATTACGCGTTGTTACAGACTTCGGCAGGCAGCGAGTGTTGGAGCTGTCGGGGACACAACTTATTAACGCTGGAGTGGATTTATACAACGCACCACGAGCTGCAATGAGAGTTCTCGTTCAGTTGGAGAAGGATAAGCAAACCCACGAACAGCGGCCAAGTTTTTCGCGATATTCATTAGCATTCACACGGTTTGTGGCCGCGAAGATCATGGGACTGTCGCTGATTTGCAGTAAAGATGATGAAGCGCAGAATAAAAATACGCAGTTCATGGACGAGTGCGTCGACGTGTTACGCTCGTATGGTCGTGTCGGGATGCTCATGCTGGAAAGCGCATCGATCGACTGCGAAAAATGCGAGGAATACTTGTCCTTGGCGGAGGAATCGTTCTCCTCCTCGATGCAGCTATGGTCTCGCATCGGACTTTCACATCTGACCAAGTTCAAACAAGGCTTGGAGCTGGAAGAAATTTTGGATGATTTATGGGACTTTTGGATGGACCGTGTGCGAACGCTCCAGTTGCTTACACAACGGCCAGACTATTCACCGGGCGATTCTCGAGATATGGTGTCGTCACTCCATGAATTAAAGATGCTAGCTCCGTACAAACCCTCGTATGCAAGCAGCTTGCTTGATCTTATGACGAGTGTGAGCGACGAATACAGACGTGCAACCCTCCACGATCTACAAGTGTCTTTTGCCGAAGAAGCACTGCGCATCGGTGAATCTCTTAAAAACGATGAAGATGAGAGTTTTTCTGCGCTGATCACATCGTTCAAGCAGAAGTTGCTAGTAAATTTGCTACAGTCACTGTGTGCATCTGGAGATGTGGAACGAGCTGAAACATGCTACCAGCTAATTCCAGACAACAGCGATAGCAAAGTATTGCTACTCATGAACAAGCTCTACGTCGACAACAAACAGTTTGAGAAAGCACATAGACTGCTTCAACTGTTGTTTGAACAGGACAGCTTTGATGACTCCCTGGCTGGAGCTCGCACCTTTGCCGAAGGATTCTCCTTTTCCGACAAAGGCTTGGATATTTATCGAGAGCTTGCCAGCAACTATGGGGATGCCGACTTCGCTATCAACGTGGATATCGCATGCAATCTTGCTTTTGTCGAGGGTAAACGCCATGAATCTATCGAGGAGCTGAAGCGCATTGGGAGTTCGTTGCTGGAAGCAGAGAGGTACAATCTCCTGGATTCTCAATTTCGTGTCAGTTCTTATGCTGCCGTTTGTGACACAGCAGCGGTCAACTAGTCGACAGCAAACACATCCAGAGAATCCGACAAACCATTTTTGATGCTCTTCAGGAGGCACTGAATTCAAACCAACACGAGGTATTTGCCAGCATCAAAGGTATTGTTGAGGGTAATACTCACTGGCTCGATACATACGTTTCATAGGACTGCTTGAAGTGGGCAGATGCAGCGTTGACTACGGTTTCATCAGCACGAGATCGAGCAATGTACATGAGGTAACCATGGATTTAGCTGTGTGTTTGAGCTACGAGTAGTGTTGATCTGAGTAACTTTCTATAGGGTCATGTCTCGCTCGTGCGTCCAGCTGGGCCGTAATGCTGAAGCTTTAGATTGGGCTGAAAAGGCTCTTGCCATAGAGCCTTCGAAGCAATCACAACTTGCTGTGTTTCAAGTGGCAATTGAAGCAATTACGGAAGTATCAGAAGAAAAACTAACGCACATCTTGGAGCAGCTGAAAGCCAGAGATGACTTCGAGATCGATGACTTGCTAGCCATGGGAAAGCTAGCGAACAATCTTGGCTCATCCAGACAAGATATTGTGATGCTCATTTTAGACGAGTTGTGTCATACTGTCATGGAGACTGACGACAGCTTTACGGCAAAAATGCCTGTTGGGGTACTTCTACAAAATGCGGCTCAACTCGCATTCACTAAGTTCACGCAGCAACAGCAAGTCGGGTCGAGTGATAATGCCGAAGGTTCCTACGGCGAGAAGTTCCTGACCTACGCCAACGTGCTACTGTTAAAGTCAAGATCTGACACAGTCGATTACGATGAAAGCTTTGTCGGACCTCCTTCAATTTTCGAGTGGTTCTTTCGAATGAGGTACGATAGCTAGCAGCTTACATTTCATTTGTGTAGGTGCTGATAACTGTTTGGCATCAGCTTTGACATCGCCAAAAGCACTGAAGACTCAAGATATTTTATGATGGCAGCCAACATCGCAGAACGGAGCGACAAATTGTACGGAGAAACATCGCCGCTCACGCAGCAAAGTCAGAGGTGCTTGCTAGCTGCAGTGAGTTCTGACATGAAGAAAATTGAAACATTGGACAAGAGCCAATTGTTGGGACTTATTGAAGTGATCAACCGGACCGGATGCGTTCAAAGTGGAGACACATCTTTTGATGACGAAGTCATGTGCTACCTGGTACAATACATCTGATACTGCAGTAACAGCGGTTTTCACTAAGTTTTTTGTTTCTTTTTGTCAGGCAAGGGCACTGGTATCGGTGAAGCTGAGGCTTTTCGATGCAAATACAGAAACGATTCTCGAAATTTGCAAGGCGACACAGCTTAGTGTCTCTCAGCTTATCGAGATTGGAGGTGCATGAAACTTAGGCTATCATGGATACCGTCTTTAATTGATCTCACTCCTGTTTTGCTCAACTATGTAGAGTTAGTGCTGTATGCAGCAAAGTTTGATGAAGCGACCGAGGTAACACTTACAAAAACCAGAATTAAAACTTACAAGTTACAATCACCACCCTCAATATTTTATATGGGTAGGTTCGAGACAGCTATCGGTCTCTAGCGGGACAGGTTTTCAGCTATGGGTATGGGCTTTATGGTAAAACTTAACGACGCTACTACCCTAAGCGTATCCAACAAATTACAGGCTCCAATTACTGATCCAAGAGGGATCACCCGACTCAAGCAAGCTGTGCTATTTACTACGACGGCTTATCACACTCGCGGAATCGAAGACGAAAGCCCAGGAGTGGTTCGAGCACGTACTTCAGCTCATTGATAATTTGGACGTGGCGTTCCCGGAGCTCGAAATGGAGTGGTTTGTTGCGAAAGCCTGGAACATTGTACGCAGTATATTGTAAGCACGCTGTTAAGAAAACCGAGGTTGTACTAATCTACATGCATGAAGGGCGTGCTGTGCCAGCGCGGTAAAGACACCACTGAAGCTCTCCAGTTTATGAAAATCGCTCAAAGCATACTGCGTAAGTGGAAGTCCTGTGATCCCTCGTCCCCTTAAATATGCCTCACCCATGCGCATTCATTTAAAAGAACGCAGTGAGTCACTCGTGGAGAAACTGGGCAATGGGCTCAACCAGCAATACCAGGAACTTCTAAGGACCAGTGCGAACTCGACTTAATGGGCAATCAGCAGACAGTCGAGACTGAGGCCGAGAAACATTTTTATTTAACCATCTCCACATGATTCACAGCACTTACGCCTCGTACACGTCAGGGTGAGGTCCGTGACTGGAGATCCCACCCATGTGGATCTTCACAGCTTCCATGTAGGTTCGCAGCGTTGGCAATTCTGCTGTCTCTTCCTTCTTCAAGACCTTCGACGCCCACTTGCGCTCTGCATACTCACAAATCTATTCGAAAATCCGGAACAAGGGTAAGCAGATCATACCAGACTTCAGTTATCACCAACCCAATTCACCTCTTTAATATCTCGACACGAGAGCTGCGAGGACACGGCGGCCAACTGTGAAAGTTCTTCGTCTGAGAGCTGCTTAGCATAGCTATAAGAAAACAGTGTCAGCGGACAAGATTGACCTGCTCCATGTAAATATCTCCATACAAGACATACCGGCCAAACACAGCACGGCGGGTCTTCTCGTCAGGAAGGTTGTAGCGAATGGAAAGATCAAAACGGCTAATTAGCGCCGCATCCAGGTCTTGCTTCCTGCAACCATCAACGACACCAACAGATTAACAACCTCCAGCATCATTCAGAACACTTTGCACCGAGCGTACCGGTTGGTGGCGCACACGACGGTGGTTTTTTTGGCTGAGGCAAAACCTTCCACCTTTTGAAGAAGAACTGACAAAATACGGCGAGATGCTTCGTGCATTGTACCACCGGAACGATCTCCAGCAAGTGCATCAATCTACCACAATGCAACAACAAAATTACGTTAAAAAGCAGCAATCGATATCCAAGCGCCAGCGGCACTTACCTCGTCAATGAAAATAATGGCACCATCCAGCTTTTCACACGCATCAAAGATTGCCGACATCTTCTTCTCACTGTCACCGTACCACTTGGATACGACACTCTCGATAGGGATATGGATCATGGGAATCCCAGCTTGCTGTGCGATGATACGAGCACTTAGAGTCTTGCCGGTACCCGGTGGGCCTTCGAACAGCACAGCACGGGGACGATTGCTCTCATAGCGGCATCGAGTTTTCTGCGCAATGCGTTCGTACAGCTCTGGATTCTGAAGTGCTAATACGACTGTATCTTCAATTTCCAACTTCACTTTTTCGTACCCAGCCTACAGTGGAATCCGTGTTGGAACATGATATACAACTTCCAAACGACCGATATCACCACGTACCAAGCTATCCCAAGTCAAGCTGTTTTCGTTCTGGGTTGGCTCAAACACATCAATCCCAAGACCTTGTAGCTGCTGAATCGCCTCTTCCTGCGAACATAATGATACACTTCAGATAAACAACAAGCAGAACAAAAGATCATCAACTTCATACCTTGCTATCAGCTGCGGCGGCAGGGGCAATAGTCGAGTTCCTACCACGTCCAATAAGTGCATTTCTACGGCGCTGGTCCAGATCGTGACGGAAGAACGCGTCCACATTCGCGTACGAGTAAATCTCCTTGTAGGCACCGACGACGGCGTCGATCTCGCCTTGCGTGAGGAACTCATCCTTATAGAAAACGAACTTCGAAGTCGCTTGCAACGACGAGGTATCACGCAAAAACTGGAACGACCCAGAGCCATTAGCGTACACGTATGTCACAGCGGGTTGTTGATACGACTCGACGACTGACTTCTTCGTCGAGCTTTCCTGCGGGGCCGGCATCACCTCGACTGCTTGGCGAGAACCAGGTGTCGATAATTTCTGTAGCTGTAGCAAGAACCGACCTAAGATTGCTTCGTGATCAACGAACGTCGGGCACGCGAACTCAATCCGAATCGTCGATACGCCATTGGGGGCATGGATCCTGGAAATTCCAATTTTCTTGATAGGAAAAGCCTTGGGAATACGAGTCTCGTAGCTTTTAAGAGTCGTACGGAACTCCGATACCTGCTGGCGGATGGTATCTACCGCTTCAGCATACTCAAAACGCTGCAAAGACAGCAAAAAATAAGGAGTACTTGTATTCAGCAAGTGTCGTACCACCAAATTCTCAACAATAAACACGTATAACCTTTTCGTGCTTCTTGTCTGGAATTGGTTCCGATTGCGCTGCATCCACAGTGAGTCCCACTGCCCCGGCGAGCGCTGCAGCCCCAGCAATAGCTGCGAATCGATAAGGCGTAGAGCTGGAGTCTGAGTTGACTGTCAGCGATCGTATAGCCTGGCTAAACTGCATCTGCGCTGCAGCTCTACACAAAGAGGCATCTAAAGTCGATGGGAGGCGCGTGGTTTGCGCCTTTGTGGCAGCTAAAGCACGTGACAAGAGTTTAGTCGCCGCCCTGCGCTGCATCATCTTCATTTGAGTTCCGTTGGTAAGCTCTTGACAAGAACGCTTTTTTCCTCATTTTATGCGAACTTAAGCGAATTTATGGGAGCTTTAAAGTACAAAAAACTCTATTTTGCACTTGGATTCATATTGTCGAGGCCACCTCGCACGACCACTTTCTTTGGCGGCGACTCAATTGCCTTCTCCTCCTCACCTTCACAATGCTGACGGAACGCAGCAAGCTGCCGACGAAGAGTGCTGATCGTCTGTGCCTTTTGAGCTAGTATCTGTTGCAGTTGATAGATTGACTTAGAAAAAAAAGTGTGCTAGTTTTAAACAATTGTTTCGTACCTCTTCAAGACGCGAAACATACTGCTCAATGCTCGCTGAGTCATCATTTTGAATCGCTGCTAGCATGGCGCCTTCTTCAGTGAGCAGCTCGGCATTTTCCTATAACCGATAACAACCACGATTTAGTTAGCAGGACTACCTAAAAAGTGAAAATCCGACGACTTACCTGAATTGCGCCCATGTGGGTATTGAGCAAACTTTCTTGCTCTTCATACAGCGTTTGAACCTGCACGGGAGACAACAACTTTGTTATCATGCTCTGGTGACGCATCAAGTAGCCTGCAAAAATGACCAGTACCACTCCTTGCCACGCTCCTTCTGGATAACTTTCCTGAACCGGATCGCCACTCTTTTTATCTGATGTCATCAGCAACATGAGTACGAATCAGCATTTATCCCACTCCCATCTACATGTACATGTATTTGAACGTACTGGAATGGCGTCGCTGATTAAGGCGGAGAACACTCAAGTCATCATTTAAACCAGGCCCCCCACGAGAATGGATTGAAGAATCCGTCTGCATGTCGGTTCTCTTGTCATCGGCATTGTACTTGTCTCCATGCATTTTGTCATCCTCGTCAGACTCCTCTCCGTGTGAATATTCCTCTTCGTCGTCATACTCTTCTTCGGCATCGTCATCCAAATCTTGCGCCTCGCCATCGTCAAAATCTACGTCAACCATTAATGTTAATTCAGATATACCGGTCGTAACAAATACAACAACAGTCTAAGGACTTACCTTCTTCAAACTGGACATCCTCGACATCCACAGGTTCCACGTCGGCATTCCTCTCGTCGAATGCATCCGCTGAAACATGTTTCTCTTTGACTCGATCGGCGTATCGAAGTGTGTTGAGGGTATGGTCCGAGGACGAAGCACACGGCGAGACTGCTGCGATCATCACGGTTCTTTCGGTACCAGCATCCTTTTCATTAGATGCCCTCGATGTGACAATTACACAAACCACGTACCTCGCCTTAGCATTGACAAACGAATCCTTTAGTACTTGAGTGAGTTTGCTAGCTCGAAATGGGATGTGAGTGCCTCGACCACCGCTGTCCAGCGCTCTAAAATGAGGACGACACTCGATTAGAGATACTCATCGTAACATCTATACTGGATCACAGTCAGACGTACCTGAAACACTCTTTCAGAGCTAGCAAGCTCCGGTTAATTTCTGCCGATTCCATTCGTCGCTGTCGATTATGATTCTTCGTGTCTTCGCCTCGTTCACTGCCGGCAAGGTCGATCAAAGACAACTTGCCATGGACCTTACCACTTCCTTTCTCGCGAAGATTGATCTGACAGATACAATGCGAGCGAGATGACACATCGTTGACCTCGGTGGCATGCGTTGTACGAAGACTGTTGCCTTTGCTGATCACTTGCAGCAGTTCCTCGGTATTCTGCGGCTGCACCTCCTCCAAGTCCACAATCTGCACTTCTCCGGCGCCATCTTCACGAATCGTCAGTACCTGTCGATGCAGCAAGTCCTGACAGCGTCCGCCGTAGATTTCGAAGAAACTCACACAGATATCCAGTGGATATCCACGTCTCGCGAACTCGTCCGCTTGATCAAACACGTCAGCCGCAATCTGACTCTGTATCCCTTGCATCGTGTGTGTCTTGCCACTTCCTGTCTGTCCGTACGCAAACACCGTAGCATGTCCTCCATCGTGGAATATAAACTTGACCAGTGGCTGAGCAGTGTGCATGTACACACTCTCATTGGTCGCGTTTTCATCAAAAGTCTACAACAACAAAACACAGTATCTCAGTAATTTGTTTACATCCTTCACAAGCGCTTCCGTACGTGATCGAAGCTGAAGGGATTACTGTCCAGGTACTTGGTGATGCCGTCCACTTTCAGCTTGCAGTCGTGCACGATAGCCATGGGGTTGAGACATGTCACGGCATCGTAGTCATGCTTTTTGACCTCTTTGACATTCACCGGCCGCTTACGCACACATATTGTGATCTTGGTATCTCCTGCCTCGGCGTGCGGCCGACTCTTGTCCTTGTTTTGCTCCCGGAAGGCCTTAATCATGCGCTGGAAGTCCACGTCCCCTGGATGACCCATTTTCTCGTTCATCTGACTCTCTCGCTCACGCTCACGCTTGGCCGCCGCCATGGCGCGCCGCCGGTCCTCGCGGTTCTTTTCGATCTCCGCAATGGCCTGCATGGTCGGCTTGGCGCGCGGTACCGACGCGGGCGCTCCACGGCCGGCTGCAGCCTTCGCATTATTCGCTCGCCACGCCATCCGACGTCTTTTGGGTAAAATGTAAGATAAATTATCAGATGCCCACTTCAATTTCACTGGAAAATCATTGGACAAAATCTGAGAATTCCTGATTCTCATTGTGAAAATGGCTCGACACGCGACTGAGTCGGCTGAGATCGAAGCAGCCGTCGACGCTGTGGAGAGCGGCTCCATGTCACTGAGAGAAGCAGCGCGCAAGTTCGATGTTCCGCGGACCACTCTGCAGCGCCGCGTGCAGCGACGCGCGTCTGAAGCTTTAGGTTCTGTGGTCTCCGAACGCAATATGCAGGTCAAACAGGAGGCTGCTGTAGTTGCTTCTGCCGATACCAACGTCCAGAGCGACACAAGTAGTGAGGATGTTGCGGAAATTAATGTAGTGGAGAACCAGGAGAATCAGATTGTTGTTCTTACTGGCCGCAAGCGATCAGCGAGTCATTTGGACACACCCAGTCAAGGTGAGCGGTGTTTTGAATCACAGCAGGTGTCAGGGTTGAGAAGAATTGTTGACGCTGTTTTGGGGAAAAAATTAGGACCGAGGAAGGTGATTAACTGCAAGATTCGGATGTTGTGTACGGCGGCCGGTAGCGCATTGGACGAGCTGAGCAACAAGATGATTAGAGAGGGCAAGTGCATTTACAAGTTGGGATTGGGCCAGTCGCCATTCCCAATCCCACAATGCATTGTCGACGAATTACGGTATACTCAGAGACATTTGAGATTATAATTTATTGAGGCTCATATTTTTTGTGTGTTTGCAGAGCCAATTCGCACCAAAGAGATTATTTGCCGGTTGCAGGGCTACCAGAGCTTTGTGATGATATTGCAGCGTGGGGGACTGATCGGTTGCATATAAACTACTCGCGAGACGACGTGTTGGTGGGGCCTGGCACCAAAGAGCTGCTATTTGTGCTGCAGACCGTGTACTATGGAGACCTCTTGCTGCCAAACCCGAGTTGTACGAGCTACGCGCCACAAGCCGCTATTGCTGGAAGGTGGGTCAGTTCTTTTTTGTGTCTGTGGCCATCACTTTGTTGCTGTAGATTGCCTCTAATTGTGTTTTCAACAGAAATATGATGTGGCTGCCAACACACGCAGAGGACCACTTCGTGCTTCGGCCAGAAGTTTTGGAAGCGCATTGTGCGAAAGACCCAGGTAGAAACTGATACCATCTGCAAGTAAGAATACTGCTGTGCTAACACCTTGTCTCTTTCTCAATAGATGCCCCTCGGATTCTCATTCTCAACAGTCCGTCCAATCCAACTGGCTGTGCGTACCAGGCCGATGAGGTGTGTGTCGCTCTCTTTGTCCCATGCAAAATAGAAGTCCGCATACTAACGCAGTATCAAATGTCTTCATGGTTTACCAGCTGGAGGCACTCGCCAAGGTTGCGAGGAAATATCGGATCCTCGTCGTATCAGACGAAATCTACTCGGAGTTGCATCATTCCGGGACACACTTATCGCTTTCCAAGTACTACCCCGAAGGAACCATCGTTTCGGGAGGATTGAGCAAATGGTGCGGCGCTGGAGGGTGGCGTATGGGCTTCTGGTTGTTCCCGCCTAGCATGGACTGGTTACGCAGCAGTATGCTTGTCATGGCGTCCGAAACATACACTTCGGTAGCGTCGCCTATCCAGCATGCCGCGCGACGAGCGTTCATTCCCAAGTACGTAGCATGGTCCTCCGTTCTCGAGCAGGCAACTTCCAGAAATCATCGACCTAACGTCTCACCTTCCTGTGATTACTCTCTCTCTATATTAATAGTTGCGTCGAGCTCGCGTCGTATAAGCGCAAGTGCCAGAAAACGCTGCAGCTTATCGGTCGCTGGTTCGCTTACCAATTGCAGAAGATGGATGTCGAAGTTCAAGTCCCCGAGGCCGGATTTTATCTGTTCCCGTGCTTCCGACGACACCGCAAGGCGCTCGCTTTAAAAGGCATTTCGACTGACGAGCAGTTGTGTGCACAGCTATTGCAGGATACGGGAGTAGCAATCTTACCAGGCTCAGCCTTCGGTCGCGCGCCAGAAGAACTCTTCGCGCGACTGGCATTCGTGGACTTTAAGGGCGACCTCGCACTCTATCTCATTGAGAGCATGGTAAGCTATTATACGTCGAGTGTGCCACCGAAACGCTGATCTCACGCTCTCGTCTGGCTCTGCTTTTGCGCAGCAAGACGACCCGTCTCTGGAGGCTATTGAAGGTTTCATTCAGTCGGTATGCCCCAATCTTGATATCGCTATGCGCAAACTGGCGGCGTGGATGGCTCTGGCTCGACCGTCTGCGGTTCCTGCAACCGCAGTCGTCGGCTTCTAGATAGCCTTCGTCAATAGAAACCGGTGCTCACCGCCGTACGCGCCCCGTTGCGTTGCCGTTGCCAGCGCACGGTCCAGTTGGATTTTTTACGCGAATGGGGACCCTCATTGGTCTCCAGACCACTGACGCGCGAAACTGCAGCCAAGTTGAGTCCCTGTGGCGCACAGCCGTTTCTTGTCAAGCGAGATCTTATTCGCTTGGATATGCGATTTACGCACTGCAACGGCCAATGCCCATGACAAAGAAGACTACATTCTCGACGCAAATGAGTTGGTGCCAGTGACGCCACGTTGCGCTTTCGCGCAAAAGTTCAGGGCGGACAACTTCTATGAACCGAACTTTGCATAACCCGGTTCCATCAATTTGAGGCGAGAAAGCAGCGAGCCTAGTTCCATCGAAGTACATGTAGAGCAATCTCTCCATCAACTACGGTAGCCTCCATTCACAGCGTCATCGAGGGTTGTTCGCCTAAACAAAATGAACATTCCCGTACAAATGACGCTATTATTTTGCTTGCTAGTCAGCGCGTCTTTGTAACGCTCTTTAAACTCAAGTCAAAAATTAAAAATTGACTATTCTCGTAGTCGCTTCGACAACGCAAGAGACAGCCGGAGCGACTTCCACAACTACAAACCCGCCCCCACCCGACGACCGCAAGCGCTCGAACCTCCGACTTCTCGACAGTCTCCTCGATGCCCGCGGTCGACGAGTACCCGCGCGCCTCGCGCCGCCCACCGATGGACCCTCCAGCTCGCTCTCGCTCCGCTGCCGGCAGCGCCAGTGGGCGCAATCTGAGCGCTACGTTCCAGCACCAGGTCCAAGTCCGACCAGGCGCCAATAATGCCAACAGTCTACGCGCGTCGTACCAAGACCCACAGTCGCATAAGAAGCGCCACAGCAACAGCAAGAAGAACTCACATATGCGTCACTCACTCACACACGTGCAAACGGATCCTCCAGCTTCAGGTCGTTCCAGTGCGTCGTCCTATACGTCCACCTCGGCGCTATCTCCGCCTCAACGCGGCTCCAATTACGTCAACGTCCATACTACCAGCAGATATCTGAGTCCACAGAACCAGCTACACCCCGCATACCCATCTGCGCCTCCTGCAAGCGATGATATCCTCAAGGTGGAGATTCCCCGCTGGAAGTCGAAGCTCACGACGGACCGTGCAGACCGACTCCACATCCCTGCAGGTGCCGACAGTGCCGGCAATTCGCCTGTTGGCAGTGGAGCGGGGCGATCGTCGACCTGGAACGGAAAAGACGGACGTGGGGGACACGGAGGTTCCATGGGCGCTCTTGTACTGGGACGAGACCGAGATAGCGGCAGCAAGAAGCGGTATACCGTGTTCCAAGTATACATCCATTACCAGTCGGGTGCAACCCGTGTTTCGGAGAAGAGATACAGCCACTTCCGAGAGCTGCACAAGACGCTGAGAAGGAAGTACGCAACGGTGGGGAAGCTGTACTTCCCGCCCAAGAAATTTTTCATGTCGTTGTCTCTGCGTGTCATTGAACAGCGTCGTGAAGCCATCGAAACGTACATGAATTCAGTTCTGACGCTGCGTCCACGTCCGGTTGAGGTCGTACAGTTCTTGAGCGCTGGTAGCAGCTCGTTGGAGAGCGAGGAGGAGGACGGCAACAGCACGGACGGAGCAGCTCGCGGTGTGGACATGGTGTCAGCGCCCAAGCACGTGCAATCGGCGTCCACAGCACTTGCGACGTCTTCTCGGATCAGTGACAGCAACAGTTTTGCCTCGGAGGACGCTGGAGGACACATAGTGACAATGCAGGACTTTGAGATCCTTAAAATGCTCGGAAAAGGGTCGTTTGGAAAGGTCTACATGGCTAGGGAGCGTGGAACAGATGGCAGGATCTACGCGATGAAAGTACTACGCAAGTCGGAGCTGGTTAAGCGCAACCAAGTGGGCCACACGATGATGGAGCGCAAGATCATGAGTTCGATCGACCATCCTTTCATTGTCGGACTCAAGTATTCGTTCCAGACGGCCAGCAAACTCGTGATGGTCTCGGACTATTGCTGTGGTGGCGAGATCTTTTTCCACCTGAAGAAATTCCGCTCCTTCTCGGAGGCGATGGTGCGCTTTTACGCCGCGGAACTCGTGGCAGCCATTGGTCACTTACATGAACGAGATATCATCTACCGGGACCTCAAACCCGAGAACATTCTGCTAGACGAGACAGGTCATGTGCGACTGACGGATTTCGGTCTCTCCAAAACGGACTGCACGGACTTTACAGGCGCCAAGACTTTTTGTGGTACACCCGAGTATTTGGCACCTGAAATGCTCATCAGCCGCAAGAAGAAAACAGAGTACGGCAAAGCTATCGACTGGTGGAGTCTTGGTACGCTCATGTACGAGATGCTCACAGGCTGGCCACCGTTCTTCGACCGTAACATCGAGCAGATGTGCACCAAGATCATGAAATCGCCACTGAAGTTCCCAGCGCATTTCGGCTTGAGTTCTGACGTTAAAAGTCTTATTTCAGCGTTATTAGAACGTGACCCGACGTATCGAATCGGCTCACGTCCTGGTGCTGGTGTGGAGGACATCAAGAACCACATGTTCTTTGCCAGTATCGACTGGAAGTTGCTGGAGATGCGTGGTATCAAGCCGCCGTTCAAGCCTCGTGTGCGCAGCCCGACGGATATCCAGAATTTCGACCGCGAGTTTACGAAGGAGCTGCCTGACCACGGTTTCTTACAGCAGGATAAACGCCTCGCCGTGTCGCCGAAGAATGAGTTCCAAGGCTTCTCCTACACAAGGATTGAGGAGCCGACGTCATCGTCGCGTGAGTCGAGCAGCAAACGGGAGAAGCGCAGGTCAGGACGACGATCGGAGCCGCGAATTAGTGAAGGGTACGTACGAGGAAGACATTGAAGCCGCGATGGACGTCGCTATGGTCCACTGGGTCATCCCTGATTCTTGCTTCTTTCTTGGATTGGGCCTTGCTAGAACCGAGTCAGCGGCGGACCAGCAGTATCCTGAATTCGGCTTCGTCGCCCGGGACAGCACAGATTTTGACTCTGGTTGTATCTAGAGTGCAAGCAAGCTCGGTCCCATTTCCGGCACTCGTCATGTTCAGTACAAGAAGGAGAAAGCAGGTGGGCACCGTCAAGTATTGCGATGATATTCTGTTTCTAATCTAGACTTGATACAGGTATGGAGCCGATCCGAGTCGAGCTTTTTGTTTTCGCTGGGAGACGTGAAGTACATTGTAAGAAAATGAATGAACCTAAAGATTACATGGGATTAGCACACCAGCGCCAGCTTGTTCTCAGCAAGATTCAGCAGGTGGTTGCTGCGATTGGAACTTGCCGTCGTATCCATAGAAAACCGGCAGCATTCTGCGCATGCCGTGCAAGCTTTTGTGGTCCTTGAAGTTGTACACGCGCTGCCACTTCCCGTCGACGTTGGCGTAGCGGTGCGAGACATCGCAAGATTGCGCTGCTTCCAAGATCAAGATCACAGCGGTTAGTTCATGAGACTACATGTACATGTAGAACATGAGTGTGTAGCCTACCATTGCATGAAGCGCACAAGTCGTAATCACTGCAGACCGCGCAGTTATATCGTGCTCCAGTGAAATCTGTTTCGCCACACGAGTCGCAGATAAAGCCCAGATGACGACCCTCCATGATATAGCGCAAGGTAGCGAGTGCATCTTCATGACACTTGCGAAATGCACTGCGTACACGGAATTTCGGGATATCCAGCTTTTCGGCCAAGTTTTCCACTTGTTCTAACGTGGGTGGTACCAACCGATTAGGCTTGAAGAGTTCACGAGCTTCGGCGTAACGTTCGAGCAGCAGATCGTAGACTGGGTCCACTAGACTCCTTAGCGAACACTCTTGCTGTGCTTGTGGTTTGACACAAAATATCAGAATATCTGCTGACTTGAATCCTGCCTTGGTAGCTGATGTGTGGTACGGGATCAACTCCGACACAGCAATAGGGGCGATTTCTTCTCGGTACATTTCCAGTTGCGTACAACTCCATCCTGTACGACGTGCAACAGCTTCGTACAAAACACTAGGTGCCAACTTCTCACTTGCCTGCAAATCCGCGGTTTCTGGCGATGATACCCCATACACGCGAACTTTACCCACATACTCAAGGCGATTGACAGGCGCTGGCTGCAATATCTTCACAAAAACATACCCTTCCGGCGTCTCCAAACTATCGTTCGCAATCTCTAGCTCTCCGGAGCGAAATTTCAGACTGAGATCATCCATCGCTGCGTCGTTCTCAACGTAAATCTGGCAGAACGAGTACGCATCAATATCCACGCCGTCACAAAGCAAATGTCCGAAAAGCGGTCGGTCTTGCTGAGATTTCTCGCACGTGAGCAGCTTTCGCGGTCGAAGAGCCTGTCCTGAGACCACAGGCTGATTAAAGCACCACACCCGCGTCTTGTTCGTAGCTGTATCCTCTTCACTGTATTCTCCAAGCACTTCGGAGAACTGGTCATGTAACGCCACTAGCAAGTCACGCAGAGAGCAACAAAAAGGCAGCTCTAGCTCCGCAACTTTTGAGAGCTCCACGAGACCCAATTGATGGTGGTTCCGGAGATCGTGTTCAAATACCACACGAAATGTAATGGACATCAGTCGTACTTGCGCTGATAAAGTGAGAGTATCAAGCTGCGTTTGGTCCCCAGTTGAGCTAGTAAGGAAGCCTTGCTGAGGGTCCCGCAGCATGTTCAGCGACCCAAGTGAATGCACCCCCCAATTATTGAGATGTGTGTGGAACTTGTTGTCCGTCAGACACGAATGCCACTCGAGTTGACGTCTTGGATCCAGAGAGTTTTGTACCTGTAGCGAGAACACGGCGCACGTGAGCCAGTCGGGAGCTCGGCGTGATAAATCAGTGAGTACGAGGTACACACTGAGCACACGGCCTTTGTACTGTGCCTCATTGGGATTGCCAGTAGGGAAAACCCAGAGACAGAAGCGATGTGCGCCGATACTGAACGTGTCCGACACGACTTTTTCCATGTCTCTCATGGCTTCCACGTCGGAAAACTGAGGCACTTTGACTGATATCTCTGCTCTCTGTTCATTGGCATGTCTCTCCACAAAGCACCGCCTCCAGCAACCGCCATAGAGTCTCACAAGCTTTACAAAAAGCCACAGCACAAAAGAAACAATTTCTCAGTGTCTAGAGCTCGAACACGGCTTAAAAAACAGCTTACATCATAGTCAGGAGCTCCTGGTAGTTGCGGCAGCAGTCGTGTCCTCAAGGTCGGCCAGTTCTTGATGCATAGTCTTCTCCAGACCCCCCGATCGAACGTCAAAGAGCGGAAAGCGCGACTTGTCGAGGCACACGCTAACAGCGAGTGACCGTCCAACATCGCAAACGCGAGAGCTAGCAGCTCGTCGGGCAACGCCTGAATGTCGATGGAAAACATATTAGGCTCATTATTGGCGTCGTCCATGTCCACATCGTCGTCTGGGTCAAGACTCTCGCAGTCTGTCTCGCCTGCAGAGCCCTCGCTGACTCGACACTGGAGTAGACGCGGATGCTGCTTGACGCGACGACTGCTCTTGCTGGTGGACGGACTGAGACTGCCGAGCCACTGGCGCTTCTTGGGACTGAGAGACTGTGCCGACGCGACCATCACAACTCAGAGAAGTGGGCTTCTCTTCTTCTGCACACGAATGGGATCTATCTAGTTTAAGGCGGATCTCGGCCAAGTTGGCGGCAGAAAACATGGAAAGAGTTGAAGTTCGTCCTTCACATCATTGGCAAAAGATGGAACTAATGTGCCACTTTCTCTATTTCTAATCGAGAAAATAGTACCATCGTTTGGGAATTTAACCAGCACATAAAAGTGAAATGGGTGCTCGCTTCAAGAGTTTCTACAGTTGTCTTTTGAATTAAGAGTCTTGATTTAATTAAGATCATGGCGCTGAGCCGGAACTTCCGCACGACTTACTACAAAACGCTGGGCGTGCCTGTTGTCCAGCACATTGTGGATGTGGATGCCTCATTCGCAGCGCTACTCAGTGAGCGGGCGGTGAACGTGCCGCAGCTGCTGAAATTGGCGCTAGAGCTAGGTATCGCACCACAATATCGCTCACGAATATGGCTGTTGCTACTGGGAGTGCTGCCTCCGTATCCTGGAATCTGGAGCTTCGCATTGAAGGAACGACGCGATATGTTTGAGGACGTCGTGGGGGCAGCTCAAGTTTTCCAGACTAAAGATGCGACAGAGGGTGACGAAGGACGCGGCGTGTATTATGATTTTCTCGAGCTTTTAGACAAAAGAGAAGACCCGGTGAATAATGAGGAGAAAACGCCGCTCTCCCTTCAGGAACTTATGCGATTGGTGCACTTGCATCGTACCTATTGGCGAGATATTGCAGCGTGTGATGCTCCATTGCTATGTGGAATGGACGACCCAGATTTCGTGTTGGGTGTTGCTCGAGTGGTGTGTGTAGTGCTGACACAAGAGGCCGAGCGTTTCTGGTGCTTCACAAGGTTATTGGAGCTGTTTAACAATGGACTGGAGTTAGTCGACCCCGTGGTGGCGCTCGATACATTATATAATGCTCCGCTTGCAGACTTTGAAAGCGTGTTTCTTCGAACACTGGACGTGAAGCGAAGACGACTGACAGCGGACGGGATGACGAGTCTGCATATGCTCAAGAATAGCCACGACGAGGAGTACGGCAGACGACGGTGAAAAGAGCAAATAATTAGAAAAATACAAGTAATCAAAACTGAAATGAACCGAAGATTAAGCCAGAAGTTCGACGTCCTCGTCCTCGCTATCGTTCTCCTGTTGCTTCTGTCTCTTAGAGCTGATGGATTTGCGCGGTCGGCGTCGGCGCTTTGGTGTAGCCTTGGGCTTTTGGACTTGTTCCATGTCGATATCCAACTGCTTCTGGTCCTCTCGAGCGGCACTCCACGCAACTAAGAACAGGTTCCAGTTCACTTGAATAGCTTCGTCGGGTTGGCACAAATCATCAACCGAAGGCAGCAAAAGCTTCTTGGAAGACCGCTCCTTCGCCTCTTCTGAAGCATCAGTGGACGATGGCTTGTATGTTGCGCACTTTTCATCGTCGAGTTGGTAGTTCCGCTTGAGCATAAATTTCAGACGGAGCATCAGTGCCATCGCGAAAGCAATACAGCCGTTCGTCTGCAACGCCTGCGAGTCAGCTACTGGGCGCAATCGATACTCGTCGATCTTTACATTCGAAAGGTCCGCTTCATCATCCTCAAGTAGATTTTGTGGTACGCCGGCTTCGACGAAGGCTTCCATGAGATCATCCAGCACGGGGCTAAACAGGAAGAAAAATTGTCAGCACACCAATACACAAGACATGACACGATTGAGAAATACATACCCGAGTCGAAGGCTGACGTAGCGGTTGATCGAATAAATAATGTACAGCGGCTCGTCCTCCACTTCGTAAGGAAGCGTTGACAGAATTTGCGCCAGATAGCACAGATACTTCAAGCTGGTCGTGAAGGTCTTGCTGTGGGAGGTAAACGGCTTGTTTTTCAATGGCTGAAGCACAGTCCCTTGGTCGGTGAACTGGTTTACCAGTGCCCGAAGAAAAAGCGTTCCTTGCGCTTTTGTCGACTTGACGCAATTCATATACAGTCGTCCAAAGAGGCAGTAAGCTTTCTTGTTCTCGTCGATTCCCAGCGCTGTGGCATCGCCATACACACGAAGCTGGAACAAATACGAGTCTTGAATGCCTTTAAGCAACGGTGCGTGAAATTGGCTCCGGTACTTTTCAAGCGCCAACAACAGAGAAAATGCTGCATCACGAACATCCGAAACGCGATCAGTCTCGAGCGTCACCAAGTTCGGAATGCATTGCAACGGATTCACTAAGCCGGGCGTTAGCAGTGCACCAATGCATGCGATGGCTTCTTTGCGAATTTGTGGCACCCTCTGCAGTGACAATGCCAAAATGTGAACCAGCTCTGCCTGCATGACGTTGCCGATTAAAGAGGCATCAGCTTCTTGGTCACCCTGAACTTGCTGCACCTTGGTCTTTGACTGGTTCGTCGTCCGAGTTGCCTCACCTATTTCCGCTCGAATAATTTCGGAAAGCAGCAACTCCTTCATGCTGACGAGACACTGCAATTTCGCCTTTCGAGTGTTTTCCGTCAAAAGAAAAGTTAACAAGCCATCTTGCTGTGCCCGAAGAAACAAGCGCGGCCGGATCGGGAATAGAAACCCCATGCCTTGAACAGCTTTTGCGGCGCATGTATCGTTTCCAGGCATTCTAGCGAATCGTCCAAACAACTCGTAGAGAGATTTAGTAATCGTTCCAATCGTGACCACCTTCGCTTTTTTTGCTAGTGCAGAGCAATTGTCAATGTCCGTTGAGCCAACAATTTTCCCAGCTACAAACAATGCTCGCTGAAGAACATAGTTGTCTTGATCCGACAAATCGGCGAGCGATGTTCGCTGTACGTACTTCTGTATGCAGAGTACAAACTGTTCCAACAAGCTGAGCAGTAGTACTGGAGCATTTTTCGTTGCCGTTGAAAGCGTTGCCAGACACTGGACACTCGGACCAACAACACTCGGAGAAGAGCGTAGCACTAAAAGTCTTAAATCACCTTCCAGTTTCGTAGCGATAGTATGTGGCACTCGCTTGACGCTCAAGATGTTGTTGATCATCGACACGGATAAGCTTTGGACCTTGACGTCCTTCTCTTTCAAATAAACGCGAATTGTCTCGAGATGGCGTGTCAACAGCCGAGGTTTCGCTTCGCAAAAGGCAGACAGAGCAGTCATACATGCCACAAACTGACCGTGCGCTGTCTCTATCGAAACGCCTTTGAGAAATGTGCCTTCCTGTAAGTCCATTAGGCACCCCACCAAGCGATCAACAATCGCCTCTGCTCGATCTTCAGCGATTGCAACTTGATAAGACCGATTCTTAGACGACTGTGTCCCGGTTTTCCGATCGCGTTTTCCCAACAGTCTTTTCAGTAGTTCAGTGAACCATCCTAGGTTTGGCACACCATGAATGACCTCAACAATGGTTGCAACAACTTCAGAGCTGTTGTCCAGCTTGGAGTCGTTCGACTTTACTACACTGGCTGGAGTCACGGTAGGAGTTCGATACGCAGACCACGCTTCTTCCACTGAATTGGCGACGCTTCCATCTTCAAAAACAAACTTAGCGATTTCCTCTGACGCGGAACCATTCTTCTCATGAACTACGGTAGTCCAGCCAGGTGGTAGAGTGTTGTCGTCGCAGAATACACTCAGTGGATTTGAGAGTCTGGAAGAAGTAAGATCGGTGCCAAACCAGACTTCTTGAAACGTATCAATGATGAAATTCTTGACAGCTTGATCTTCAGCCGCATGCCCAATTCGTTCGACCAGACATCGCATGCAAGCACTCTTGCGGTGAAGCGCTTTTTCCGTAATCTTCTCTTGAGACTGGTCTTGCATAGAAATCGCTATTTTGAAAATCTTGCACACGCTTTTCCGAACTTTGATGCCCTTGTCACGTAGTCGTTCAGCAAGAACGTCAAAGTAACTGTCGAACTGATAATGCGAAAACAAACAAGCAGATTAGCGTAAAACAATTACGAACCAGCATAAAATCGTCGTACCAAGACGGGCTGTAACAGGACGTAGGTCCCGATCAAATTGACAGCTGCTTCGCGAACCGAAGATTTTTCATCAGAGCAACAACGTTCGACGGCTAATTGCACCCCATTTTCGGCCATAAGCATGGGGTCGACGTCGACAATTCCTCTCAGACATTTCATAACTCGTGCTCTAAGACTTGGTATTCCCTTTGAGAGCAATGCCATAATGTGAGCTAGTAACTTGTTGAATAGACCACAGAATCCTCGTTTCATAGCAAGATGTAAGCTGGAAGTCAGGGCTAACTCGATCGTCGGGGGAGCCACCTTAAACGTCGAGTTCACCCCTCCCTTTGGAACTTCCCATAATGACTCCCACAACTTCTTTTCGCGTTCCACAAAAGCTGCTTTGGCTTCGCCCCAATGACTCTTTGATTCCGAGATGAATTTCAAGAGAAACAGCTTCTTCGAATCACCCTGACCGAAGTTGTGCCGTTGAAGGTGCATCACCACAATGTGCTTCAGCGTTATCTGGTCCAGCAACTCGTTGCTAACGTTTGTATCTTCTTTTCTGGAGCTAGTTTTCTTGATATCGAGAACCTCACGCAAATTGCTTGTATGCTCTTCAATGACAGCAATAGAGCCACTGTCATCCTTCACGGTACTATGCGCCACCTTTCGCTGGTATTGTTTAATGGAAGCGCATATCTTTCCAACTAGGTTGAGCGCTGCCAAGCTGTGATGAGAATCCGGATTCTTGATATCTGCGGAGATATTTGCGCGTAGGATACTTGCCAGCGAGGAGCTCAACACCTCCAGTAAGTCTTCTGCACCTGGCCACTCTGGGCGAACAAACATTACGAGGAGATCTTCAACAAAGTTGTCTAGCACCACGCGATTATCACGCTCTTCAGATTTCTTCCAGCATGCGTTTAGCAGCACCCGAGCGAATGATCTCGCACTGTTTCGTGTATCTTCCGATGCTGCTCTAACCACGTTATCCCTGTACATGGATTTTTCGTCAGCGACTGTATCCGGCGTTGATGATTCTACATTTAAGTCTTGCAGCACGTCAATCTCTGGTTCCGTCGTTTCAAGTTTCCCAGCAGCAGCGCAAGACTGAATAAGCGACACCACTAGCGTTGATACACGCTGCACCGTGTCGTTAGAGTTGAGTAGCTTCACCGTTCTTAAGGTACGCTTCGCAGTAGGAAGCTTCACCATAATATCCACAACATCCCCAAGTAATGGCTCACGATGAGGCTTGTACTGCAAAAATATCGCTCTCAAAATGCCTAGGGCGCTTTGCTGCAATGACGTGGCAAACGAGCTGTGATCTAAAGCAAAAAGCTCCACCATCGACGACGATAAACGAAGTATCCATCGATCCGCGAGCTTCACGCTCAAGACAAGTGCAGCAAGTCGATCCATAAGCTCGCATGCTACATGAGACACTCGTTCGACGGCTTTGCGGACGTTCTTGTTTGCACGCAAATTTACTCGAGAGGGGCCTCGAGTTTTGCGCCCAGTTGATTGTTTTCCATCACTTTCTCTTGCAACTGGTGCAGATGCAGCCGTCACAAATGAAGTGTCAATGCATGGAAGCAGCAGACACCGAATGGTGTGATGTAGGAGCTGGATACAATTTTCAATACTCTCCTCCGAAAGAGCTCGCCGATCAATATGAGGTGTCGTCATCACAATCATCTCACAAATCGCTACATCAAGCGATGCTACAAGCTTTTGAACGAGCCGTTCATCAATCCGCGCGTTTCCTTTTTCTTTGGTCGACAATTCATCGCCCAACACATTGACTACTAAGCCCTGTCGCACCTGCGCATCGAATGAGCTCATTAGCAAGATCAGCAATTCTGGTTCCAGCTTCTTAATCCAGTCATTCTTTTCCAGGGCTTTCAGTGACTGCCGCAGCATTTTCACTTCCTCGGACTGAAACACATCCGCATCATTCGACTCAACATCAAACGCTTGCTGTGAATTGGTCGCCGTTTCCACCAGTCTCTCCAGCAGCTCAGCAAACTTCTCAAAGTTATCTGCAGTGGCTTCTGCTTGTGTGAATACGATTGGAAGTTCTTCATCGTCTTCCAGATCCGGGTCCTTTTCCAACTCGATATTCAACTCATCCAAACCAGCCTGTAGCTCACTGGATTCATCGCCTGCCAGGCTTTCGTGATCAACGCCATGACCAAAAGACCGTCTTTTACGTGGTCTTCCGTTGCTCGGTTCACTTTGCAAACCAGAACCTCGCTTCAACTTGCCGCCAGGTGATGACATCGTCCCAGCAGCTAGCACCACATACGAACCATACAAGCAGCCGTCAATTTCCTTTAAGACTGGTAATAGATGTGTCAGCACTACACAGCATATCGTCTCTACGAACCGTTGAAGCATCCTGTCTGCACAACCGCCTGTGCCCACTTAGGCAGAGAGTTCAACACTTCGGCAGATGTCTCCGTCGGCTCACCTAACGAGCTGCATCCCACAGTTAACACGACCAGTACAATGAGCATTGAGTGAGTTAAAATATACATGAGCTCCACGACAAGCTTCATTCGAGTTGTGGCTTGGCGTACCCGAAGCTGTTGGTGGTTGTGGAGCGAATGAGCGTCGCCAACCGCTGTGGGTTGAAGGACTCATCAAGTGCCACTGGATTGGGGCTTACAGTATACAGTGACTCGGGTGCATCCGCTGCCACGGCGTCTTCCGGATCCACGTACAGCGGGAGAAGGAACTGCCCGCCCCGCATGTTGCTCGGTGCGAATGCGGAATCAGAGTGATTGTTTCCTTTGCCCCGGCAATTTCAAATAAAAGAATGTTGCGCTAGTGTTGCAGCAGCCCGTATGTTGCAGCAAAAGCGAATGGTTTGATGGGATTCAACCACTTCTTGATTTGATGGTCTTAGACCCAGAAGTGAAAATGTATTGACATGTCTTAGCGGCTACGCGACCTTCTGACGCATTTTGTTCGGCACTGCATGCATTCTGCTCGGCATGGGACGCTTCTTTCGCTGTCCAGGCCTGAGAGTCTCCGACTGGAAGATTGCAAGCAAGATGCGAAGCTACACATCGAGAACACAAACATGGGTTAGCGATGACAACACACCATTTTGATAAGATAATTAAACTCACAGAATTGCAGACCCAGATGCTATGCAAAATCAGCTTAACCGTCGCTAAAGGAAAAACTCCGCTCTCTCTTGCTAGACGGACAATCGGGACGATGATGTCGCCGTAAGAAACTATTGCGGATACAAACAGCATCAACCGCATGAACTGCTCCTTGCAGTTTTGGTCAATTTATTCACTCTAGGTGTTGAGCCGCTCATCTTACCAGTCCAATGCTGCGGAAGTACATCAACAGCGTTGCCCCTGCTGCTGCCAATCGCGCTGCCTCCGGTTTGTCATAATCCAGAGCGCAAGTCACCCCGAGCAGCGCCACTACAGCCTGCAGACGAGTTATAATGCCCACCAGTCTCTATTATTAAACAACAGCAGGGTATTACGCTACCAGTTGGATGAAGATCACGATGTCCGTAGCCCGCGAGCGACCGGTAGTTGATGCCGGCCCCCAGAGAGTGCGATCTAACTCATTGTGGTGCAGCACTACCATCGATCGCTTTGGAGGCAGGTTTTATTTGCGCTATTGAAACGACTCTCTATAAGGAATTTTAGTTCCCTTACAAGAGACAATGTGCCTTCCATGGCTACCCGGTATTTTGACTGTAGCTAGGGTCAGCTTTAAGCCAAGCAAATTGAAAACTGTAGTCGGCACCTAAGAGTGATAGCCATAGCATCAGTCTCAGCAGATGTAAACTTTTGACGGGGTTTTAAGACGTACCAAAATGTACGAGTGATGACTGCACGACGTAAACCACCCACAGCACCAGTTTGGACTGTACCATTCTCCACTGAGTTCGAAGTACAAACGCTAATTGACAAGTGGAACAAACTCCACCGTTTTCCACAGAAATAAACAAAGCACAATGAGCGAAATAAACTCAAGAAAGCTGTACAACAGCACGTTGGACAGTGTGCTTTGAAGGTTGTCGGCATCCATGTGTGCAAGTTGCGTGTAGTAAATGCGATTCGGGGAAAAACGACATGGCCACCACGTATATGGCTGGACATTCACAGCACATTCCATCAACAAATCGATATATAACCGGCATCGCAGGGGTAAACGTAAAGAGCTTACAGTAGACAACTGGAACCACCACCTCGATATACTCGACAAGAATCGTAAATTCCGTGAGATGCAACAGGTTCAGTACTTTCCTCGCGTACAACCTCTCCATGAAGACCAAGTTGCTTTGTGCGTTTGCACCGGACGAAGATTTCCACCGGTTGCTTGTTCTGTGGGAAGACTCAGGAGCTCGAGACTCCAGTGACTTTTGCGCTATCGCTGGTAGGGTAGGACCTTGAGTAGGATGTATCCTATTAGCTCGAGAAATATAAACTAACGGGTCGATCTGAAGTGTTGGCCCCATTTTCGTATGGTTCCTCGAGGCAAAAGAACGGCGAGCTACAATACTGCACGCACGAGCCAGCGCATTCCTCGAATTCTGTAGCGGTTGCACATTTCCTTTAAGAACAGCTTTTAGAACATTGATGTGATCCTCCATTCTCTTGAGTTCGCGTACAAGATGCACCACTTCACGAATCGAACCCGCCATTCGAATAAAGTCTACAGTTATTATGACGATGACCGTGAGCTGTGAGGTTGAATTTTGCATTGAGAAAGAAACGAAGAGTGCGTTGAATACGTCGACGTTGAAAACCACGATTTCAGGCTGCATGTCGGTGTTGGAACGGATATAATAGCTAATTCCATTCTTGATTGCCAGTTTGATGATCAACAAGACCAGAGAAAACCAAGCCTGTTCAACTGACGATAGCTTTGTGAAAATGTAGCTGTAGAACGGGTAGATCACGATCATTGACATTTGAACCACAAACATTTTCAGTCCATCAACGATTTGGGCCTGCAGTACACTATTGCCGCGAATGTGATGCCTCCAGCTTATTGCAAATGACCCCAAGAGTAATATCATCCAAACGGGAGCGCCGAGCACCATTAGGAATGGGACCGGAAAGCCAATGACGAGGGACATCGTGTAGGCGTTTGCAATAACACCACTGCTGACGAAAATTGTAATGCCAAGACCGCGAGCTTGAGACATGGGCAATACGGGTAGCATTTCACGAAACTGCACGACAAATGACAGCGTATAGAGCCATAGTATCAAGCAAGATCGAAGCCAGAAAACAATGTTGGAGTTGGTACCAGCTTCTGGTGGATTCAAAGGAGCGACATCTGCAAGAATGATCGCGAGCAGGCAAGGTAGTGGTGTCAGCAGGACAAGTGTCAAGATCTCCATAACGCTAGCGGAGTCGCTGTACTTCTGCAGAGCAATCAGTCGTTCAGCAGAGTAATGACCACGTTGCTCAACTCGTAGGGAGTTCCCTGTGCGAGTAAATCTCGTGAACCAAGTCGTGGATGTCCTAGTCATCATTGTGGCAGGAAATCGAACGAAACCTCGGAGTGAAATGAGGCGTAGATAACCTGAACGAACTGGTAGTTCGGTGTTAAATTTAGAACCATTTGACTCCTGACTATAGAGATAGCAAACTCGTGCGATTTGGAAATACATGAATCCATAAGACGATGGCAGAACGCCCAGGCGCTTTAGGACTTTGAAAACGACCAAAAAATACGTCTCAAATTTTGGCAACGTTATGAAATGTCCTATTGTCTGTAAGCACATCAGAGACGAAACGAATAGGTCAAATCCAGTTTTGCCTCCGACGCCGCCGAGAGCGACAGCCCCTTCGGCGACCGACTCAGCGACGAAGCCTTCGCGTCAATTCAGATAGAGCAAGGGGAGTTGTCATCGATCGCAATGATAGCCAAATATTATTAATTTTTTTGAATTTAACCGTACTATTTTCGATATTAAATTACAAAAAGAAGCACTTTTTTTTAATAAAAGCTGACATTTTTTTAAGACTACCGTATTCCTTATGTGATTGGCGACAGTCAAATTCTTGAGGTGGTCCAGCCTTTCTGCCAGCATAAAAGATACCTGCATAGAAAAACTATTTTACATGCTCAAAATTATATTGGTCGCCAAGCACATAAAGCGCGACGACACGAAATTTAAATCAATTTGATTGGCTGCTGGATTTGTCGCTAATGACCGAGCGTCGCCAATCACATAAGGAATACGGTAGCTCGGAGATTTGAAAAATATTAGATACTAGATGATATTTTATTTTTCCCACCTTAAGTACGTTTCTTGCCTTACCCTCTGTGAACCAAGGGATCATAGGTTCTAGAACAGCAGTAGGCTTTAAGACTGACGAGTATCTGCTATTGTATTTCACTATGACACAGACAAAGGCGATCGAGATGGAAAACTGCAAACGCTTGCAGTTTTTTATCCACAAACTTGGTGGATTTAAACAGATTACGCAATCTTTGAAAAATAAATATCGTATGAGCTAAAATTAAGCTGATATTTAAAAGTAGTATTTTGTCTTAGAAGAAAATACTAGGTGCTATTTTTTTATATTAACTGGTCTACAGGTGAAATTTTTACAATATTAAGCTCACGGATTTTGGAGTTAGCATTAACCCCTGGCTAATGTACCCATTTCAATTCAATCTCACAGGTTTTGCTCCTGTGTGTTACTAAAACCCGAGCGAACCCACGTTCCGATTATCCGGCTCCAGTAAAATCCAGTCACCCTCTTTATCCGGATGGATATCTTTCAGTTCCATTTCTGGTTGAATCTCAGTCGAGCCAAGGTATCCTCTTCAAGTTCGTCCATGTCGTATTCACTATTCCCCCCGGCAGCGCATTGTGCTCCATCAGGATCCGCTCCGCCCCCACCGCCAGTTTTTCGGTCAACAGGGGACTTGCAGAAGCTCATTTCGCCCCAGTTCTTGTCTCCAGAGGCTCTACTGAAACCCGTTCCGACAAACGAATGGTGGGGCAACTTGCTTGCATGGAGCGGAGAGCAGGACAGCGATGCTGTGTTTGCTGGTCCTTATACTTACAAGGTGGTGCAGAGTCAACCCGGTACCATCGGCAGTGGACTCTCAGTCAGTTATTTGGTGCAGTACCGTTCGGATGGACCCGTTAACGACAACGGAGCTCCCCGCTTCTATTTCTACCCGCCAACTATCAAGAGCTGGATCTTCTCGGCTGTTGAACTAGCAGAGCAATCGGGTGCACCACCTCTTACCATTCAGGCTTGGGATGACATGGGCGTGCACTTGTCCATGTCGAGGATAGAATGTACCTGGCTTTGGGCTCAGCCTTCACGACGGTTGAGTATCAGGATATGCAGGTGCAACTCGGCACGGAACACTTAATTGTGGCTATTAACGGAGCTCCTGCTAGAGAGGGTCACCAGGTGAACGGCATCAGCTTCGTCATCTCGCTCAATAACGGACAGCAGTGGGTGCTTTACTTCTTCTCCAATGCTGGTGGGAACACGTCGCTGGTGTTCGAGGGTAACAAACTTACTACCACCTCCAAGTTCACAGGTGTTGTACAAGCAGCCTTTGTGTCGACAAGTGCCGTGCAGTCTTCAGTTCCTCAAGACGAGCACAAGATCCTGCAGCTTTACCACGCTAGTGCCGGTGTCTATCCCAGAGGTGTCTCGGTCCAGACGTTAGACTCCGACTCGTTCGTGTTCCACTGGCAACTTGCAAGTGCTGCAGGCAGCAACCCGGGAGCTCGTTTCCTGCACTTCGCACTCACTCACCTGCAAGGTATGCTGGATCTATCCACCGTTGAAGCCAAAAACGAGCTAGTGCTGCATTCGCACACACACGGGCCACTGTTCGCATACCTGCTGACAACTCCGCCGAGCTCCAATCCGACGTGGCATTGCCGTGTCCCTCAAGTAGAAAGCCAGGGAGTGGAGACGTGCACTGCGTTCTACCCGCCTCGCGCTAGTTCTCTCACACGCGACGTGGTGGACAGACTGAACTTGTGCCGCGTGGTCTCCGACGAGATTTACGGAGATTGGTCTCTACCTCATGAAGGAAGCTACTACTTTAAAGGCAAGGCGTTGCAGAAGTTCGGTACCATGTGTCTCGTAGCTCAACAGCTTGCGGACACCACGAACCCAGAAATGCGAGATGTTGCGCAGCACGGCATCTCTAAGTTGCAGCAGCTTCTGTCGCAGTTTGCGGACAATCAGTCAGCCTTCCCGCTTGTGTACGACACTGTGTACAAGGGGATCATTTCAAGCGAAGCACTGGTCAGGAATGACATGAATGTCGACTTTGGTAACGGTGTGTACAATGACCACCACTACCATTACGGCTACATCGTGACTGCTGCTGCGATGGCGCTCTACTTAGACCCGAATTGGTGTCACTCACCGGACGCTGTCAAGCTTCGAACTGTCGTGGATACGCTTATCCGAGACGTGGCCACATCGTCTCCTACTGGTAGCGACCCTTACTTCCCGCGGTACCGATACTTTAACTGGTGGCTGGGCCATTCATACTCCCACGGCGTGACCCCGATGGCCGATGGTAAGGACGAAGAATCCACGTCGGAAGAAGTTAACTTCCTCTATGGCATTGCTCTGTACGGTCAAGTCACGGAGAATGCAGAGCAACAAGCGCTGGCAAAGCTGATTCTCAAGGTTTACGTGCGTGCTGTGAACACGTACTTCCTGTTGCGGAATGACGGTCCTGTCATCCACCCTGCTGGGTTCTCCAAGAACAAGGTGACAGGTGTGTTCTTTGACAACAAGTGTGACTACACCACGTGGTTTAGCCCCAACAAGGAGTGCATCCATGGCATCCAAATGATCCCCGTGTCTCCGATCCTCGAAGTATCCCGACCTCCTCGTTTCGTTCGCGAGGAGTGGAACGAAGTGCTGAGTAGACTGCCCATCGTACACGACTGGAGAGCCAATCAGTCTGGCTGGACGTCCCTGTTGTTTGCCAACTACAGTGTCCTGGATCGTGAAAAGGCTTTCGAGGTGCTGAGTTCGTGTCTCATGGACGACGGACTCAGTCGCGCCTGGGCGCTGTACTATGCTGCCACTCGACCGCACCCCTCTTGCTGAGCGTAAAGGCAATCATCTGTGTTGGAATCATCGCTCTATTTGCCGTCTATCGTTCAAGGTCATAATTACGGAGGAGTCATCGCTTGTAACAGAGATTGAGCCAGCTCAGTTACAACAGGTGACACTCGCCGATCACGCACCTTGATCAAACACCTGCACGTACAAATTAGTTATCAGAAACATGTTAATCGATCATGTCTGCATTGCGAATTCTTCATACCTGTCGATAAGGTGTTGGAGATCTTTTGATGACAACGATCCAATGAACTCAGGAAACTTTCCGATAAGGACCCCGATCACTTTAAGGCCGTTCATTGCAACCGATTCGCTTCGTGTAGATTCAAGATGAGTAGCGGCGGTCTCAAAGCATATCCGAACAAGCTGGAGGTCGTCGTTGCCTTCGATTGAGAAAACGTCGCTGGTCTTGTACAAGAACGAGAAGATAACCTGCAGCAAAATAAAAGCGAATAAGTTATTGGAAGCCACTGACAACAAGATCAGTAATTTACCTGCAGACCACCGGCGACAATATCTTCTTCATGGCAGCGTTCAGTAGCGATGGCGATTCTCGAAATGAACCCCCGTGTTTTCCAACAGGCGAGGACACTGCTCTCTGATCGTGATATGGTGCTGCAAAATAGGTCAATCGGCAGTTAGCAGCTGGAAAAAATCATATAAGTACCAAACCAACGAGCCTGAGTAGGATGTTGCAGCAGCAGATACGAACTTGCAGCGGCAACTGATCGAATCGTGCTTCGCACCACATACTTTCAAGCAACCCCTGCACTCTTGAGTCGAGGCCATTAGCTTCCCAAGTTTTAGCCTTTTCTCCGTTTTTCATCCCAAATATCCACATTGTCAGCATGTTCATGAGTGATGAAGCACTTGCGCTCGACTCTTTATGTGTTTCTAGTTTGCTGTCGATGGCTGCAAGTCTGGAAAATATCAACGAGATGCAGTCAATGCAGCCGCGTTGAAGGTCGGCAACGAGAGAGTCATCAGCTGGAATTGCTAGCATCTGCACCAGCAGAGCAAGTGCCTTTGAAGTGATGTCATGATCTTTGTAGGCGTACTCGTCTTCCGAGAATTTTCTGTTGAGGTAGTATACCATCAACTTGGCTGTCACCAGCCCACAAGAGCTGGGAATGTTGTCCTCATCGACAATACCTGAACTGCCTTGATCGCCGGGTGGAGTTGCTTCGCGCAAGAATGCAACGACGTATGCGAGTACGAATGGCAGCACGAAAGGCGGAGGGAACTTGGATAAACACTCCGTCGCGAGCATCTTGACCTCCTTAAATTCCAGTGGATCCACAACGGACCGCGCTAGAATGTGAAAGAGAACTTCGCTCGTCTTTACTTCAAAACTAGTGCTTGGGTCGCTGTCAAGCTGACCGTCGATATACTCATTTAAATGATCCAAATCCTCGCGCCCGCACTACAATCGCGTGATCAACACACAAGTCATCAAACTGAGCAGAGAGAAGCAAGCTGCTATCAGCTTTCTTACCGGCAATATCTTTTCATGGACGAACCCAAAGCATTCTCGAGGTATCATCCGTAGCACCAGCAGAGGTGCTAACCGGGAAAACAGTAGTCCCTCAATAAGTTTTGCAGCTGAAGGCGAATTGTCGTCCAAAAACGCTTCAGTCAAACGTGGCGTATTCTGCAGAAACCAAGACATGATACCCACTTATTAGCTTTATTGGAAACAGCGTGTCGATGTAGTGAAACTCAAAGCGCACCATCATTTGAGTGCAAATTTGTCTCGCCAATGCTTCAAAAACTACATGATCCACCCAATCACACGCTGTAAATTCACGCAGCAGTCGTAAAAGCACGGGGTCACGAGGAGAGCCGAAAATCTTGCGAAGTAAGATGCATAGAATCTCGCTTCTAGCAGTTGCCAAGTGAACATAGTTCGTCCATCTAAACATAAGAAAATGAATCCACCGGAGGTTAAAACGAAAAGCGTAGGCTTGAACACTGCTGCTAAGTTGTGACCTACCCGGTTGGACCAAAGCAGAAGGAAAATAACCTTTCTTGTATCTCCTTTCGCTTATCCCCACCTGCGTCACTTCCGTATTGAGTCTCACTCAGTTGGGAAGCATTGTCATACCAGGCACGAGGACATATCGGCATCTTATTTGAGATCAAATGCACTTGAATGTTCCCAAACTGGCACGCATCGATAAACCAGGACACCACAGCTTCAAGAGAATATCTTGACAAAGTCGAGATAAGGTATCCAAGTGCCGATGGGATGATTTGGTTTCTAGCTTCCTGAATTCCGGTTGAGGTCAATCCAACCATGCAAGACAAAGCGTCTAGTGACGGTAAGCACGAAGTAGCCTAGCAATGAGCACTTGTGTCAGTAATTGCGTTTGCTGATACTGTATCATTACAATCATACAGTTAAGACAGACTTACCAGTCGACGAACAGTGCAGTGATCATGAGTTATGAGACTCAATACGTCCATTGTAAGCTGACACCTGTTCACCGACACAATACGTAGGTGAATTCATATCAGATACTTGCATGAATTACTTTTCCGGTCGAGAAATTCTTACCGCCAGTGTCGATACAGCGGTGATTGAGTTGTTGCATTGTCCAGTTGGTATAGGAATGTCCGCACGAGCGAGATCACATTCTAAACGACACACGAAAGATCCGGAACAAGGTAGACGTTAGCTCAGCAAACATGATTTTACTGAAGACTTGCAGCTTCGCCCTCTCACCACAACACCTGGAGTCTGGGTGTCTTGTACTTGGCATACAATCTCAGTAATGAATAAGTCTCGAGAAATGATAAAGTCAGCGATAGTCAACTCCAATTCGGCCTGAGCTAGTGACCCAGGTGCGATCGAGGAGTTGCGGTTTAAGCAAAGCAACTGCGAAAGAAGACCTTGCTCTTCGTCTCGAGAGCTCAGAAGGTTGAGTGTATCTCCAGGCAACAGCAGTGTTCTGAGTACTTTCAAAATGAGTAAAACTGTCACGCCATTGTCATCTCTAGTTGCTGTAGCCAAGCCCTGCACGTAGAACAACACAAACTTCGCCTTCGTTTCCGCTGAAAAGTCTCCAAAAGACTTCGAGCATCCTTTCATTTCACCCATTGAATCCATCAGCAAGCACACATAGCGTAACTGAGCTTGTACCACCTCAGGATTCGCTCTAAAATTCTCCCTGTCTTCAAGAATGTCGCGAATCCACTTCTCCAAAACGCGAGCGAGAACCTTTGACGGCTGCTGTTTTTGGATTCGAGACAATGCGTCACTACGCGTGCAAAGCAATGGAGCGGTCATCTCCCAATGCCAGCACAGCACATTTAGCACTGCTCCGATATTTACGTCCACAATGTCAGCTCCAATTCCATTCACACTCGATAAGGCAACATCACAAGCTTCGACATAAGCCTGTACGTGTTGAAGCACATAGCCGAGAAACTGTCGGCGTGCCGAGTGAGAGTGCCAACGTCGTAGCATACCGAGACAGACCCGCATACTCTTCACCGCTTCTAGCATTAATCCATCATCAATCAACTGCGTCTTTGCTGCTCCATTTGAGGCCAAATACTGCACTGCAATATCTCCACATAGCAATATAAGTGTTTCCAAAGCGATCAGCGCAAGCTTTGACGGTTTGACACGGTGTGAGTCACCAACTCGAATAATTCCTCGTTCAACAATACCACGTAGTGCACTCACGAATGCACCAATGCGATCTCCCAGCAGCATTACACTCTCCTCTTGAGCCACGTGAGTCTGCAATTTGCGACGACGACGCTGCAGCAGTTCAAATAGCGTAAGACAGCCAGCCAACTGCTTTTGCTTCTCGACGGATGGCTGAATCCATTCCAACAGTAACTGTCGCACGTAGTCATGAGACGACAATGCTCTGTCATCACTCCCATGTTCATGACTCACCATCCATTCAAGCAACACGTGCGCTCTTTCCGCCTGCGAGCCCCAAATGCAAAAGTTTGTCCGAGAAGCCGTACAATCTCGCATCGATTGCGTCACTGCAGCTCCAGCCACCATGCGCACTAGCTTCCGACTCGAATTATTTTCTTGTGAGTGGACATGAACGTCATAGGCATTGACGATTGTAGCTAAAGCAGCTTGCAGTCTTGCAATCTGCTTGTGGTCTGAAAGCGACAGGACTCGGCCCTGATGCGTTGAATATCCATCGACTTAGCAGCAAACACCACCGCCAGCAGCTTAACTTCGCTAATACATACCTCAGTACTGCGTTCCAGCACGTCCACATCGTCATCGTCACCAGGTTTCATCAAGGACTCTATTCTAACGCCACCTTTAAGACTGCCCAAACAGGCAATTGCTGCCTCCATCTACAGTGCAAACCAAAGCATGTCAGGGCCTCATCTCTGCATAGAAAGAGCGAAAAAAATATGGAGAACTAGACGAGTCTTACGTGGACGAGATCGCAGTCTCCTAGCACGCGTACCAGCCGCCCTGCGCTGTCCCCATCGCGATTTCTCACCGCCATTTTTGGTCGAGCTTTGAAATGCAGAAAAATATGTGGGTCACACCAATGCAACAGATGGCTACATTATTCCGAGGTGATGTGATTCATCAATCATGAGCGTACCAACTCCATTATACGTAGTACATACAGATACTCCTAGAGCTGGTGGCTTCCTAGCAGTCGGAAGCGAACGCGTTTAGAGCGTCAGAGTATTAGGGTGTTCGTCTCGGCGGACTTTGTCGACATCGTAGTATGATGCACTGTCATCGGAGTGAGCGCTCAGGAAAGATTGGTTCGATGACTGGTTCGATGATCCTGATCTTCGTCGACGTGAAGGGTAGTACCCGCCATCGTCGCTGCCATTGTCGGTGACTCGGCTCCGGGCATTGAAGTCCACACGAGATGTCGCGAAGTGAGCCGTCGACTGGTGGCCGTACGAGTCCATCGAGTCGCGTGAGAAGGCTGACTTGGTTACACCCAGAGGACCAAGCTCATAGCTTTGACTCTCCACATCGTTGGGCTCGCTTCCATCTCCTTCCGTACTGACCACGGTCTTTGATCGAGCCTTGAACCAACCACTGCTGTCCCCGTCGAAGCTATTCTCCGAGTCATTCGAGAAGATCGACATCTTCGCTTGAGGACTGCTACCGTAGCCACTTTTGTGTGTAGCAGCGCCCATCGCTGCTGAGAAGGTATTGTCCTGCTTCACGGTGCTTTGGGTGCTGACAGAGGATACCATCGAGTCCGAGAAGTTGACGTACGACTGCATCATAGCGAACGAGCTGGCTGAGGAAGCACCCGGGGCAAAGGGCTGCTGGCTTACAGTCGAAGCGCCAGGGTTAAACTGCTTGCTAGGCGCCGACGGTGCAGCAGCAAAGTCATCGATATCTACGTCATCGATATCCACATCCTTGCGCAGCGAATCCATGTCAAAACTGCGTTTTCTTCTCGACGACGAGTTACTGACGCCCGATCCGGAAAATTTTTCAGCGTACGCGTCAAGTGGCACCGTCGATGGACGCGAGCTAAGGCCAGATCCAGACATGGCAGCTCCTCCTCTGGACGATTGACCTCTCGATGACGGTGGACCTCTGGACGATGCCAAACCCCGCGAAGAGTTCTGGCCTCTTGACGAATTCTGTTCTCTTGACGACAGCTGCCCTCTGAACGAATGCTGTCCTCTTCCCGACTTCGGTGACGTGGAGTACGCAGCCTCATCACCCGTATTATCCGTACCGAGGTAGGCTGCCAACACATCGTACGTTGGGATTTCCGGTTCAGGTTCAGGAGCAGGAGCTGGAGCTGGCGCAGCGTTATTCACTTCAAAAGCTTCTGCGCTACGTATCGATCCTCCGAACGAGTACTGTTGGTTGCGAGAAACTGGTGGACGAATCTTGCTTCGAGAGCGACTGAAGACCGGGACAGGTTCCGGAGGTGGCTCCAACATGGGCACGTTGTCCGAGTGTCCACTGCGGGAGCTCTGGGTTGTGTAGCCAGACATGTTGCTCGTCTGAGTTTGGTACTGGTGCTGTTGTTGTTGCTGCTGTAGCTGCTGGTTACGCTGTTGCTCTTGTAGCTGTTTGTTCGCGTACCAGTCGACGCCCTGACCCGCTGGTGTGTTCTCCACCTGTTCGTAACTGCGAGTATTAGAGGACGTGTTGTTCCCGAACTCGAGATTTATATCCGTGGCATCTAGACCGGAATCTTTGCCGTTCTTCTTGTGACGACAAGCGATAATCATCTTGTGAATGATCGTGTAAGCTTGACGTACGAACAGTAAAAAGAAGATGAACATATTCACTCCGATGATCCCATACGCCACATTGTCTCGCACGTTCTGCGGGAAATAGTCATCTCTCGCCACGATAAGCATGAGACAGATGAGCACAACCTTCAGGAACACTGATGCGATGCCGATGTAGTACAGGAACCGTAACAAGTTTGGTTGACGAATTAGCAACAAGATCAAGTACACCACTGTGATAGCCATGATGCACAGCAGCTGAGTCGTGGCGTCTCGAACAATTCCAACGATAGCTCCAGTCATGACTGCCAGTAGAATACGAGGCACAAAGAAGAACCGGTTGTCGAAGTTGTACTCGTCGTAGTAAGCGCTGTATTTGCTGCTGAATGCTCGCTGGTCGTGTTCATAAGTTCCCACATCTTTGAGTTCATCTGCGTTGTTGCCAACGACGATGATGCCAAGCCCAAGAGCCAAAAGCACAACAGCTGCAAGAGCGACAATACCCAGTGCGTATCGTGAGCTAGAGCCATTGGCCGAGTCATTTGAAGTTTCTTCCGAAATGAAATAGCTTCCAGCCATCGCGAACATGTACTGAGCCAGCAGTAGAGCCAACACACCTGCCCAGATAACCTTACGATACCATTTTCGCGCTACTTCACCGAACGATTCGTTCTTAGAAATGGCACCAACGATCAGGACGAATACCAAATAGAGCGCATGAAGCGCAGCTATCACGACGACAAAAGTCACGAGTGTGTAGAAGAAGAGGTCGTCGGCATCCACGCCGATCAAAGCAGCATATCTCGCCGGTCCAGACTCTCCAGCCGCCGCCACAAACCCTGTCGCGCTAGAGCTAGAATCTGCGAGTCGTCGGGTGGTGTCATCACTGCCACTTCCATTGCTGCTTGAGTCGTCGGAACTTCCTTTGATCAAGTTGAAATTCGTCCATGAGAGCTCCTTGGAGAACTGCATCAGAAAAGTCGGCGCGCCTTCAATTCTCAGCTGACTGATCATGCCAGCGAACTGAGCCTGCTCGACGATGTGCGTCATCTCGTAGTAACCTGCAGAGAAGCTTAAAGCCGCAGCGGCACTGGGCATAGCCGAAGCCCATAGCATCGAACCTGTGCCGATCACTGCCGCGCCAGCTAATGAGGTGGCGATGACGCCAGACGCTGTGCTGCCAGCTTTCGAGTCCAAAAAGTGCAATGTGCCTGTGGTGTTGGTGGGCCACTGCGTGTTGCTGCCGAAGACACAGCCAGAGCAACTGTTGGCTTCGACGTAGCTGGCGTTGAGATCGCTGATGTCGACGTCAGACGCGAGGTTGAGTGCCTGGCGGATCTGGTCCTCGCCCCACGGGATCGCGTACGTGTAGAATAGCAGGCCAAGTGCAGCCAGGATGCCAAGAGGTAGCAACAGCGCGCATAGTTGCGAGACCGCCATGCAGCCGCAGCATTTGGCAGCGCAACACAGCAGCCCCATGGTGTCGGATCGTTTGGAGCTGTTAGTACGAGACGAATGCGGCGCTCGTGCCACGAGTCGTGGTGGTGGACCTGTTCAAGCGGAACTGGCTTTGGGTGAAGAAGGGCTTTGCTGTACGCTTTGATAAGCTTCGCCTTTGACTCGCGGCGCAGAGGCGCTGAGGGAGCAGCACCGTTGAGCCCTGGATGGGACCACGGAACGAGAGACCGTGGCTTATGCAAGAATTCAGTTCTTGCTGATTTGTTATTGGTAGAAACGTTTCATCTTTGAAGGGATATTTGAATATTTGACCAATTGATGCACGCAAAAACTATTCAGCGGTATTTCGGTGCAGATGGGATTTTGATGTGTGTGTGTGAGACGGCGCCGTGTCCATTTGACTCAAATGCTACACCTGTACATGTACATGTTCTCAAATGGTTTGAGTAGCGCCCAACAGGAAAGCAAGTGCAGCCATGTAGAATATCACCTCCAATTCCTCATAGTTTTGCTGCGTCCACAGCTATTAATTTGCTTGGTAGTTAGTATGAAGATTTAGCTTGGCCGACAGGATACAGTAATTGCAATGGTACTGCACGTACTTGGTCGCCGAGTGTGGCACTACATGATGTAGATGAAATGCTGCCTCCGTCAGTGACTCCGTGACGGACCGTCACGGAGTCCGTACCATTTTGCCCGTTTCGATAGCTTTTACAGTCGTCTACTCTGCGGAGTACGCCTCAATGATGTGAGAGTCAACGATGTGAAACCTGGCCTAAGATTCACTTGAAACTAACGTTACGAAAGAATTGTCGACATATCGAGCTGCTTCAACGTCATCGCCGAAACAACGTGTGTTATTAAACAGTACGATTGGACAGAGAGCGCAGTGTGGTTCACATTGTTTTGGGCTAACGGAAAGTGTTTTTGTGGGCCACATGAGATTGTACCAATGTGCTAACGATTGGCGTTTCTAACCTGCATTGAGTCATTTCTATAAAAGCCATAGCAGTGTCATTGGCAGCTACGATGACCAGCGCCCCACGCACGTTCGAATGGTAAGTCCGGCGCCGACGGCACTAGCCTCGCAACCCTGCTTAGGAGATATCTACTAACACATTCCTCGCTTTGTCGGCGCGAAATGGATATTCACAGTGAGATTAGTCTGACCTTCCCCGAGGATGTAGACGCGCAGTATGTGCTCCAGACTCTAGAGGTCGACGAGGAGCTACAGCCCGAAAAGATCCACCGCACGCTGACCGTTAAAGGCACAGAGCTTCACGTGTATGTTTGCGTGTAGACTACCGCCGTTTGCTTGTGATTCCTTATCTCTTTTTGTTGATGGATTGGTGGCGGCAGCCACTTTAAGGCCACGGAAATTCGATTGCTGCGCGCCGCGGTGTCCTCCTTCTACGATATGAGCGTGCTGACTGCCAGGACGCTGTTGGAGTTCAAGGAGTGAGCGAGGCGAAGAACGAAATACAGTGCTAGCATGTTGAACTCTTTTTGCGCATCATATACATGTGTGCCGCGACGCTTCACCGTTGCCGCCTCCAGCCAGAGGTTTTTACCGCTACAGAAATCTGCCTGAATAAGGAACGCCTGATATAAATTAAGAAAGAGATTGCATAAGCTGACAATGCCTTGCTAAAAACAGACTATGATGTGCATGTATTGAATTAAGTTAGGATAAATTGAAGATTCGACTTTTGAATGAGTGCTGAATCGTGGAAGCGCTAGCTTTAGACAATGCAGCATCGCACCAGAGCAGTGTAGTTAGCTGGTCGACGCTGTACGGGGTTGCCGAGGGCCTTCGCCTAGGCGATCCACTCAGCTAGCTCATAATACGACAAATTAGGTGAGCGAGCAGCCTTCTCGAGGATGGCTACCTTCTCGGACCAGGTGAGGCGGAGACGATTGAAGGAAATGGGGGTGCTGAGGACGCAGTCGGCTAGTGAGGCTGAATGTAAATGTAGGAATGAAGCTCGGCTCGTAGGGCTTGAAGCGAAGGAGGATTACCTACTGCGCGCCATTTTTTAAATTGAAATCAAAGTCAGTGCCTGGATTGTTTTGTCAGTACCTTGCCCATCACTATCCCATCTCCCTAAATCTTTCCCGAATATAAAATTTGCGAGGTTATTAGCTGAAACCCCGTTCCTTATTCAGGCAGATTTCTGTACTGGAACAACTTCTCCTTGTAGCGACTGTCTAGCTACATGTACGATAAATGGAGCTGTAGCGCCGCTTCTAGCGGGCTCCGAAAATTACAGACGTTAGATATATCGACGAATCTGGTGTTTCCCCAATGCTGCTGCGCGGTTTTTGTGAAAACGACGGTTTATGGTCAATTCAGCAGCAGATACTTGTTATTGTGCTTTCTACTCAAAATTTCCTTGCGCGGTTCTTTGAATCAACGCGCAGCAAATCGCGCAACCCTATCTACATACATATTTTATGCTATGAGAAAGGTTTAAGCTCGCTTCATTCTCCAGATTGCAGGCAACATGGTTGTTGGCGTTGGAGAGGCAGACACTGCTGTAACAGCGGCCAACAGCAGCCAAGACCGCGAAACATTACGTTCACATCAGACACCACCAGCAAACATCGTCGTAGAGACATCCAGTCAACGCCAGGATCAACGCCGTCTTCGACGCGCGTTTCCCCGTATCCGCTGCGAGAGCGAACGCCACGTCAACTTCTATCGCCATCAGCAGCACCGGCCCATCAACAAGCTCGAGTTTCGCTTGATGCGTCCCCAGAGAATGCAGTTCATCATGTAGCAGATCAGCATCAACTCCAGCTTGTGGTGCAGCCTCTCGTGAAAGACACCGTCGGAAGTCGGGACAGCTCAGCAAGAATGCTCGATGTTTTTGCTGCGAACGAAGCCACGTTTGGTGACATCATGCATAAAATTTGGGAACAGTTTAGCAGCCGTGTGAAAGGCCTAGCTGTAAAGGAAGATGATACCTGGTCAATCAACGAACCCACGGAAGCAGCGTGGTACAAGTCGATGCAGTTCAAGTGGAACGGGCACCTTATTCCGCCTACTAAAACTGAAATAGCGTGGAATCGATGGCTGACCCAGCGACGAGATGACACAGTCACGTTGCTGATCTACGAATATGGTCTCGGCATTCCAAGTGCGCGGGCTCTTGAAGAGTTAAAGTATGCTCGCATACGTCCACAGCACACCGATCGTTCTGGTGCTGCTGCTGAAGCCTCTATTCGAGAGATTGTAGCGAAGCTGCAAGAGGTTTGGGGGGAAACCTACCAAGGTAGTGCAATGGCGTGGCGAATGTGGGCAAATGAGGTGATGTGGAACCTAGATCGCTCTACGTGGGAAGTAGATATTTATAATCCCCCAACTGCCACGGTCGAGCGTTTACTTCGAGCAGCTGATGGGGAAGCCGATATACATCTAGCCAATCTATCCAGATCCGCTCGACTGGCGCTTGATGTCGTTAACGGTGCCATTGCGGACAACCGCCAGTTGAAAAACGATTGGGAGGCGTTTGGACGTCGCTTGGATAACCAGGAGAATGCGTTAAGATCCCGCAGAGACACGCTCGAAGGCTTCCTTGAAGACATTCCGATTCCTCCAGTCACAGATGTGATCGATCCGACGCCAGCAGTGGAGAACGTGCCCGACACCAAACATGAACCGTAGTTCCAAACGTCACGACGTGTTTCAGCATTAGTCTTCCTCTTCATTTATTTGCCTCTCCATGAATCCCAAGTTTGAATCTACTTCTTCTTGAACGTTCCCTGTGCTGCTCGCTGCTCTTGATGGATGTCGCGATTCCTTCGACATTGGCCCGGTCGGGTCGAAATGCCCTTGGACCTTCCACCCGCAATGATCAAATACCTTTGACATAGTGAATCCCTCAAAACGATTGAATGTTTCCACGACAAATGGAAGCAGGTCTCTGCCGGATGACTCCACGTAATGGCGCTGGAAGAATTTCTTGATGTATCCAAACATATACTCGATTGGATTGAAGAATGGGCAGTACGCAGGGAGGAATATTGGGACTACCCCAATTCTGCGCAGGAAATGAATAATACCAGGATCGCGGTGTATCGAAGCACCATCCAAAATCCAAACAGAATTGGAGCCAGGATACTGACGGACATTGCCTCGCGCCGAATAGGCAAAGTCTTGACAACATTGAAAAAACTCCACTCTATCAAACGTTCCTAGTGTGTTGTAAGCGTCAATGATGCCGGTCACCCCCAAAAACGCCAGTACGAAAATCCCAGGCTTACGCTGAAAATCACCTCGAATCGCGATTGTCTTCCCTTTGAGTGAGTAACCGCGCTTTCGAATCATCCCGCGGTTGTCAAACGACACTTCGTCAAGGAAAATTAAGTTACTGTAGCACCAGTTGATATGAGCAAGCTCGTCCACAAAGCGAAAAACATCCAGCTCTTTGGTGTGCATTGCCCGCCGCTCGAGAACTTTTCTTGTCAAACCAGCGTTATGAATAAGTCTCCATACGGATGCCGTTGAGATGCTCAGGTGGTAGGCACGCACAAACGCATCTTGAGCCTCATCAAGGTAAGCCAACGGGTGATCAGCGAAGAAGTCGCATAGCCACTGTTGGTGGGCCGATGAGAATTTCCGAACAGTACTTGATTCAGCTCGCTGATAGGTTCCTGTGCTCTCATACACCTTAATCCAGATCCCAATTGTCTTCACAGACTTTGCGTAGATTCAGGCAAGCTCTTTGCGCGGCAATCCAAGACAATAGAAACCATAGAGACAGTGAAAAACAATATTTGGTTGGGCATGCTGTCTAAGAACGGCATCTTCCATCTTGAGGAACTTTGTTCTAGAGCAGAATAAAGCATATTCCATTATTACATTAGCAGTAAGGCACTCCATTATTAAGAAAGAATTACGCAGCATGACTCATAACAGTACCTTCGTCTGTCGATGCTATCTTCGAGGGCGCTCTTGGCGCGGATGCTCCTACCAGTGCCCTAACGGTGTGCTTTCTTGCCCTCACGAGGCGTGTAGTGGCGATCGATCGCAGAAGCAGAATCGCTTGAACAGGCTATGGACAACTGCATCCTTCCAGCAACCTGGGTACAATATTTCCTCCAATCAGATCACGCTGTCGATTTGATGTCGATTTGACGAAACCACACAAAAACGGCAAATTACGGCAAAAAGCACAATACTTGTTCTGCAAGCATTGAAGTGGTTGACTTCGCGCTTTCAACATACAATACTGGACGTTCCATCGTTCGGCTAGTCGTAATTTATAAAAAAAATACCGCACCATACTGTACATGAAATAGGAGAGTTTGACACTCGTTGGACCGGCCATCCAGCCGATCAAAACGACGGCGAGCATGGCTATTTTTATTGCTCAAGGCTACGCTAACGATTGAATCCCGTACGGGTTTTGCATACTAGTATACGAAATGATAGAGCAAGAGCGCGTGGCTGTGAAGCGCTGGTAGACGGCCGTGCTATTAATAAGTGGTCGCCATCTGCCCAGTCTCGAATGATTCTACGGAAGCCACTGACCAGTTAGCCCCATAAATCATGGCATGATGGGGGTACATGTAACGGCTGCATCTCGCAATTTACACACAGCTGAGATGGGTACGTGTTCTGGACTCCATCTGGAGTGTGTCCCCTTCGGCCAGGACACGATGGTTGGCGCCCAAAGCTATCCACGTCCTCAGCGAACAGGATGGCGAGAACATGTAAATGTAAATTCACGTCATTATTCTACTACTGTATTAATAGTTGGAGGCGGCTGTGGTCAGGCGAGCCTTCGAGATCCAAGGAAGAAGCAAACTTTTCGGAAAGCAAGCGTTAACCGATGGGTGCACACCTGGGATTGCTAGACCAGGACTCGTGAAACAGCCAAGTCTAAAGATGTCGTTGTCATGATCATCTTACCGGCCACTTAACTTGAGTCCAAGCAGCTTCGTTTTTCTGAAGCCGGGGTGTGTAACGTGCACGATGCGACTGGAACACCGAGACAAGTGAAGTGCATAGCCAGTCGTCAAGCGTCAACCGCTGTCCAGAGCTGCGGCTGTGCCCAACGCTCTCTGTCCCTCGGAAGGTAAACTCATCCTTGGTAGGTCAGCACAGCATTCGCCAATTTGCGAGATTCGAGACAGGTACCACGGTTAGCAGTGATCCAGCCAAATGCCTGCTCTGTCCGTCGACGACTTGGCCCTGGACCCTCGCCAGCTCGTGGAGCGACACGTGAACGAATCTTTCTCGGACCACCGCACCACGCCCTTCGACGGCACGCGGCGGATTTCGCAATATTCAGCGCGCAACCACGACAGCGTGGCATCGCGAGTATCTTCGGATCTCGCTTCCTCGCGCCTTTCGAGCTTCGGCTTCATTCCCGGGCACGAGGTCATTGAAACTAGTGTGCGTTTCTTGGGGGTCACCCGCGTGGCAACGCACTGCGAGTTCAAGCTGCACGTAGACACGGTCAAGGAGCAATTCGTGCTACGGAAGCGCTTCTCGCAGTTCCGCGATCTGCGATTGCAATTGCTTCTAGACAGCAAGGCTACTACGAGCTCTACAAGTGAGAAAGGTCGCAGAGATGAATGCCGCAACGGAGCATGTGTGCAGCTGGCACACCAGCTCTCCGCACTCAAGTTCCCGCGACGCAAGATGAAGTTTAAAATGCATCGAGATGACGATATCAAGATCGCGAGAGAGCGACAGGCCCAGTTGCAGCAATTCGTTGAGTTGATTTTGGCGGTGTACCGAACAGCTTCCAAGCGCCAGGTACGCTGCTGCGTCAACTCGCAGTGCCGCGTACTCAAGGCGATCCAATCTTTCTTGGATATAAAAGACCTGGGCGACGACGTGTCCGACTGGAAAATGGTTTGTAATGGAACTACCAGCGGAGACGAAGTGCCGATCCTGGATACTCCTCCTTCCACATCGTCGAACCCGTCGCCTTTGAGTAAGACAGCGTTTGAAGCTGCAACGTCCAACGAGTCGCCGATTCGGAGAAAAACGTCGATAATGTATCTCGAGGAGCTTTATACTATCACCGAGGACACTTGAGCATGCCCACGTTTAAATGACGGCGTCGAGACAGTTGGCAGTCTCCCCGCCTTGCACAAACAAGTACAATAACCCGGACAACAACTCATTTAGTCCCTCGTCAACTCGAGTCTCATCGAAAATTCAAGAAGATGTTGCAAAATCAATAATTAACCCCTTCGATTTTGACGCAAGCTTGTCTTGTCGCTAGTGTTCACCCTTCTTTTTGAACAAATCAACGATGGCCGTGGAGACCTTGTCTTCATCGTTGCGTAGCTTACCCATGATTTGCGAGGTCTTGCCCCATTGAACATTGCTCATCAGTCCCTAAAAGTCACGTTTCAAAATGGTAATCTACTCGAAACGAGCCCTTCAACTGACGACATGAGTTTACCCATTACCTGTTCATTCTTGTCAGCGCGGCCTGAACTCGTACTGTCGCCGCTTCGAGCGCGTTGTTGAGCCCACTAACCAGCGCACAGATATCAGAAGTCATTGATGTTAGGCACATGAGCCCACCGCATCTGAGTTTGCGAAGTACTTACGTCGAGCCAACTGCCATCGTGTCCACGTGAGCGGCGTGGCGATGCCTTCGGGTAGTCGCTTAGGGGTTTCTGCGCTCGTCGAAGTCGACCAGAGGAGACCCCCGGGACTTCTCGTTCCGTTTGTGAGCCTCTCGCAGAGGCTGGTGACGTTGGTAGTTTTGGAAGGCAGAACTTTGGTTCACGTGCTGAGTGATAGCCACCCAGATCAGGTCTGGGTCCCATGATGGGAATGTGCTCTTCCTCATGTCTCGATAGAACCGAGTCTACTAAATCTTTTTTATATTGGCTCCACTTGGTCTCCCGCTTCAAATCGCGCATCACACTGGTAGTATCGGCACATGCAGTTAGACCAATGGCTTCCTGACGCAACAGTTGCTCTGTCGTCGCGTCTTTCAATACAATTTGTCGGAAGTCGACTCGGTCGACCCGGTACAGAATCGCCGTTGGCGAAGACACGAGGACTGAAAAGACTGCATTGGGCACACACATAATTGCCTCATAGAAGCCGAAATAATGCTGACTTTATAAAGACACATACGACAATGTTAGTGTAGATAACATGGCAAAAGCTGTGACACCACTGACCTGCTGATGGGGGATATTTCAACAAAACAAGGTTGCTTACGACCTTGGTGAATATGTTTTTGTTCGAGAGCGGAGTAGCGCTTGACAAGTCTGCACTCTCCCTGTTTGATAAAGTAGAAATGATCTTTTTGGTTATAGTGAGCAATAGCCACCAGCAAATAAATGATTGAACACGATTCTCGTACTTGAAGGTTCGCCCTCAGCGACGACGACATCGTTGTATGTGTGCTGGATCTTCTCCATTCGGTCGCACAGCTTTAAAATGCCTTCGTCTTCCCAGTGATCCAAGCAAGCTACTCCAGCCAAGAATGCCATTTTCTCACTGGCGCCGGTGACAACGATGCGATATTAGATTTTATCATTCGATGTAGATGAGTTTTAAACATACCGAAGTTCTCTTGACAAGTTGCGAGCTCGTAGTGCCATGAATGTATCACGATCAATTTGCATTAGCAAGGTCGTCTCCGTGGCCACAACAGAAGCTGTACGTTGTTGCTCTTCAAGCAGCAGACCGACATCACCAAACACCTCTAGCGGCTTCATGGTACGGACAACGTATGTAGCGTCGTGCGACATATCGAGCTTCCCACCTGGATTTAGGAAGCTCGAATGCACGCGAGCACGGTTCATGATCTCCTCAAACTCGTTCAGCGTCGGAGCTGCCATCCGCGAGAAGTCCATGACTACACTCATTGTGCCGAACATGATGCAGTAGAAGGCGTCGGCGCGATCACCAACGCGAAAGAGAGCATCTCCATCGTCCAGCTCAATACCTTTCGCCGCCTTCAGAAATCGCAGTCGATCTCTCGGTGGCAGCTCACGGAAATATTTCACGTTCTGGACTTCACAGAGCAGAACTCACTGTTATTGAGGCTTTTACCACTAATAGGCTGTACTCTGCAACGTACTGTAGTTGTCGAGGAACTCGTATTCAGCTTTACAACGTGCAACTTCGGAAAGGAGCAGAATTCGTCTCAAGTTGGCACGCACTTCCGGGAGCTCGTGGCTGGGCTGCTCGCGCCAACTTGCTCGCTTCGACAGCCTGGTAAGGGTACATCGTATTAAATTTTAGTGTCCGAAGAGAACCGCTACACGAACATGGTTCGAGCTCGCCCAAAGCAATTGAAGTCAGATGTAGCCATTTCTAAAAACGGCCGTGTGATGTGCGCCACATTTCACCCGTCATAGCTGATACCCACAGAAGTGCTAACCGCTCCACACGGCTCGAAAGGTGAGGGCGGGGTCGCGTCGGCGCTCGTTCACTCTTCTTCCCAGAGGGCCAATCACTCGACAGAGCCCGTGAATCAGCTAGTTATGTATCTTACGTACATGCTCATGTCTTTTTCGTGTAGATAGCAGCTGTCAATCGTTGTCGAACTCGAATAAAGCGCAATGGACCCAGAAAACAAGAAAAAGTGTACTGATGTCGTGGAGCACTTTTTCAAGCTCGAAAGCTGCGGTGAGTGGCTCACTTAGTATTAAATTTGTCACCGATAGAAATTGGAGGGGTCGACAAGGTCTGATACTCGTGCTGTGGCTTTAGAGCCCTTTCGTGAGCGTGTCAACTGGGAGGAGTGGGGTCTGTACGACTATCTACAGGTGGTCAAGGAGCCAATGGACCTGGGCACCATCCGCAGCAAATTGAGCAAGAACGAGCACAAGAAACCGGCGGAATTTGCTCGCGACATGCGCCTGGTCTGGAGCAACTGCAAGCTTTACAACCAGGACGGGTCCGACCTCTATCTGCTGGCCGATGAGCTTGCCAAGAAGTTCGAGGACCGCGTCAAGTCTATGAAGCTGGACGTTGGCCCGGTGCCCAAGGCAGACAAGAGCATTCCGTACGGTGCACTTTTTATTAGATGAGGCGCTGTCTGCTGAAGGTTCTAACTTGCTGTGCTGCTGGAAAAGTGCCCCGAGCCTCGAGGAGAAAATTTATTTTAGCCAGAACATTTACAAGGTGAACCCCAAGGACCTGGGTGCTATCGTGCAGCTGCTTCAAGAGCAGTGTCCTAAAGCACTGGACAAGAGCTCACCGGATGAGCTGGACATCGTCGTCGACCACATTGACAATAAGACGTTCCGTGACCTGGAGAAGTTCGTTTTGGAGAAGGTGCCAGAGGGTAGTCGCGAGCCCATTGCGACCCCCAAGTCGTCCAAGAAATCCCGAAGACCACCCAGCAAGAAGACCAAAACCGATGCGTGAGCAATGATGAAGCCTTTTTGAGCTTATCAGTTAGCAGCCTTAACTTTGCCGTTCTGGATGCGACTGAAATGAGGATAACGCGCGTGTATTTAACCGCATCCAGGCTTGCAGTGAACACCCTGACTACAGTTGGAGTCAACGTCCTTAGTTCTTACGCTTCGTACCCTTGTTTTGGCTGCTTGGTCTATCTATTTCTTCTTTCGGAGCATAGCTGCAAGCCGTGTCTGCCGTTGAAATGTGGCCTCAAAGCTCTTCTTTTTTTGCTGTTGTGCTGGCTCGTCCGGTGCAACTACAGGAGCTACACCGATGGTGGGTTTACCTGTAAGCCTGCTGAAATCAAGAGGTGGGACAACATTCTGTGGTGACGATGCATTCGATTCATCTTCCTGGATACTACTAGTAGTATCAAACTGGGCAGGAACCGCCGCCGAAAGCTGTGCACCCGCCTTGCCTCGAGTGGATTGCCACTGAGATGGTATCAACTCTGGCTCATTAGGTTTTAACTTTGCACCGGGGAGCGGAGCAACTGGTTGCAGCTTTAGCAGCGGAAGGCTAGTTTTAGACGAACTTCGTGCAGGTTTCCGCTCTCGAGAACTTGACGGTCGACGACTCGATTCAGGCTGGTTTTGGAGGGAGCGTTTGTACTCAAGCAGCTCTTCCTTGTGCAACTCCATCAGCTCCCTGACCATCAGCACGTGAAACAATGAAAAAGAAGTTTAGGAAGGTTCGCACTTGTTACCTGAGTGAAGGTTCCTCCGCGTTGGAGGTATGCCACTTGTCTCCGTGAACCTTCTTGCCTGCCTTCATGAGTCTAGCCCATTCCTGCAAGACATATTGAAGTTAGTAGGCTGCGATATGATCAGAGGACGCTAAAGCAATTCTGTACCTCTTCGTCACGACGACTAATTTCCACTCGGGACGTCACGATCTCTTCGAGTTCGTCATGATAACGAAGTTGATCTTCTCGAACGGCAAGCTGCTCTTTGAGCTTGTCGATATATCGTCGGAGGTCCTCTTTGCGCTTTCCAAGCTGTTCAAGCACCCCGGTGGTTGACTGTTGGGGTTGGAGGGAAGGATGGTATCCTGACGGCGCAAGGAAAGTTATTGTCATAGCTCATGACACTTGAAACGGGTCGTGCTTACTACCATTTTGTAGTACGCATTTCATTATACTACGTAGTACGTACTTGTTCGCCGCTGGCGCTTATGCATGTGCTGCTGAAGGAAACCTAGGACGACTAACGCCACCAACACGCAACCGATGATCAAGCCGGGCATGTTGGTCGTAGATCCTGCAGCCCCTCGAATGTTAGGCATGGTGCTTGTGTACTACTTCGTACTTTTACGTAGAGCTGCGCATTTAAGCCGTATTTTTAGGGAGGAGACCAACTTCTGCGACAAGTAACACCACTAAGGTGACCATGACTTTGGCAGAAATGGCCTGCCTGTTTCCTAATTTTGTACAGAAAAAATAAATATGAGACTTGCGCAACATGCTCACACATCGGCTACGAACACGTCTTCATCCACGCCGAACACTGAGGCGTCAGAGCTTACGATCGGCTGTTCAGATGGCATGGGTGTGAGCCAATAGTCGCCGAAGTCAAGGTTGTCCCAGGTCTCACTGACGTTCACGGGGGACGTCTTGCCTTCCGGAAGCGACGATAAAGCTTCCAGTCCTAAAGTAGTGTCCAAACTCTTGCAGAGCGCGGCAGCGTCTGCCTGTCCGTCCTGTAGAATGTGGTCCAGTACCTCCTCATCCACCACATGTGGTAGACGCTGCAGCTCAATGGAGGGCGTCGCCATCGGAACCACCGACTGCTCTCCTTTACCCTGGAATTCCGATCGGTCGTAGACGCCGTCCAGCAGCACGAGATCCTGGAGGAACCAGCTGGTCAAACCCGTCGAAGAGGCAGCAGCTGCGGCCGTGTTGGCTCTACTGATCACCTCGGCCTGGTGCTTGGCTCGCGCCTCTTCTTTCATGGCCAAGTGAGCACTCAGCGGAGCGCGGCGCGCACGCTGGCGAGGCTTCTTGGCACGCAGGCGCTTTCCGAGCGGCTCCGCATCGGCAGACGCCTGCGCACGAGCCTTGCGCTTGAGCTCGAGACGGCGCTGGTTCTTATTGGCTTTTTGGCGATGGAAGTCGCACAAATTGTGATGCTCGCCGTTGCGCTTGAGGGCGCGTGGGTTCCAGCATTTCTTGCTCGGGTAGCGGCACATGGTCTCAGCATCATGTACAGGCTGCTCTGGAGCTGCAGTGATCAGTGTAGCCGCTTTGGGCGATCCAAGAGGAGAAGCGGAGGTTGTGCCGGGGCAAGAGCCCATTATGGAATACTGAAGTGAAAACGGGACGCAAATGCGCAAATGGCCGGCTAGCCACGCACGCCCGCCCTTGACTCAAGGGGGAAGATACCGACTGCTGCAAGCAAATCGGATACGATGGCTACATGGGTGAATTTAGGGCCGCAGATGTTGCACAAAAACTGGGATTTCTTATTTTGCCTAGAATTTCTAGGTCATCTTGAATGGCTCAGAAAATCTATCAAAGGCCAATTTCAAGTCGGTGCCAACTCTCTTCAAGCCCCGGAGCGCCATGTACCTCGCGTACCTCAGATGGAGTCAAACTTTTGACTGCTGTCAGAGCTCCAGGCGTCTTTGTTCTGTTGACTGGATTCGCGGGCAACACGCACTTCGATTTGTGAAGTTACGTGCGTGGTTACCAAAAAATGCCGTGGGCAGCACTGGTGATGGCTGGAAAAGCATTGATCACTGCCGCAAATCGATGAGCCCGCGTCGGCGGGTAATCTAAGCCTGACTACCGGATGGCTGCACGCGTACCATGTTGAAGCAACATTGTTGATGCCTGTCGGCGGTCAAATCCATTCGACAGCGGAATTGTCTCGCGTTTGCCTCAGCGGCGGGCTGGTCGAATATCCACTTGAGTACACTCACTGTTGTTTCAAGCGGCGCTACAGATATTAGCAATGCTAATATAAGTAGCTAATAGCATCGTTGTTGTACGACGACGACTACAATCAGGAATTCTGGACTTGATTTCAGACAACGACCAACGATTCGAAGTACGTTGAAGTGCGTTTTCACTGCGAGCTTAAAGAACTTGAGATCTCTACCGCACAAAAAATGTATTATTTTAATGGTTACGTAGATATTCGCTCAAATATTGGCACGGGTGACGAGGGAGGGCGCCCGCCGAACTTCCGGGTGCCAGGAGCTTTGTAGCATTGCGGAGCTGAGTCCTTCCCCTGATCGCGCCACTACAGTGGCAATCGGCGGCAACAACTTGGGGGTGGCAACAGCTTCCGACTTTGGTGGTGTCAACGGGTTGCGGTGCATCCATGCGCGGATCTCCATGCTCGGCTCCATCTTAGCAACGCGAAGCATAGCGCGAGGACTCCTGGGATACGACCCGTTCATCCACGCGGCTGATGGCATTCGGCTCGACGGCTCGCGCCATGTATCCATCTCGTTACTGTATGTGGACAAACCGCTGCCCATAGCCAAGAGTCCTGCTGCTCGCTGTAGCTCGATGAGTGACGGAGAGCGAATGTACTGGGTCGTGAGAGGCACAGCACCCAGCTCCTGCTCTAGTTTGAGCGCAATGGAGGCACGCATCCGCAAGCGGCGCTCCAGATCCGAGTACCCGCTGGCGCCAATGTGGCTTGGCAGACCAAGCGCGGCCTGGCCAGCCTTGCGCTTCTTGTCAAGACGACGCTGATTGCTGTTAGCCTTCTGGCGGTGCATTTCGCAAAGGTTGTGGCGTTCGCCATTGCGTTTGATGGCGCGCAGGTTCCAGCAGCGCTTACTGGCATAGCGGCATTTGAGCGAGCTGAATTCATCGTCTGTGGTCTGCATGTTTGCCCTGCGTGAAGCTTTGTCTAGAAGATGACAAATTGAAAAGAAAAAAGTTTGGTTGATCAGAGTCTTCAAGGTGCAGAATCTTAGCCGGTCTGAGACGTCGACTTAGCAGGGTACAGTGATTTAACGGATGCACCATTATTTTAAGCTCTCGACATATCGTAAGATTAACGCTTACTTTGGGGGAGAGGAGACGCGGCTCCTGTTGACTTAGTAGAAGGATGTCTCGTTTTGGTGGGGCCAGGCGGAGAGGAGACGTTGCAGCTGATTTATGGTCGGAGTATATAGGTCCTGAATTTCAGGACTCCGTCAGCTTGCGAACAGCTACGGACAAAGCGATACAAGAGGTAGATAATTCCAAACGCGTTGGCACTCTCAGATCATTACTAGTCCGTATTACATGTAAGTATGCAGCGCTGATTCAGAAGTTCCAGGAAGGAATTGACCATGTCAGTGTTTTCAAGTTGTTCTTACATGTATGCGGAAGAAGGTAGCCAGAGCCGCCAACCATTTTGGCGTTCCTGATTTTTGTAATGGAAATCAGTTACACGCTACCACTCCACGACTGAAGCAATTCAGTGCCTACACGATGGTGTGGCGAACGTTTGGGGGCCGTGCCAGCAACGCCAAGCTTGTGGCAGGACTTATCCTTGCCAACAAGGACAAGCTTAGCCTCTTCTGCTGTAAGCAGCGTCGAGAGAGCGCAGCTTCTCGTCTGCATCAAACCACTTAAGGCCGGCGTCCCTCTATTAGAAAGGATTTTAACCAGAGATATCTTCGACAGGAATCAGTGGGTTGCCCAAGTTCTCAGCGCGTAGTACACGCTGCAATTTGTGCCTATACTGGCGCCAGTGAGGTTGAGTCTTTCCTCACACCTGATTACCTTGCAGTCGATCACACTTCTGCAAATTGGTAGAAAACCTCTGACCTGCACACCTACTTTCCATTGTCACGCTCACAGGAATGAGATGTCTTATGGTCTGTGAACCACAATTTGGGAATTTTGAGGTGGTACGCTAATGCTGTTTGTATCACCTTGGTCATCTACAGCAGGGCAAGTCGAGTTCGCACCACTGGACGCAACAGATTGTGCAACCGCTACACATTATACGGTGCAGCTGTATTATTCATACAGGTCGCTTGCGGTGGGATAATGCCCACACGGATCGAGTTAGTGCGCCCCCAGATGGGCCTAACGCTTCCGCCCACATCGCAGGGGGGGGGGGCAGTGAAAGCAATGGCTGCGGTCGTGCGTCGAGGTTTCTATGCCCATTGTACTTGCTTTAAAACAACCTGCTTAGACATCGGACATGGCAGCTACAGTACCAACACTTCTGCGACAACTTTGCGCATGAAGCAATATTTTTTCCCACCGATGCCATTGTCAGCTTGACCCGACGTTATCGCACGCCGACCTGATACCCTCGACTTGGTTGTGAATAGCAAAGGAAACGGCATACAATTAGTTCTGTAATTGAAAACAGACTTGTCGAAGTAGAGTTTTTTGGGTGGCGAGTTTTGATAGTCTAGCTTTGCAGCGGCTTCGAGACTCGAAGTTTGAGTACTCTGTGCGAGACATCCCAAGAGCAACCTGGCGAATTAGCATTCGTTTGGGGCATTTTGAAATTTACCTTTTTAGATTGTTAGATGATTACTGTAGCTCACTTCAACTTGACGCCTACAGAAGTAAAGTTTTTTACTTCAACTTATTCCTTACAAAACGTTGTACAATAACGGCGGTGATAATATCAGACGCTGCAGTTTCGCAACAATCATCACGTCGGAGCAAGAACCCCCAAAAAAATCAATTGTACGTGACTGGCATGACTCACACACATTGATGAACGAGGTGTGAATTATCACTTTCGTATTTTTCGAGGCCCCAGAGCCACAGGTTTTGATTTATACTGGCGTAAGTGCGCCTTTCCTCTCGACGCACAAACTGCACTAGAACCAAACTTGAATGAGCGAGGAAATGTTAATTCCTCGTGGGCTCTTGGTGCGGAAAATATTAGGCCACCATCAGGCTGACGGTTGTTTCCATGCAGTGCTCTTACAATAAAATAAAAAAATTGTACGTGGGTTTCACAGAAGCACGTAATAATCATTGCAATATACCGATCCACAATAATAAATTATTCAATTATTTTTCTGCATTGCAAGGGTCAGGACGGGGCAGTGGTGTGAGATTGACCCTATCACGCCACTGGCTTGGTTTCGAAGCCCACTGCTGCAGAGAAGGCTGGTGACTATCATCCAAGCTGGGTTCTACCAAATATAGCCGGCGACGGCAAGATACGAGCCAGCCTGAGCAGCAGTTTTGTTGGGTTCTGATAAAAAAACACATAAAATTAAATTTGGACGAAAACAAAATAAGGAGTATTTTTTCGGCAGCGTTGTAGCCCTCAAGTTTCTCATGCGCAAACTACTTTCTAAATATCATCAATGCCAACAAGCGAGGTGAAGCTCCAAAGGTCGCGATTCGCTCGTAGAAACACAAGCATCTCAAAGTTCGCTGGCAGCAGACTTGACCGCCGTGGGGTGAGAATTAGCTTGCACTGTGAAAAGAGGCGCTCACATCGGTTGCTAGTCGGCGGCAGTTGGCTCAACAACTCGTCGTACTTCTGTGCTGACGCGTGGCGAGGCTTCTTGGTTTGTCGGAGTGTGGCTGTAGCGAAGTCCACCTGCTTGGTCGGCCGGGCTGAAGAAGGTTGGACGACCAGAAAGGGCTCCACAGCAGCTTCTTCGTCCGCTTGAAGCCTGCAATCACCCTGAGCTTTCACGACGGCCCGCTCAAAGACAGGAGAGTGCACGATACTGGCATCGGCCTTGAGGTAACTTGCCGTTACCGGGTACTTCACCACCACAGCGTCAAAAAGGGGCCGGACGTCAGCAAGCGTTAGCTCATCGCTCTGCAACTTTTCGCATACGCTGTCAAGGTCACCCAGCTTGCTCAGAAGCTGAACAATGCGGCGGTGAGAGCTTGGACGTGGCACTAAATCTTCAACGGCTTGCACCATCTTGATAGCGTCTCGAATCTCGACATAGCGCTTGAGCATCTCGTAAGTAGATGACCAACGGGTCACGTTGGCCTTCAGCGGCTTGAGGCGCGTGAACGCTGCCAGCGCTGCTGTAATGGGCCCAACTCCAATTACATAAGTAGGTAGATATTTCTTTAGTTATTACATAAGTAGGTAAAGTGGCACACGGGTAGCGTGTGCCAAGGTGTCATCATCTGATTGGTTGATAGTGAGGAGCCAGACTCACTTATTGACCAATCAGATATAGACATGTGTTTGAGTGGTTCACACGAGGCCAGGGGTAGCCGCCCTGGTCCTAAATAAATGAGAGTTGAATTTGAAACAAACCTAAGACTTGGTTTTATTATTGCGAGCTTCCTCCGCATTACAGTGTAAGTTAGTAACGGTATCTCTTACCCGTCTACACCTGGTAGCACTTTGTAGTCCTTCCAACGACCAAGTCTACGATGAGCCAAGTCCAGATCTCCGGGGCGACCCTGGAGCATGCTGCATTCCCCCATCTCACTCGCGTGGAGTGGGAAGCGCTTCACCGCCTCGTGGCGGTGTCCGGAGACGCTGTCGTCGCATCGCTGCTGAGCTCAGCGACGCCCGACCAGCAACGTCTTGCAGCACAAGAGTTCATGGAACGCGAGCTCGCCGATGCGAATCGGCGGGTGTCAACTCCCTCGCGTCCATCCCAGAATGACGTCGTCAAGATGGAGACGTCTACGTATTCTGGCGCCGGTGAAAACCGGCTTCCGCTAAATCGGTGGCTCCGCGAGATCGACATCGCTATCGCCTCGCGACGCATCGAGGCGTCATCGGCCAAGATGAACTTCCTCCTCTCCCGGTTAACCGGGAAGGCCAAAGAATGGGCCCTCGGGAAGCTGGTTGTCGACCCCGAGGCTTTCCCGACTCTGGAAACTCTCCAGAGCGACTTGCGCCTCGCGTTCGAGCCCCCGCAAGATGAGTCTCGCGCTCGCGCAGAGTTCTTCGCTCTGCGGCAAGGGCAGATGTCCATGCGTGATTACGTCCAGAAGACGCGACATCTGGCGTCATGCATCGTGACTAAGTCAATCGACACGGCCTCGCAAGTCCACGTATTTGTGTTCGGCATGCGCGAGGGTATGACCCGCTACTGCCTCACTAGAGCTGAGCCCTCCTCTCTCGAGGAGGCGTTTGCACTCGCGATTCGCGAGGATTACATGGTCGCTGCATCGTACGCCGCAGCCATACCTGCGGAAGCCCGAGAGTCTACCCCCGAGCCCATGGAGATCGACGCCATCAACGAGTCGAGCAATCGACGTCGCGGGTCCTACCGCGGCAGCGCTGGACGAAGCAATCGCCCCCTCATTTGCTTCCGCTGTGGGCCGAAGGGTCATCGCGCGGCGGAGTGCCGCGCGCCAGATCCCGTCGTCTCTCACGTCGACGCGGAGCACTCCTCGGTCGCTCATTCAAAAAACGACCAGGACCAGTAGGTGCGGGGCGCCCTACTGGCTTTAACGAAGGACCGGGCCTCCGGTGGCAGCCCAACCTTCGAGCCCTCCCGTGCTCCAAGCACACACCAATGCCACCACTACGCCGGGCGACTCGAGACTGATCATTGTCAGCCTCCACGTCACCGGTGCCCGGCGACACTGCGCGCGCTCCTTGACTCAGGAGCGACCAACAACTTCTTTCGCGCATCGTGTTTGTCGGTACTACCCAAGAACGTCCGCGTCCGGAATGGTCCGGGCGAGATCCAAGTCAAACTCGCAGATGGTAAGGGCTCGCCGCGTTGCGCGGCGTGACGTGTCTTTGTCGTACACGTTCGACGGCTTCCGTAGCAAGGACGACTTCTTGGTGATCGAGATGAACTACGCGTTTGACTGCATCCTGGGCATCCCTTGGCTTGCGCGATATCAGCCAGAGATTGACTGGCTGGCCCAATCAGTCAAGCGTCGACGTGGATTCGACGTGAGCGAGGTCTCCACACAC